CCTCAGAATTGTATTGGAGTGTCAGACTAAACGGAGAGTTCTTGAACACACAACCTCGTGACTCAGAGGCATGAATGCAAGCAACTGAGCCATATGTCACTTGATACATAGAAAAGATAGGGAAATGGGATTACATGATCTGTCAAATGATGTAATTAAATAACCACAGCATAGGCTCAACATGCCAAATGACCTACCCCTGTTCCATTTGATCTCATCTGATCTCCTCAGTCCAGAATATTCTCCTCACCATCTCCCATCAAACTGTTCCTTGAAGTCCAGGGTTCTGGCCTCTCCCCTCCTTCCTGGTGACCACATCCAGTTGTTAGTTTCCTCCCAATGTAAAGAAGTGCCTCTTATTATTGTGTCTAAAACAGCCTTCACAATCCTGACTTGGGCCTTCAGATCTTACGGCCTTGGAGTATCTGAAATAATTATTCGGGATTCACTTTCTCAATACCATCATTTCTAGAAGGTCCCCTCTCAGACATCTGGAGTCCTGTAGCTCAGTAGTTAGAGTGCTCGCCTCCCAAGCGAGTGACCTGGTTTTGATTACATCTCCTTAAGTAACCAGACTGTGTGCATATAATGGCCTTAGTGTTCTGACAGAATATATGTATTGATGATCTCTTTGATTTGAAATTAAAGATTGCATAAAATATTTAGCATTGCACTGGAGTTAAACACCAGATTCATATCACATATGTTGAATTTTCTATTATTTATGGGGTCCTGTATCTCAGTGGTTAGAGCACTTGCCTCGTGAGAGGACCTGGGTTTGATTCCCAGGCAGGGCAAAATGTTAAGCAAATTTCCTTACTCCACATGCCTCTGTTCACCTAGCAGTAAGTAGGAATCCGGGTGTAGTCGATTGGCGGATCATTTTCTGGGGGTAATAAATCCTTAAACAAAAATGGTTACTCACTCCACAACTGTTTGTGGGATACTGCTGTGCGCAATTGGCTGCCGCGTTTTGCCCACAAATATACAGTAAATTCACTATACAGTATAGTCTGGGAGGCGCTTTGAGACATCTCGAAGACATCAAAAGGCACTATATCAAATGATAGCATTAGCATTATTATTGTTACATTCTATAGGAAAAGCGGTGTGTCCTACGTAACCTTTTTGCACTATTTCAATGCCTATAAAATGCTACCTTTTTGTTATGATCTTCCCCTTTGTATTTTGTCAATATAACATAAAAACAAATAGGCTAACATCCTATTACAAAAAGTCTCAAAAACATTCCTTTATAGCTTTTACATGACTATCTTCCTTGGGGGAAAGGTAAGCGGGGAACGGAATGTCGAAATCTTCGGTGGTCTTGGTAGCTCAGCTTCTGAGTTAGGCGGGTCTGCAGTACTCCAAGGCATTGCTGATGACAGCCCAGCCAGCATGGCTCATCGGCAGCACTGGGGGCAGGAAACCATCCCACTCAGCTCTTGTTAACCCTACAAGCTAAAATCATAATCCATCACGCCCCTACACTCCTTCAACCCTATCTCTCCATCCTCCCTCACCGCCATCGTTCACAAACGTAAACCCACCACCTCTCCCTCGATCCCATCCCTATCTCTCTCCTCATCTCCCAGCTCCACCTTCTGGCCCCTCTCCTGTCCGGTGTCATCAACCTCTCCTTGTCCACCGGTTCAGTTCCCAGCCCCCTAAAAACAGCCGTCATCACCCCTATCCTGAAAAAATCTTCCCTGGACCCATCCCTCCTCTCCAGCTACTGCCCCATCTCTAACCTCCCATTCCTCTCCAAGGTCCTGGAACGAGTCGTTGCGTCCAAGCTCCGCTCCTTTCTCTCTTGCCATTCCCTCTTTGAACCCCTCCAATCCGACTTCCGTGCTGCCAACAGCACGGAAACAGCCCTGGTCAAAGTCATTAATGACGTTCTGAACATCTGTGATCAGGGCTCCCTCTGCCTCCTTGTCCTCCTCGACCTCTCTGTTGCCTTCGACACTGTCGACCACTCCATCTTCATACACCACCTCTCTTCTTTACTTAATCTTTGCAGACCTACCCTTGTCTGGTTCGATTCCTATCTCTCTCACCGTCTCCACTTTGTTGCCTCTAACGGTTTCTCCTCCAGCCCCCGCACTGTCACATCTGGCGTCCCCCAGGGCTCTGTCCTTAGCCCTCTCCTCTTTAATATCTACATGCTCCCCTTTGGGGACACCATCCGCAGACATGGGGTCAACTTCCATATGTATGCGGATGACACCCAACTCTATCTTTCTGCCTCAACCCTCAACTCTAGGACCACTGCTGTCCTGACAGACTGCCTGTCGGACATCAAGTCCTGGATGAGGGCAAATTTCTTAAGTTGAATGTGAACAAGACTGAGGCCCTCCTGATTGGCTCGCACCAGCGCCTCTGCACCTCAGGCTCTGGCAGCATCAACCTCCATGGTTGCACACTTCAACTCACCAAGCCAGTCAGGAACCTAAGTGTCTTGTTCGAAATTCAACTGTCTTTTCTTCCCCACGTCCAAGCCATGACCCGTTCTGCCTTCCCTCACCTCCGTATCGTCGCCCAACTCCGCCACTACCTCACCCATCAGGCCGCTGAAACTCTTGTTCACACCTTCATCACCTCCAGGCTCGAGTATGCAAACGCCCTGTTTGTTGGCCTTCCCAACTCCTCCCTCCAGAACTCTGCAGCCCGTGTCCTCTCCCGCACCAAACTCCACGACCCCATCTCCCCCATTCTCGCCCAACTCCATTGGCTCCCTAACCTTCAGAGAATCCAGTTCAAGATCCTGGTCCTCACCTACAAAGCCCTCCATGGCCTTGCCCCAACCTACCTCTGCGACCTCCTAGCCCCCTACCAACCCACCCACTCCTTCCGCTCAGCTGGTTCTGGCCTGCTCCACGTCCCCCAACCCATACGCCCCACCATTGGCGGGTGAGCCTTTAGCCACTCTGCCCCCAACCTCTGGAATTCCATCCCCCAATCACTCCGCCTCGTCCCCTCCTTAGCCTCCTTCAAGTCCCACCTCAAAACCCTTCCCTTCTACCATGCCATCGCTCACCCCCCTTTCCCTCCCCTCCCTTCTTTCCCCCTGACCCCAGCTCGGATCTGAAATGCTGTACACTGTCCAGCACTTTGAGACGTCCTTCCGACGTGAAAGGCGCTATACAAATATATATTTATATCCTTGCATTTGATGTAGCGATTTTCACGTCGGGAGGACATCCCAAAGCACTTCACAGAACACACTGTAAAGTGAATTGACTGTATATTTGTGGGCGAACACGGCAGCCAATTGCGCATAGCAATGTCCCACAAACAGTCGTAGATTGAAAATGACCAATTTATTATTGTTTTTGGTTTTTGGAGGGATTATTATTAGGCTCTGTGTGGAGTAAGGAAACTTGCCCAAGGTTTCGCCCTGTCTGGAATTGAACTCAGGTCTCTCGCTTGCAAAGCGAGTGCTCCAATCACTGAGCTACAGGACTCAAAATGTAATCTTGTTGTTGTTGTTGGTCCTAGCTGGATTAGCTAGGATTAGCAGCTGGATTAGCATCAGAAAAATTTGACAGAAAGTATTTTTAATATCAAACTATTTGATTTTAGCTTGTTAGAATCCAGTTGTACCACAAAGCACACTCTGGAGTCCCCAAGGCTTGGCTTTTGCCAATCTGCGCCTGATGCTCTCTGGAATTAGGTAAGCAGGATGCATCCCTCCAGGGAGAGAGTTAGCATAAATATCTCAGGAGTTTCTATATATAGGTTGGATGCATGGAAATCTCAGCTTGGTTTCGATACTCTTAATACTCATGTTTGGATACTCATGCGCTAGATATAGATACCAGATAACCATGAAACCAAAGAAATGGAACCTGATCTTCCTGCAAATAAAATGAAATGTTTATAGTTGATATCTGATGCTGCGATGAGGCTCACCCATTGACTACGTGAATTTCAAGCATGCCTATGACTAAGGTCCAAAGAGCAAAGCAAACACATACGCATTGAAATACTGTTACTATATCAATCAAGGTCCCCCATATATTGTGGTTTCTGAAAAGTAACCATACTGAAGCATATTTCTTCATCTCAGGTAGCAGTGGTTTGTATAATCATTAATGTAATGTATGTCTTATCAGTCATATCACCCGGTGATCCAAATTCATTGAATTACGCCACCTTCCAAATCCATAACTAAGCTATAAAGAGAAGGTGCAGAGTCAAGTATGCTTTGCAAATATAAGTGGAGTCCTGTAGCTCAGTGGTTAGAGCACTCGCTTTGCAAGTGAGAGACCTGAGTTCAATTCCAGGCAGGGCGAAATCTTGGGCAAGTTTCCTTACTCCACACAGAGCCTAATAATAATCCCTTCAAAAACCAAAAACAATAATTAATTGGTCATTTTCAATCTACGACTGTTTGTGGGACATTGCTGTGCGCAATTGGCTGCCGCGTTCGCCCACAAATATACAGTCAATTCACTTTGCAGTATGTTCTGTGAAGCGCTTTGGGACGTCCTCCCGACGTGAAAAGCGCTATATCAAATGCAAGGATTATTATTATATATTATTATTATTATAAGAATTTTTAATCCTTTAAACACAACAAAACTATTTCTAAATCATTTATTTTAAAAAGAAATCTAATTATTTTGGAAATATTTATCACAGAGTATTTAACCCCACTTTAACTCTTCAAAGCAGTACTATATCTGCATTAAATCAGAACATATCACAAGATTATGTTTTCTCATTCATCCATGTTATGATATAAAATCCATATTAAGTCATGTAATATTCATGATTTGAAACATGGTTAAAATGATTCTTGGGGTTGTTTGACAGAAAACGAGTAGTTTTGAAGCTAATCAGTATTCAAAAGGGTTAAAGATATTATCTAGCTGCCTCATATAATGTTAATGTCAATGCCTGTACATTTTTATTAGGTAGGCGTTTATCATCCTTTTTATTGTTGTCCCACAGTCTTATTAAGGCAAGCACCTTTAGCCCTTTATGTTGAGGTTGTGAACAGCCCTTCACTTCTTCACATCATTCTGTTTCTCTCCTGAACGTTTGTTTCTTGCAGGAGATACTTACAATTTGAATGCAGAGAAGACTGAAAAACTTCTGACAATGGATGCCATGATGATGAAAAATCTGGCAATGCCTTATTTGTACTGTCCTGAACATTCCACCAACTGCAATGACACATCATGTCTGATACCTCTAGACAATTTCAACCAGCTTTTGAATATTATTTTAAGTACTGTGTTGACAATCATGTTGGCTTTAATTATGTTTTCCATGGGTTGCAATGTCGAAGTCAATAGACTATTGGCCCACCTCAAGAAACCGTGGGGTATATGTGTGGGCTTTCTTTGTCAGTTTGGTATAATGCCCCTCACAGCCTTTCTGCTGTCCTTGGCTTTTGACATTCATCCAGTTCAAGCAGTTGCAGTGCTAATAATGGGATGCTGCCCTGGAGGAACAGGATCAAACATTATGTCATATTGGATGGATGGGGACATGGATCTCAGGTACGGAAACAAGTGTTATCAAGAGTTACAGCATTGGATGTTTTTGTAACATTGAATTTGGAGTTTAAATTAAGCAGATTAATCAACATTCCCCATGTTGATGTGACATTATATCAAATAACTAAACTGTCTCCCAAATTAAGACTGAATTTAAGAATTTGCCAACATTTGCATGGTCTGAAATGCTAGGAAAATAGTCTTTGTCTAAAACCAGCTGGACTTTCTGACTAGTGGCATCCACACACATGCACAGCCACCGGGTATTTACTGAATAAGTAGCAGCAGTATATCCCTGGTTAATTTTTTTCCTTGTCTGACCAAGGTGTATTTGGCAGATCTATTGCCACCCTGACTGACAATAGTTATAGCAGCAAAGACTGGAGATCAACTATCCTTTCTTGGTTTGTGTGGTTCAGTGTTACAAGGATCAGTGAATTCACTAATTGGGTATTTCTGTATTAACTTACTGTTATCAACTGAAACAGTTTGTTATGGTACAAAAGCATAGTACAATATTTTGAACACCTATGCTTTAACATTTGTTGGAGCTTAATTGCTGTTGTTCCAAAAGGGTAAAGTCTATTGCATTCACTTAAGTTAGGAGTGTAGTGCACGGAGAGTGAACAAAAATAGCACTACACTTTAATTATGTGCACCTATGATGGACAGTTCCATTATCTGTGTACATTCATTAAAATTTACTTTCTGTCGGGTGGAGATTCCTAATGAAATTATTCCCAATGAAAAGGTAAAATCTAAAATACTATACTAATAATTTAGCATCCTGGGAATTTGATAATTAAGTGAAGAGGAGATAAGCTATGATTATTATATGAAATTATTACTTATCTGTCTTCATTACGTGAAATATTTGAGAATTTCTTTTTAATTTCTTTTTCTCTCCACTTTTGTTTTCTCCTATTTTCTCCTCCTGAAACCCTAGTATTAGCCTATAAGATCAATCATGTATTAAAATTTAAGATTGCCAGAATTGTAGAAAATTCTCAAATTCGGTCTTCATTTGGGAGCCATTTTCTTTACATTTCCTAAACCAAGCTGACATCACGATTAAGATTGAATTGAAGAATCTTCTACATATCTTGTAATCTTATATTTTAAGACAAAGTAATCACTCGGCCAAGGCAAGGTGGATGTTTGGGTGTCAGAAGACATTGAGTCAATCAAGGGCATCATTCCGAAGGCATTGGCATCTCTCCAGTACCTCACCCATTCTTTGCATGTGAGCCAAAATACCGAGTGCCAGCAAGATATTTTACCCTGCCCTAACCCTAATTAAAGCCAGTTGATCCTGCCTTCACCCAACACCCAGTCAGATGTGAAGGAAGAAATAAATTATATTTTTTAATGCCTTATCACATCAAAATGTTTTACGGCCATTACTGTCAACTGTTTCTTAGACAAATGTGAATGTCTTTTGGGCACAATCAGCTCCCACAAACAGCCATGAAGCAAATGATCAATTCATCTGAGGGATTCTTGGCCCGAACACCAGGAGAAAATCCCTTCTATTGTTAAAAGGTGTTATGGGATTTTTAAACACCTAACTGAACAGGCAAACAGATCCTTTAATGTCTCATCTAAAAACCAGCACCTCCAACAGTACATCCCCCCAGTCTTGCATTGAGGTATCAGTCTTGGTTATGAGCCCAACATGGAGCTTGAAGTTGCAAACTTCTGCCCCAGAGACAAGTGTGCCACCAACTGAACTAAACAGACTACAGTAAGATTCTGTTAATTGAACACTCAATTTGACAGCGAAAATTATTCAATAAACCAAACTATTCACAAAACCTACGAAACATAAGAGGAAATATAGTCCGAAATTTAATATTTGTGTTTCAGATTTATAGCTTGCATGTTTCATTTCTAAAAAGAAGTCACAGTTGCATTTAAATTTCCAGCATTAAACCATAAAACCAATAGTTATGATTCTGAACTGAATTTGAACATTACAGGATCATAACTTTACTCAACAACTAACATCCTAAAGACAGTAAAAGGTGTGAGTGCCTAGACTGCATAGAACTAGATTAGCAAGTGTTACATGTAAGGTTACAATCTGAAGCTCTTCAACCTTATTTAATAGACTGCAAACAAGGCATAGAGGTAAACGTTACAACCAGTTCAATGAAAGATTCAGTGGGCACCATGTAATGAATTCTTTGGTGTGGGTTAAGTGTTATTCTGCTCTATTCGATAAATTTAACAATTGTGTCCTAGGTCCTTAGAAATAAAAGTAATACAACTTTAAAAGTATAAATTAATTTTATATTTTAATGCAATGTTCTTTATTTATAATTTAAACTTGTATTGCAAGTTTTGCTTATAAAATACAGTCAAACCATTTTACAGTGTATTCTGTGAAGCTCTTTGAGACATCTCAACAATGTGATTAGGTGTCATATCAAGTCAAGGATAATGATTATTATTCAGTTATTTTAAGCAAACAGTGCAAGTTCACTGAACATCAATATTATTAAGCACTGATGTGGTTTTGATACAATTGAAGCATGAAATAGGTTATTATTAAATCAACATTATGATGGTAATGCTCCATGTATTGATACATTTATCAACATTTCAACATTCTCCATGTACATTATTAAAGTGCACTAAATATAAGAAATTTAAGGATTAGAACCTTAACTTCAACATCAATACAATTCATTGAATCAATATAGAAAAATTTAACAATTTATTCATATGATTCTTATCACAGTGAAATAATCTGAAAGTGTTTCCTATATTCATACCCATGTCAAATGTTTGAGATGTGAAAATATTTGTTTTGCGTGCTGAGTATTATTCGCTGTTTGTCTGAAACAAATCTGTATTTTCTTTTTCAGTATAAGTATGACAACATGTTCCACAATTCTGGGAATGGGAATGATGCCTCTTTGCCTCTTCATTTACACTAAAACATGGGTTGGTGCAAATTCCATCGAGATCCCTTATGACAGCATAGGTAATTTATCTGTAAAAAAAAATTACAATAAGTGAACAGTCCTCTATTTTTTGTGTATTTGTGTATGGAAGCTAAAGAAACCTGTAACTTGTGTTTTGCAGGTATAACCCTAGCAACTCTAGTTATTCCTGTTGCTTTCGGAGTTTATGTGAACTACAGATGGCCAAAACAGGCAAAGTTGATACTGAAGGTAACTTAAATACGCAGTTTTTAACGAGAAAAACATTTCTACAAGTTTTCCTTTGCAACATCATAATTTCATTGCTCTATTTTCCTGTCACGTTTTTTTTTCTTCACCTCTTTAGACTTTTGTCATGTAGCCACCTCCCAAATGGGAGTGCAGGCTGGCAGGACTCAGGCCTCTCACAAAGCTATTCTGTAACCTGGTAAAAAGACGTACAGGAGTGTAGCACAGACTTATTCATGGGTACAGGCTGTCGGGTCTATTTCACGGCAATTTCTAAATAGACCTTGATATTTGATTAACTTCCTTCCCATTGAGGAAGTTCTATTTGGCTCTTCTATAATGGCAAAACAAAGATGGGGAAGAAAACCTGAATCTGAACCACCCGCTTGGCACAATGCATTGGTGCAATGTATTATCAGGTTGCGTCATATTATTGCATTCCCTCCCAGATTGGTAAAACCCTCTGGGACGCTACCCTGCGTGAGGAGCACTACATAAATGCAAATTGTCATTGTTTATTGCAAATTTTGTAAATTATTAAATGACTCCAATAAGAGTCACTGATTTGAGGAGAGGGGGTGGGGCAAAAAGAAAAGGAAATTGGCAAACAAAATTACACATGACCAAGTAGTAATGAGCTACTGGGAAGTTTCTGTCATAAAAATCCAAATAGATTTAAATCCTCAACAAATGAATGCAAAACTGTGGATCACAATGTTTGTGAATAGCAAATTTCAATGACAAAAATCTGACTAAATTCAAGTTTTTTTAATTTGAATTTAGCCAGAAGGACCTCCATAGCCCTTAGTGTTCCTATACATTCATATATTCCTATGCCTTTGATACAGGTATGATTCACTTTGTAGTGCATTAATCTGTTCCACTGCTTTACATTTCTGGCAATATTTTTCTTACAGATTGGGTCTATCGCAGGAATATTTCTCATCATTGGTATAGCTGTGGCTGGAGCCTTGCTCTATAGAGGATCCTGGGCGACAGACCCTTCCCTCTGGATTATAGGAACAATCTATCCAGCCATTGGTTACGCAATGGGATTTATTCTAGCTCGTATTGCTGGCCAGCCTTGGTTTAGGTACAGCCTTTTTAATGCCTTTGTACTCAAATACAGTGAAAATATATTATTAATTGTAATGCTTTCAATTTTCCAGACAAAAACATAATGCACTTACTTGCTAGTGAAATACCACTGAGGATATCTCATCTACTAAAAAGATAACAACAAAAAACTCTAACCCTTAAGTTGTTGCTATAAAAATTCTCTGATACAATCTTAAATTGTAAACCTTGCTATGTTCTTGCAATTCCTAAAAGTACACTAACTGGTTGTATTTTGAACTGTGGGCATATGATCCTCTCTGATATTTTAGTAAATATGCAACATCTTTGATTATTTTAGGGTCTCAACGACTTGATTAGGTACTATAGCAAATGCAAGGATTATTATTATTGTAACGGTAATATCGCAACTACTGAAAAAACACTAAGCTGTGAATTGTTTTGAATGATTTACCGAGTGTTGCTACACATTATCATATCTATTTCAAATCTAAAGTAATTGCTAGCAAAGGTATAAAGAATGTTATCGAAAATGCTCCCTTGTCATTGAAATAATTCCACTTAAAAGGGGTGAGAACATTTGATGTTACAAAAACAAAAACACTTACTTGCTAGTGAAATACCACTGAGGATATCTCATCTACTAAAAAGATAACAACATCAAACTCTAACCCTTACGTTGTTGCTATAAAAATGCTCTGATACAATCTTAAATTGTAAACCTTGCTATGTTCTTGCAATTCCTAAAACTGGTTGTATTTTGAACTGTAACATTTGACTTTCAATAATATATTGCTACATGTTTGTGATCCCGAACTGGTGTGAGTCATTTGATCAAATGTTTTATTAGACCTTGGAAACAATGTTATTTACCATGATACAATGAAATTGTTCTGTAACTTAGTGGTTAGAGCACTCGCCTCACATGCTAGAAGACTTGGGCTTGATTCCCAGGCGGGGCAAAACGTTGGGCAAGTTTCCTTACCCCAAACACCGAGCAGTAAGTAGGAACCTGGTTGTTAGTCAATTAGCGGATAGGTTTTCCAGGGATAATAATCCCTTCAAAATAAGTAAATAATTCACGGTGGTTTGTGGGACACTGCTGTGCGCAATTGACTGCCACGTTTCGCCCACAAAATACGGTATACAGTTAATTCACCATACAGTATATTCTGCGAAGCGCTTTGAGACGTCTCAAAGACATGATAAGGCATTGTATGAAATGCAAGATTATTATTATAAATCAAGTTCAACAGTAATATAAACACTATTCTCGTATTCTCACAGATGCCGTACTGTAGCTTTGGAGACCGGTGCACAGAACACTCAGCTCTGCACGACCATTGTCCAGCTCTCTTTCTCACCTGAGCAGCTTGTTCTCATGTTCACCTTTCCACTTATTTACAGTGTCTTTCAAATAGCGTTTGCTGCAATACTGATTGGAAGTAAGTTTACTTTTTTTTCTTCAAATGCATCTTTAGATATATGAAAATCCTAAAAAGATGGGATGACTTAGTTGTTCAAATCGTTTAGATTGTGGAGTCCTGCGGCATAATGGTTAGCACGCTCACCTCGCAAGCAAGAGGACCCAGGTTCAATTCCCGGGAGGGGGTGAAATCTTAGGCAAGTTTCCTTACACTTCAATTATAAGATTATGGTTCCTGGACAAAAAATGGTTAAAGTTTTGCGTGCTGGGATAGGTTTAGGACCCTGTGATATTTGGCTGGGAATGGTGTGCCCTCTTGATGTTCATCATCTGGATCCAGGAGGTATTAAAGAACCATTTCCTGGCAGCAAAACAGTTATAATTTAGGATTTTTCAGCTCTATCATCCTTCATGAAGTGATGTTCCACATTGTCCAAGCAATATCTTTTGCATGAAGTATACGTTCCCCCTCAAAATAGTCATACACTTTACAGTGAATCCTGTGAAGCACTTTGAGACGTCCTCACGAAGTGAAAGGTGCTATCCCGAGGTTAAAGGTGCTATATCAGATGAAAGGATTATTATCATTAATGCATGAATGATAACTTTAATTTATAATTAGGAAAGACTCAAAGGATCTATCAGTAATTTATTAATAATNAAAAAACTGGATTGATACTGTCCTTTTAGTGTATGCGGCAACCACATTGAATTATTATTATTGAATAGATTTAAAGTGTGTAACAAAAAGCAAGAAGTGCACTGAGTCACCCTGTGGCGACAGATACAGAATGCATGTAGTAAATGGAGCACATTAACTGCTGCATGATTATTACAGAGCTAGATTTGGAAAATTCTGCCAGTGCAAAGCACATCTCTTATCCAAATTGCTAAGAGTAGATAAAATTTGTTTCAACTGTACCAGGTAGAGCAGCACGCCAAACTAGGTACTGCATCTTCTTGCAGAGAAGCTGATGCTATAGAGCTATATTAGCTGTAGTGTATTTTTCAGCATAATGAAAGTCTAATTTTTTGACTCATTCAGCGTATCAGGTTTACAAGAGACTCTGGAAGAAAACCGAAAAAGATTCTACAGCCCAAGAAAACAATGAAGAAAAACCCGTCTCACCCTATATTTCAACAAATGGAGGTTTCGATGCAGATGAAAAGGTAAAGAGTGATGTCACAAAAAATGAGCTCAGTATAGACCAAAAACTACCAGTTAAAATTACTAACACGGGGCTCTATCTAGATGGAAAATTGCCATTTGATGCCTTGGATGCAAATACCAACCTATAAAGATTCCACTTAAGCTTAAATGTGCGCAAGTTTGTTAAATATCTAATAATGCTTGGATTGTAAAAGCATTATTTGTAATATTCTTGTTGCTTAGGTCACTTGAATTTGCACTGTGTTAAGAGATTATTTCTAAAGACTTTGAACAAAACCCTTTATCTTTACATGATGTATATACTGTGTCCTTTATATAATACCATCCTTTCTATTGTTACACATGCAATTTGTTTTGAGTATTTTAAAGATAATTAGTAATGCTTTCAGAAATGTAATGATTGAAATCCTTGTTCCCCTGTGTATCATTTTTATTTGATGTGACAATCTCTGTCTTAAATTACATTGCTTCAGTTACTGCTTTGGCAATACGAGGCAGGGTATATATACACAGCATCAGTGGTTTTGTACGTGTGTGAGAGACACAATACAAACTTAGTGTTCTGATTTCCAGGGTTCAAGTTGATATGGGGTTAAAAACCAGGGTATTAGAAAGACAAAGCTACTCACTCTTCTGTACCACTACTGCTGGACAACTGGTGACAATTCTTCCGCTTACTTCAAAGCTAAAATAGTTTTGCATAGTACCAAGGTGAACTTTCAGGCTTTGGAGTATGCCATCACTGTATAGCAAGAGGCATTATCTATTCTATTTTTACGACTCATCCTCGTATGATATTATTGCAAATATTGTATGTGCAATGCTGTAACTGATAAAATCAACTTAAAATCAAAAGTGGTAATTATGCATAAGTTTACTTTCCAATACTTTCCACTTGTTGGTGCTGCCAAAAAAAATGAAGTAAATAGCAGTATAATTAGTCAATATCGATTAATTAATTTAGATTTGTGAAGAAGATGACAATGATAATTCTGGGATGTATTACTTATGCATTAGAGAAAAGCTCAGATCTTAAGTCATCGTTGGAAAAAATGAGAGGAAATATGATCCATGAACTGAAAATGTTAAGAGCCAAATAATATAAGCAAGTTAATTAAAACCGTGACAATAAAAGTGTAACCAATACAAAATTACCAAACCAGAAGCTTTGAAATGTTTCATCCATTTCAATATATGAAATAAACACTCATAAAATGCAAATGTTTTATTCTTGTCATTTTTTGATCATTTCTCTCTTCATTCTATTCTCAATTATAACCTGTCAGATGGCAAACTAGGGGTTGGCGAGGATATAACAAATTATATACTAATTTGTATAGCGCATTTCACGCAGGGAGGATGTCTCAAGGCACTGTACTGTAAAGTTTAGTGACTGTGTTTTGTTTGTCAACCAACATGGCAGCCAATTTGTACGCAGACTGCCATGAAGCAGTCTGCTTCCCAGACTGCCATGAAGCAAATGGCCATTTTAATGGGGGATTGGTGGCCAGGACACCAGGAGAAACTCCCTTGTCTTTTTAAATAGTGCCATAGGATCTTCAATATTTGAACAGGCAGAAAGGGCCGCGGTTTAACAGCTCATCCGAAAGATGGCAGCACACTACCAGAACTACATTGGCGGTCATCTCACATAATGTGAGTGCAATGTCCTGAAGCCGGGCTTAAACCCCAAACCTTTTGTCTCAGAGGCGAGAGTGCTACCAATTGCGACAGGATGACACACTGCACGTACAAATGATGCCCAAAGTACGCATTTTTGTGACAACAAAATTACATTTCCAGCATTATAAGTACAGAATAATATCTTACTTTTGGCTATGCTCATCAAACATTTTAATTATGCACAATAATTCACATTGTGCAAAAATCAGTTACACCCCAATCAATGAAAAAATATCATCAATATCACTGTCGAGCTTTGGCACCGTCTCTACAATAGCATCCACTGCTTTTGAAGAACCTGGTATTAAAGTCGAGAACTTGGGATTCTGAACATTTGCAACAGATTCAGCAGATAGGTGTTGAACAACGGACTCTCTCTTTGCTTCAGTTTGTACAGTTTGTAGAGTAGGTGGCACTGCCCTTTGACTTCTTTTCCTTTTCTTCCTGCGAGCATTATTGATTTCTTCTTGAGCGAATGCTTCATCGCCGCTGGCATTACTGTGTCTCATTTTGAGTTCCTGGAGAACAGTTGCTTTACTCCTACGTTTTTTAAGCACTTTGTTCTGGTGACGTGTGCCTTGCGACCACTTCACTAGGTATCTGCAAACCACTATTTTTGTGTCCTGTAGCTTCTTTTCAAAACTGAAATAAATGTAGAAAGCTGCTTGAAAACATTCATTTTTTAAAACAAACAAAACTGTGAATACTATAGAACACAGTGAATTAGGTTACAATACAATAGAGTCCTGTAGCTCAGTGGTTAGAGCACTCGCTTTGCAAGCGAGAGACCTGAGTTCAATTCCAGGCAGAGGGCGAAACCTTGGGCAAGTTTCCTTACTCCACACAGAGCCTAATAATAATCCCTCCAAAAACAAAACAACAATAAATTGGTCATTTTCAATCCACGACTGTTTGTGGAACATTGCTGTGCGCAATTGGAGGCCGCATTCGCTACATTTATGTAGCAACTTTCATAGCTGTGTTCAAACACAAGTCACTGAAAACCATCCAGATAGAATTATGGTTGATTTCCCCCCTCCCTATTCAAAAAACAATGAAGCAAATTGTTGCAACCCCTGAACTTCCCTGGCTGAGATCACTTCCCTTCTGGTTCCTATGGTTTAGTTCCATACTGGGGTGGGGGGGCAGCAATTTCAAGCACTAGCAGAGATGGCATTATATTTAGCTCGAGGTCCAATCACAATTCTGTGCCTATTTTTCATTCCTGCTGCAAGAACACGAGCCAATTTGTGACTGAATTACGCCACTGAATTATGCTGAATGGACTGGTCAGCAAATAAATATGTTTTTTTCCACTGTCCCGAATGCCAGTTATATAACCACATGTACCTGTAGCCCTGAGCTTCCAGCATTCCACGTCTGTTAGACCGGAGATATTGGTTTCCTAAATAGCGGCTTTCCCGTCTCAAATTCCTGTTCCGAAACCAAAGAAATATTGCCTTTAGCTCTTGAGAAAGCATTTTAAAAGTCTGTGTTGCTTTAATCTTCCTCACGAAAGCTTCTGTTGAAGGTTGTTCTAGTTCTTTATTCTTTGATTTTGTTGAGGCACGTGTACTCCGAGATTTCTTGGTGTTCTAGCAAAACAAAAATTCTAGATGTTCATCATGAATGATAGTATGTTATTCGTGGCTATTCAGGTAGATAAGGCTATATAAAAAAAGGCCAGTGGGGTCTTGGACTTTACAGCCAGAGGAATAAAATATAAAAGCGAGATGATGTTGAATTTATACAAAACCTTGGCTAGACCACATTTGGAGTACTTTGTCCAATTCTGGCCTCCACACAATAGGAAGGATATAATAGCGATGGATGATACCAGGGTTGGAGGGTTACTGGTATCAGCATAGACTGGATAGGTTGGGCCTTTTTTTGCTTGGGGAGAGACATTTAAGGGGAGGATCTAATAGAAATGTTTTAAATTATAAAAGGATTAACAAAAAGGTTAACATAAATAAACTGTTTCGACTAGTAGGGGAGTCATAACCAGGGGACACAAATATAAGATAGCGACTATTTTTATATCTAAAAGAGAATTTACGAGGAACTACATCACTCAGAGGGTAGTAGAACTCCCTGGCTGAAGCATTGGTTGAATCAGTTGGTATAGATTTGAGAGCAAGTTAGACCTGCACATGAGGGAGAAAGGAATAGAAGGGTGTGGGAGGGAGTAAGCAATGGGTGAAGACTCATGTGGAGTATAAACAGGGGCATGGACTGGTTGGGATGAGTGGCCTGTTTCTGTGCTGTACATTCTTTGTAATACTGTAAACTGTAAATAAATGATCTCCAAAATACAGTGGCATACCAACCTGAGAAAAGGTGTGACTGCTTGTCTGTAGAGAGGTCTTTTCAGGTACTGACCGTATCCCTGTTACTTAAATGGAAATAAAAGGTTTAGTTCAATTCCACTCTCAAAATACAAATATAATATTGTGAGCTCTCTGTGTGGATTCAGTTTGAACCAAAAGCTACATTTCATGAGTCACTATGCTCCGAAACTCTGGAACTCTCTCCCTCAATCTCTCCGCCTTGCTCCCTCCCTCCCTACCTTCAAATCCCGCCTAAAGATCTTCCTTTTTGATCATGGTTATGGTCACCTTCCCCCTCCCTCTTCCCCCGGCTCGTTGTCAGACTCCGCCACTGTGAAGGCTTTGGGGCACTACCCCACGTGAAGACCTTTGTATAAATGCAAGTTGTTGTTTTAAAATCTGAAACTAAAGCAGGGCAAACTATATAAACGTTACAAAATCTAAATTTAGGTGCCTAGCACTTGTTTTTTTGGTCAGCCGGGTGACTGACGTACAGAGTCCCCATTACCATACTTAAGAGTATCCAAACCAAACTGAGAATTCCATGCATTCTACCTACACCTGGAAATTCCCTGTGGAAAGCAAACTCTCCCTAGAGGGACTCATCCTGCTTATCTAATTCTGGAGTATTAGCTGCAGGCTGACAAGAGTCTAACCAGATAAAACCACATAGCTCGTCAAACTTTTAGTACTGGAAAAGGCAATTCATGGTGGTCCCATTACTTACAATATGGTTTACTTAGCAGTGTGTGAACACTTACCAACAGCAACTGTCCGGTTCTGTACAGGGCATCCAATGTCAACCATCTGCTTCACTTTGAAAGGGTTGCCAAGAATCGGTTTTCGTACCCGTGCACCAGCCTCACGGGCCTCCAGTAACACAGGTTCTTGTACTGAGAACAATTTGTCAAGAAGATCTGGTATTCTTGTGGGGATCTTACTCAGTTGAGATGAAATGTTCTTTAATTTCTCTTGCATAACTTTGGTGTAGGGAGAACCAAGCCATTCCTGAACATTGGCAGGTAAAGTAAAATCCTTCACATAAGGCAACTGTTGAATTTTTTCCACTTTCTTCAGGAGGGGATATAGTTTCTCATATAAAACAACTAGGCTTTGTAAAATCCCTCTAGATAGCACCCTAGGACGAGAAAACAAAAAAGGTTTTATCAAATGCTTTGTACAAGAGGTGTATAGGATAGGGGAATAGGAGAGGTGGGGCCTGTTTCTTGTGTCAAATTCCTCTATGTATAAATGTACCTAACAATCTGTGTTAAAAATGAACTTGAAATCACCATTTGACATTTAATTAGCAGTTTCCAAATTAAATTTATTTAAAAATGATATTATTTCTTCACTTACCAAAGTCTGCTGAGCAATCCTGTAACAATAAAATTTAGAACTATGAATTCTTGCCAGTGAAGATGCTTGATAGCCAGTCTAATATCAGAATTAAGGTATTCAGAGTATTTGTTTGTGTGACAAACATCAACAATTTCATACAACACATATGTCTATACCAACTCAATCAAAAAATAAGCAATGCTTTTTTTCAAAATTCATTCAATATCTGAATTTGTGACGAGTTATTTCAAATTAAACTCAACTCAAAACAGTTTTTTTTAAAGAATTGTTCAACAGTCTCCAGGGTGCAACACTCGGTGAACCTGATGAGACCCTGTTTTCTGGCTCCAGCTAAATTCCTAAGCTAATAGGCTGTAGATTCCAGTGCAGAGGCAGATAAAGCACAAAAGGCATGAAGGTCACAGGCGAGGGATCAATAAATTCTCTATAGCGAGGCCCATTAGCAGTTTCACTGCATATGTAGAGTCCTGTAGCTCAGTGGGCAGAGCACTCGCCTCGCAAACGAGAGACCTGGGTTTGATGATACACATTACAGACAAGCATAAACCGTACGTATACTTATTACCACTATAAATGCAAGGATAATGAAATGCTTTGGAGCACACATCCATAAGACGCAACATCAACTTGCAGCCACCCAATACTCTCAGTGCTGTCCACTCCAGCATTGGTTGGCTGGGAACACGTTTTGTACCGGCTTTGTTGATCTCGGATGTCCTAAATTTAAAAAAGGACAGTTACACGACATGTAAAAGGACTTGCTTTGAAAAGTACTATTTATTTTGGGATTTCTGTTGCATCGATTACCTTGGACACAACTCGATCAGATCCCGAATTGAAGCCTCGAGTCGCATATTACTCAGACGCTTTACACACTGTTCAACCTAATAAGATAAATAAACATTAGTGTTCATTTCTGAGAAGTTTTCCCGCTGCTTGTCCAGCTAGGACCACCCTACCCGTTAGGGCTTTGGCTTGCAGGGATGGTTGGTCAGTGCTACATAAGAAATAATTGTCACATAGCATATTGGCTCCCTATCCTTCAGAGGATCCAGTTCAAGATCCTGGTCCTCACATACAAAGCCTCCATGGCCTCGGCCCACCCTACCTCTGCGACCTCCTAACCCCCTACCAACCCACCCGCTCCCACCGCTCAGCCGGCTCTGGCCTGCTCCATATCCCCCGACCCACCCGCCCTACCATTGGCAGGAGAGCCTTCAGCCACTCTGCCCCCAACCTCTGGAATTCCATCCCAGTCACTCCGCCTCACCCGCTCCTTAGCCTCCTTCAAGTCCTGCCTCAAGACCCTCCAATTCGACCATGCCATCAGCCACCCCCCATCCCCCCCCACCCCAGCTCGGGTCTGAAATTCTGTACACTGTCCAGCGCCTCGGGACATCCTTCCAAAGTGAAAGGCACTATACACGAGTAATCTTATTGTTAAAACAGAGAATCTGTACCATATGAAATGTAAATCGAGTATCTTAACTATTGCACAAATTATATTTTGTGAATGAATTTATGTGTATTGTTTGCAATAATTTGAATGAAAATATCCCAAATTTTTTATTCTACATTAAAACACAATTTTAGCTGAACTGCCTTTGTATGTAGTTTTACATTGCAGTAAATCATGGATCTGCTCAAGAGAAACGAGACTCTCCGCTAACACACTAACCTGTTTCAGTGCTAGATACGGCTTGTGTTGGCGCAGCTTGTAGTGAAAAACGTACAGCAAAGAAGACAGAACATCCAACTCTGCTGTAAGAACTCTACTTCTTAATAGCTTTACAACGTTTTGACAGGCCGGTATGAGAACCCGTATACATCCATCTAAAATAAAACAGGATAATTTTGTTACTTGAATTTATTTAACATGCTATCCTGTACTGATATCTTTATGTATGTTTGTATATATTTTTTAAAAACTCCAACCTCCCCCATTCACAAGAATCAGCCAAAAAATGGTTTAAATAACAGTTCCCACTTGTAAAATTCATCCAACTGATGGTTCACGTGATCCATTCAATTCTGAAATGTGTTGTCAGGGTTTCCATGACTGCCAACATATGACATTGTACTGAGGATATAGGTCAAGGAAGTGATGGAATTGAACACTGATCTATGCTGAAATCATCCAAGGTTAAACCAGGATTCCACCTCTGATAATGCATCATACCTCTGCATTGAAGTGTCAGCCTACCATAAGCTCAAAGTTCCCAAAAAAAGCCCGACGCTTTGAGAATCACCACCTTTTGACTGGTTACCATCTGAGCCAGGCTGATCCGATATACACTGACATCAAAGCTTAGCTCCAAAAAAAGATCTTGGGGAAATGTAATATAATAGTATATGCAGTTTCATGCAGAATGTGCACTTTGAATCCTATGAAGCTTTTGCTGGCACGCACGCACCATTTACTATTTCATCAGAAACCGTTTATTCAACCCCAATATCGCTGAGACTGTTTCAAAACAGCAATGCACTTTTGGGGTTTGTTAACCATCAAAACTTACAGCACAAAAAAGTTATTTTGGCCCATTGTATCTGTGATGGATTTTTAAAGAGCAATCCTTTCAATCCTATTTACCTGTCTTTTTCCCATAATCCTGTAATTTATTTATTTTCAGATAACCAGCGTCATTTGTTTTTTTTAAAAAAATTAAATGCACCTGCAATTTTGAATTTATTAATACTCTATGTCATTTCCCTTAGTTTGTTTCTATGATTTTCTGCATGTAAATGGTTTCCTGTCTCAATCCCTCTGCCTTGCTCCCATTCCCCAGCTTCAGATCACAGCCAAAGAAAAATACTTTACTCTTCTCTCCTCGTCTTCAAAGTACACCATTGTTCAATGCTCGAAGATGCTACCCTGCGCAGAAGGAAGGGCGCGATATACATCTCTAACAAATATAATAAATTGCTCCTGGTAACCTTGTGCACAGGTCATATTGGATAATTGGAGTCTTATCCTGATTTCACATACGAGTTTGCCTACAAACCATGCCATCCCCACCTGTGAGGCCAGATACCCATTCCTTTTAATTTCCTCTTTTTTGGGGAAACACCTTTACTTTCACTAACAAAGAAAATCAGTAAAATCGTTACAGTTGATGCTCTTTATTTGAAAGTATGATGTGTGTAGAAATGTGATACTGTAAAGTGCACATTCCTGAATTAATCTTGCTGGTTACAACACTTCATTTGTTTACCGTTGAATGTGAGTTACAAAGAAGTATAAAGAATTTACGAAGGCAAATATCCAGTTTTGAATCAAGCCACACAAGTTGCATGTGGAGTCCTGTAGCTCAGTGGTTAGAGCACTCGCTTTGCAAGTGAGACACCTGAGTTCAATTCCAGGCAGAGGGCGAAACCTTGGGCAAGTTTCCTTACTCCACACAGAGCCTAATAATAATCCCTCCAAATCAATAATAAATTGGTCATTTTCAATCTACGACTGTTTGTGGGACATTGCTGTGCGCAATTGGCTGCCGCGTTCGCCCACAAATATACAGTCAATTCACTTTACAGTGTGTTCTGTGAAGCGCTTTGGGACGTCCTCCCGACGTGAAAAGCGCTATATCAAATGCAAGGATTATTATTATTATTACTATTATCTCGAAACACACCGTGCAAACCTTACGGTAGTGCTGCGGAGCAGCGCAAAGAAACTCCCAGCAGTAAAATAAAACAGCTCCTTGCAACCCATAGGGAGGTCGGTCCACTTTAAGGAAGAAAACAGTGATTGCAGCTGCATCCCCGGGTCACAGGGGAGCGGGGGGGGGGAGGGGGGGGAGGGGGGGGGCAATGAGAGAGAGAAAGCGAGAGGGAGACGGACGGGAGCGCCGGAGCTGCTCCACACGGCCCGCGGTACCTGTGTGGGAGTCGCTGCTCACGGGCACAGTGCACTGACTCCCCGGCAACGGCACGGTCACCGCGTTCCAGGCCGGACCCGCCATGTTCCTCACCCGGAAGCAGAACCCCACCACGCGCACACACACACACACACAGGCCCCGCCCCCCTTCCCCCGGGTCAGCTGCTTCACGTGGCTCCCGGTGCCTCGGACCCCGCCCCCGCGCCGCACGTGACCCCGCTGGGGGTTTGGGGGGGCGGGGCCAGGGGGGACCGGGCTCGGGCCTGGCAGTCAGTCACGTGCACAGGTCATGTCCCGAACTGTGCACTGTGTCGCACCGTGTTATTTCCTGGAAGGCGCACACACACACAATGTCCCCCACACCCCCACACACACAGTCTCCCCCACACACACCCCCCCCCCACACACACAGTCTCCCCCCCACACACACACAGTCTCCCCCACACACACACAGTCTCCCCCCCAACCCCACACACACACAATCTCCCCCCCCACCCCCCCACATACACACACAATCTCCCCCACACCCCCAGTCTCCCCCCCACCCCCACACACAGTCTCCCCCCCACCCCCCCCCCCAGTCTCCCCCCACCCCCACCCAAACACACACACAATCTCCCCCTCGAACACACACACACAATCCCCCCCCAACACACACACACACATAATCTCCCCCCTTCCCCAACACACACATAATCTCCCCCCCCCTCCCCAACACACACATAATCTCAAACCCATATCCTCACACTTGAGAGCCATTTTTTGGTCAGCCAGGTTCCTGACACATGCGGAATCCCATCACTATGCTTATTAATGGTAATGTAAGATTACAACAACAACAAGATTACATTTGTATTGCGTCTTTCACGTCGGGAGGACCCCACTGTCCATTTTTGACCTGTGAGTTTCCACCTTTATATTGTAGGACACAAGGTGGTCATGCTCTGAACACAATAACCTGAATTGAAATGATGAGACAGATACCAACCACAATAATAATAATCCTTTAATTTAATATAGCACCTTATCACATTGTTGAGTCGTCTCACAGCTCTTCACAGAATATATTGTAGTGGATTGTCTATTTTGTGGATGAAAACACGGAAGCCAATTGCGGTCAGCAGTATCTGACAAACTGGTTAAGAAATAAAAAAAAACTATGGGTTTCCCCACCCTATAAACCAAAATATGAGTATTATGTTGTACAGAATAATTTATTGTTGATATGAATATGTTGATATGACAATATATTGGTTGTATATACACACCGTCATTTCAAAAGCATCACCTGGTATCTGGTATATTTGTAAAATCCAGGAAAATAACGAAAAAATCATGATACCATTACAATCTCTAATAAGTTTTAATGAAATGATGATTTTTGTTTACATAATAGGGTAGATATCACATCTTTTTGATCACCCTGTGTAAAGCGAAAAAGTAAAATATGGTTCTACATTAGTACATGAAAGGATAACAATGAATGAGCTTGTGTGTTTATCACTAATTATTGAATTGACCAGTGAGTAACACTTGATATTCAATAACAGTTTCTTTTATTGGTATCTAATTCTCTGACTGCCCCTCCAAAAGATCCAATAAACAACAAAATGAACAACTTTCACTTATATAGCACCCTTCTTGCAGGCAGCATCTTGGAGTGCTTAACAGTGGCAAAGCCTGACGCCAAACCGAGGAACAATAAAAGGTTCTGAGGCTGAATGAAACAGCAAGTGTGATTATTTAACAGTACTTTGAGCTAAATCAATACATGTCTTTTACTGAGTAAATTAAAAACTCAGTAAATGAATTTGTTGAAGGCGTTATAACAATTGGGTAATCCTTTATTTTCATCCATTAACGCAAGCGTTTTAAACTCTGTAACCATGATTAGCACAAACATTATTTGAAATTTATCTTTTTTGTAGGATCTTCTGGATCCATGAAAGGACCTTAGTATTAATCTCAGTCATAATGTCTTCCCTTGCTCGTTGTTTAACTTCCATTCCATGGCTAGCTCCTTCTACCCAGTGTACTTCAGCGGCCACTGGCATTTGGTTCAGTACTCTTTCCAACACGCTCTATATGTACAAATAATTTTAGACACAATTAAACTTCTTTATCAGTATAAACATAGCACTCTACCAAGGTATGATAGGAAGCCAAATAAAATATATGAATGTATATTACATTTAAAAATCATAACTGAATTGTTAACAAAATTACATTGTGGGACGCTGCTGTGCGCAATTGGCTGCCGCGTTTCGCCCACAAATATAGTCAATTCACATAATCTGTGAAGTGCTTTGAGACGTCTAGAAGACGTGAAAAGCGCTATATCAAATGCAAGGATTATTATAATTATTATTTGTAAAGTGCCCTTCACGTCGGGAAGACGTCTCAAGGTGCAGTGTTTCGGACGCGGGCTAGGGGTCGGGATTGGGGAGGGTGGAGGGCAGAGAGGGAGGCAGGGAGATTGAAAGCACGGTCGAAGAGGAGGGTCTTGAGATGGGTCTTGAAAGAGGCAAGGGAGGGAGCGAGGCGGAGGGCCTGTGGGATGGAGTTCCAGAGGATAGGAGCAGAGTGGCAGAAGGTAGACTGTAAACTAATGAATTCCAATGTAGAGCTTGAAACCAGAATCTTCAGCCCAGAGAAGAGAATGCTATCAACTAAAGAGGCACACAATTTGTGTTTGAGCTGATACCTCAAATCATAATAATAATCCTTGCATTTGATATAGCGCTTTTCACGTCTTCTAGACGTCTCAAAGCGCTTCACAGAATATGCTGTAAAGTGAATTGACCGTATATTTGTGGGTGAATTATTAGGTTACCATAGATCTTTTTCCCCTCCCCACTTTTCTCATTGTAAGGAAAATTTCAATCTAACTCACTTTCTCACACATTTCATCCAGTGATCCAGAAACAAAAAGGACTGGATAGTGCACGAGAAGCAGATCATCTGTTCGAAGTTTACTTTGCTGCTTTGGTGGGTGCAGTGGAAATGACAGGCAAATGAGGCCATCTACAAGGCCTTCATCAGGACTGTCCTTACACTGTCTAATTATACAAGCAGCAGCCCTGGAACCCATGGAACGACCTAAAATACAAAGATATTTTACATATCATGTATTAATAATCAAAATTTCAGAACTTTTTTTAGAAGAAAGCACTTTTTCGCACACATTTATTTTTAAAATATTTTTCAGCAACTTCTTTTAAACGGGGAATGTGTTCACTTGCCTCCAAGAAACCAGCTTTTTACTTCATATTCCTTTGACGATTTTACATGCTCCTGCAATAATTATTGTTGAAATAACAAGTTACAATTCAAAACAATTCAAGCCAAGAAAATTGTATAACATTTGGAAAATAAATATCATTTACACAGTACAATTTATTAATACTAATCTTTGTATTTGATATCATGCTTTATCACTTTGTTGAGATGTCTCAAAGAATATACTGTAAAGTGGATTGACTGTGTATTTTGTGAGAGCAACGCAGCAGCAAATTGTGCACAACAGTGTCCCACAAACAATCGTGGATTGAGTGAATCTAATGTTTTTTTGGAGGGATTATTACCCCGGGAAAGCGATCCGCCAATCAACTAAAAACCAAATTCCTACTTATTGCTGGGTAAACGGAGGCGTGTGGAGTAAGGAAACTTGCGTACGCTTTCGCCCTGCCCAGGAATGGAACCCGGGTCTTCTTGCTTGCGAAGCGAACGGGCTAACCACTATGCTGCTGGCCTCCCACATTACACTTATATCGCACCTTTCAAGTCGGGAGGAGGTCTCAAAGCGCTTAGTGCAAATACAGTGTTCATAATGAAAGATTACCTTACCATCACTGCCCTATAAGCCCTAATTCTGTAGTTTAAGTTGAGGCCTTTGCACGTGAATCTAAGGCATAGGATGCCATTGCATGCAAGAAATGATGCCATGGATACCAGCTGATGAAAGTTCATGTCTCCACCTGCACCATGGGTGAAAATGACTCCATGTGTGTGAGGTACAATTGGGACTGTGTAGGCTGCATCTAGAAACTTTCCCCCAAATGGTATCTTTAATTTAACCTGAAAAATGAAATACAATATACTGTATTATTTATTATCACATTTCAGATTCAGATGCAGTGAACTCAAAGCTGCAAAAATAACTTGCAATGGCTATAATTCAACAGAAAAGCACATGCAGTACTGTATCATTTTTTTTTGGTGGGGTGGGTAAATAGGATCACAAATTCATTTTGTTTCCCTACTTTTAAACTAAAATTGATATGAACATAATATGGGGAAATGCACCCTTGGTTTCCTGGAATACTTAAGTTCTAGGCAGTTTCAGCCGTTTCCTTTACAAATTCCATCAATAGGTCAAGCATTTACTTCAGGTAATTAAGATTAATACATTCATTTCCTCCAGGCAAATTTCAAGTGAACATGCTTATATTTGCTCGTATCTGGTCAGCGTTAACTGCAGTTCCTGCAGTTTGGGAGAGGATGTAAATCAATACATAATGCATTTACTAAAAAGATATACGGGAGCAAAGCGCTCTTCATAACGTGAAGCGTTAGGCACCGACTCCAAAAATTCAACAGCAGTAAAATAAATGCACCATTTGCAGAGGCAGGAAATGTCTCACCTCCTCACTGGTGCTCATGTTGAGCTCCTGTGCTCGCACCGCCCACTTCTGGTCATTTGCAAACGCAGATGTCAGTCCCCTCCTCACACAGCAAGTACAAGGCAGTCAGTACAAGCTCTCGTTTCACTGGTTTCATGTGAATGAACCAATTACTGTCTCTGACACTTTGGTCACACTATGATATGCAAACATGTTTTACTTGCAATTCTGTGAATTACAAGAAGATCCGAGATTTCTTTATAGCCATTTATTACAGCTTTGACTGAGTTGAGTCCCACTGTTTCTGCTCTCACTGTCCCTGCAATAGTAGGTCAGGGCAGCACTCTTGTCCTTAATTTTTCTAGTTTTTGCAATTTAGTTACTTTACATTTTCTTATTATCAATACAATAGTGTGCCTCCAAATTTCATTTTTGTATTTTTTGAGATAGTACTGTTTATTAATTTAGAGTTATTGATTGTAAAAGCACAGATTCATTGGTGCTGTGTACAATTTTCCATTTAGGGTGAAATAATAGTGAGTGTAGGCAGCTTTCAGAGGGTTGGGAACAGTGTTTAGCCTCAGTTTCCAATAGTATTGCCTGAACATAACTTTTGCTTAAAAAAACAATACCAGAAATTTGAGTTTTGTTATCAGCCTCAATTTTGGGTTCCTATCACTAATGAATATTCTTATGTAAGCTTCGTTAAGCACTTCAAGATGCTACCTGTGCAAGGGGTGCTATATAAATGCAAGTTATTGCATACATCACATTAAGAAAAAAATTCGGAATCCCCCATATTATAATATTAACCCACAGGCAGAGAAAAATAATCTTGAATATGCATTTATTTTACAATTTACTATAAAACAAAAATAACTGCATGATATAAAACATTCCAATAAGAATAATACCTTGTGAATAATAAAGTGAACATTTGGTTATTCATGATTACACATAGCAATAATTGTTTCCAGTTCAAATCTTAAGATCTACTCTTTCTGATTGAATACTTTAAACAGTGGCACAGGAAAGTATAACTTGCATATTCTGAATGCTCATGAGATTACATGATTAATTTAAGACAATTATTTATTTGTAACTGGTTTCACCAAACCAGTAGCTAATCCAGCATACAAGATATTTTCTCTGAACATGCAGTTCAAATATGTAGGTTCATTGTAGTATGTTACAATAGAGCCTTTTGGTAGTCTTATTTTAACTTCCAAAGTAAACATCATTACAGGAGAAAACTGCACTGAAATGTGTTACTTAGTCCTAAACATCAATTTGATCTCCAACTTCAGTGTAGTCAGTTTTCTCTTCCTCCCCTCCCCCCCCCCCCCCCCCCACCATCAATTCTCAAATGAAAACTCCACGCAATCTTAACACTGCTGATTTCTGTAGAGTGCATTTACTAAGCATGGCCAATTCAAGAAGAGGAAGCATTCGTTCATGGATATGTTATATATACCAGGGATGGTGTCACAATCTTGGATCTGGTATGCAATACAGCTTCAAATCCAAACCAGCATTTACAGTTCATGTCCATGTTGATAGAATTGGGATGCAGGTGCAGGAGTTTTTATTCTAATTATGTTTTTGATTTTTTAGGAAACATTAATAGTACATTTTGCAATTATAGTAACGCTGTAAACAATGTGATGGACAGCAATTGAGCTATCTTGTGTTTGCAGGACTGACACCATTGCAAATTTGGCAATATAGCAGTTTTGCAGAGAGTAAATATAAAAAGATGAAAACATGCTAGTGCTTTTCTGAGAATCGAGTTGAGAACAATTTTTAGGTTAGGTAAAGGGAAATTGAAATTTCATCTCGGTCGTGCCACATCTCTTTCCAGCACCTGAGATGGCCCAGCCAACAGCATAAACTGGAAGAAAGGTTCCACTTCCTTGCAATTAAAGAAATAAAGGAATATTCCTGTATTTAACATTGAAATAGTTTAAATGACACTCAAAAACCAAACACTCAAATTTGGAATGGTTTGTTGTTAATAAAACCTAAATTTAAATAACTTTGGTTTTTACTTTACTGAGCAATACATTTTTGTTGCAGGTATGAAATGGCTTCTTTTGACATTGCTGATCCCTTTTCTCCCATGTCTTTATAGCAGCATGAACAAGTCTTCAATAATGCTTAGTATTGTATCAATATGTATCAAGTTAAACTAGAAGTTGATCAATTTGTGTCTGTTCTTTATTTTTCTGTCAGTCCTCATCTTCATGGTCAAAGTTCATCTTTGATCTGAAATTAAGATTACATAAAGTATTTAGATTCCCACTAGAATTAAAGACCGATTCATATTACATTCTTTGGGAACAGCAGTAAAATGTTTGCAGGATTTCAATGCCTATAAAATGCTACTTTTGTGTTATGATCTTCCCTTTCTGTTTTTGTCAATACAACATAAAAACAAATGGGTTAACACTGGCACAGAATGTTTGGGCTGAGTGGTCTGATTCCATACTGTACATTCTTTTAACCTTTACATCTATTTTTTAAGTATATTTTACTTTGTCCAGGTCTTGAAATTCTAATGCAATTATTCAGGGTTCATTTCTAAAGTTCAAAATATTTCTGCTTACTCTGATTCCCTTTGTGCCTTCAATTGTTCAAGGAATAGAGAGATACGGGAGAAGGGAATAGTGAAGAATGGGAGAGGGAAATAGAGAAGCATGGGAGAGGGGAATAGAGGGGCAGAGGAGTGGGAAATAGATTGAAATTTTCGTATTGAAATTTCTGTGGGTGAAATTACAAGCGGGTTGTGCCAGAAGACACACTTGAGGTAATCTTTCTTTTCAATCCATACTCTACCTTTGTTCTATCACATGTGCAAGGGAAAAGGTCATCTTTGGTTTGCTCCACTAGTTCCATACCATCCCGTATTTTTGGTTCACTAATCTGAAGATTAGCATACTCCTGTTGAACGCAAGTTACATAATATTTTAATGTTTACTCACTATCAATTTCTCTTCTATATTCTGTTGGATTGTTTCAATTTCTATCATAACACTCAGAACTTACTTTGGCTCAATGCAACAATTTAGCAAGAGGAAAAAAGGATGAGGAGCAGCAACAAACTGAGGAGAGGTTCTCTGACAATAAAATCTAGAGACGCACCGTGATGCTTTGCTTCAATTATCTGATCATTGAAATTACTTTTTATTTACTCTGATAACATTACATCAGCTTAATTGAATGCCCCAGTTTCAAACATGACAACACATATTTACACTGGTCTACAGAAATAACTGTATTCACTGGTAATTACTCAAAATTAGAGTAACAGAAACATCTTATCATTTGAGATAAATATGGTACAACGATGGGGACTGTTGTCCGATTAGAGATAGCATTCGACCAAAGGTCATACAATGCATGTCTGAATGGATAAGTTAAAGGAACATTCTTCATAGAGCTTGCTTGTCAAAAGTTAAGGTAACTATTCTGATCACAAGTATTTGACCTTGACATAAAGTAATCATACAGCTACTGCTCCAAGTAGTCCTTAGTTTGTCTTAATTATTCTCAATCAGCCCTTTATCAAGTTCCAAAGTTTAACAAGTTTATTGCATAAGATAAAGATCTAGTAATAAAAAGGAATCTGTAATCATCTTTACAAGATAAAATGTATAAGAAATGCACAGTTGAAGCATTAAGAGTTTCTCATCAATGTAATAAAACACTTTGCACTTACTGTTTAGTCATGTCAGAGGAAGCATAAAATAAGTGCATAAAAATGAGAGTTTAGGGAACCAGAAGTCAGCAGCATTCAAAGCAGAATGAAACATGGCAATATCAAGTCAGCGACTCTTTAAAAAATAAAATTTTGTAACAAAATGTCATTTATTTAATTGGCCAATTTTGAATGGATCTACCAATTTGCCTTTTAATATTGGTATTGGGCATTGGATTTTAGAGTTGTACCTAAATAAATGCTATTTATTTAAAAGTTATTCAGAGCTGTCTAGAGCTTTTAGGTATTAGATGGGTTTGTCAGAGTANAAATACAAAGTTCTACATACCTGGAAAAGTTTAAAATAGTAACAGAAGATGTGATCTCCCATAAGATTCTTCCTAGCATAATCTTGTCCAGCTTCTGCGATAATTTTGGCCTAAACATTATATCAGGAAAATGAACAAAAGTCTCAGTAACCTGTGCATAGTTACAATTAATCACAGCAAATGTGGAACAGACTACCATAAAAAGTATTGAGATTTTTCACTGGACCAGTATAAATGGAAAGAACAAAGCAAATGTACAATACATATACTCACAAACAATTTTTCCTTGGCCTTTGTAATGAGGCCATTCATAAAATATTTTTCAGAACCCAGATAGACAACAATATGTAGTTATACAGTGCCCTTCATGTAGGATATCTCAGAGCACTTTATAGAAAAGTATTGGAAACTGAAGCAAGGTGGGAAAATGGCATAGGGGCTGGGAGAGAGTTGACTGAACGTGCAGTTAAAGAGGTAGGCTTTTAGAAGTGTTTTGTAAGCAGAAAGGGAAGGTGCAAGGCAATGGGATTTCGGGAGAGAGTTCCAGCAAGTAGGAGCATCGTAGTTGAAAGCTCAGCTGCCAATGGTGGGGCAAAGGACGTGAGTGATAAACAGCAGACCTTTGTTTGTGGAGTGAAGGAAATGGACAGGAAAGTGGGACTGGATGAAACAAGCAATATACTTATTTTCTCTTCGCATACACACAATGTTTTGATCTTAAAATTTATGCATTTCTATGAATTTTTAATGTTAATTATTGCAAAATAAGACACATTTGATCTTGTCCTTCCAGAATACCCACCCTGCTATCCTCCCATCATTGCATCAAACTGATTTTTGAAACAAGTCCAGTATCCTGGCATCAACTCGCCTTCCTAGCCACTTGTTCCAGCCGTTAATTAAATATTAGCTATGATGTATAACATGGGAACAGGCTATTCAGCTCAACTCATCCACTCTGGGGTTTAATCTCACATATACAGTAAGTTCCCTCAAAATGCATGAAAGCTTTCTGCTCCAATCACAACTTCCATAGTTATTATGTAGTTACTTCAAATGGATCAAAAATAACTAGCTACAGGCAATTAAGCGGCCACTATACCACAACCCTGAAGGCAATATGGATCCAATATATATTTTATCTTTACAACGTAGGACTCTGATCTTTGAAAAATTAATTCTGCATGTTCGTGACAATTTAAGAAAGCCTAGGTGTGGTCACGTACTTTAAGATCTGTGCTGAAGAACTGTCAACTAACATGGACGATGATCAATGACTCTGAAGAGCTTAACATGTTATCAAAATGTAAAATCAAAGCTGGCATCAGAAATCTGAGATCGCTACAATTACACATATTGAAAATTACCTCTTTATCATGAGATTTTGCCCATTGAAGTTTGTCCAAGAGGTCAATTAAATCACTCTTAAAAGGAATGTAATGTTGCCATGGTTGTAGTTCATTGTAGAAGTGCTCATAATAAATTGATTCTTGCTTCAGGATCACACTATTGCCCGCCAGCAAATAGGGCATTCTGTACGCTGCCACCGTACCATCAATATTGATTTGATACTTAGACTACAAAAAAAATTTGAAAATATTAGATCATTTTCAGACCTGGTCCAATGCACTTATTTTTTATCATAGAAGCACACAGGTGAGCAAAGTTCTTCATCCAAGCCACCAATGTCGAGTGATTCAGAGAAGACGTATAATGGTAGTCCAGTTGAATATTTTGCATTCATTGTCTTGCACTTCACATTCAACTTAAAAAAAGAAACTGCCAATAATTATATACAATGCATTCTTTTTACAGAGAAAGAGCAGAGAATTGGGATTAGAATAAGTAAGCTTCAGTGGAGTATCTAGCATCAGCAGAGGCTCGATGGCTTCTAACTATGGTGAAATGTCTACGATTTTCACATAAAGGTTAAATAATTAGTGGTAGAAGCAATGGGAATGCAATGTGAATTAGGCCATTGCTACAGAACATCTCCAGTTTCCATTATATGTTAACAGATGAGGATAATATTCAACAGATGTTTAATGTACAAAAGTGTGAACAAGTATTTCATCAATCCAAGAAATTCCAGTAAGATAAAATTTCCTTTTTCTGCCATTATAATTTGTTGTCAGCTTGATTCTAGTGTTTGCTAGTTTCTGCTAATGTGAATGCTTTTATAGAATTAGTAACATATTTCACATCAGGCCCTCTATCCCTAAAGAGCAACCTATAAGAAGGTGACTATAGAAACGTTCATATTAATTTCTGCTCCACCATGGAATAATATATTTTTCAAAAATCTCTATTTGTGCTTGGAAGGTTGCTATTAAATAATAGTAATAATCCTTGCATTTGATATAGCGCTTTTCACATCTTCTCGACCTCTCAAAGCGCTTCACAGAATAGACTGTAAAGTGAATTGAATATATATGTGCGGCAGCCAATTGCACACAGCAGTGTCCCACAAACAGTCGTGGATTGAAAATGACCAATTTATTATTGATTTGTTTTGGAGGGATTATTATTAGCCGTGTGGAGTAAGGAAACTTGCCCAAGGTTTCGCCCCGCCTGGAATTGAACCCAGGTGTCTCGCTTGCAAGGCGAGTGCTCTAACCACTGAGCTACAGGAGGACTCCATTAAACATCTCAAGTAGCACATAGATAAGAGGAGCAAAGTTCTTCATCCTCCAATGTCTAATTAGGAATACTCTGTTTATAAACCTTTAGTCAGCAGAAGCCTTACAATTCCACCTTAGAATTTTATTATACTTAAACTTATATTATACTTCAAGGTTTTTGGGTACATCATTTCCAAGTCTATAAAACGTACCTGCATATTTTATTACATTGTAAAATCCAGGAATAAAAGTTTAATTTTACAAGGTCAATGTTGTCTACATTGTTCGACTCAAGGACAATAAGATTATGACCCCAAAGCTATCAACCTATACAATTAAAGCTTGACTATAGATCAAATGAATATCCTCCACACACCCACACCCACCTCACATCAATTTTAGTCATGCTCATCAAAAGATGTTTTGGCTCCTTCTTTCCGGGTATAGTTTCGCAAGCACCAGGTTCATTCTGGTAATAATATAATAATCCTTGCATTTGATATAGTGCTTTTTATGTCTTCTCGATGTCTCAAAGGGCTTCACAGAATAGACTGTAAAGTGAATTGACTGTATATTTGTGGGAGAAACGCAGCAGCCAATTGCGCACAGCAGTGTCCCACAAATAGTTGTGGATTGAAATGACCAATTTATTATTATTTTTTGTTTTGGAGGGATTATTATTAGGTGTGTGGAGTAAGGAAACTTGCCCAAGGTTTTACCCTGCCTGGAATTGAACCCAGGTGTCTTGCTTGCAAGGCGAGTGCTCTAACCACTGAGCTACAGGTCTTCATATTTACTTTGGGTAAATAACCCAAAGTGGCCAAGGGGCCTGTCAGAGTCCCTCCAGTGGTGGTCTCTGGACAGCAATTATGGGTTCTGAGGGTAATTGTAAACCTCAATTACTGATCTGGCTGAGATCAGCCAACTCAACACCGTAGAGCCAGGTAAACTGACCGGAATCAATTTGGTACCACTTTGTTGCAATGAAAAATCATCAACTTTGTTTAATGCACACAATAACCCAACAATGATGCGAAAAAATTTGGCTGAACTAATATTTGCTTCACTCGTTTCCAGAACATATTGTGCATTCTATCCAACATCATGTCTCATGTCACATCTATAGAAAGCCACAACTTTTCTAACAGAACCCATATAAGTATGCCAATTATGAATTCAGAAACAAAAATGAAGTGTACAAAATTGATGAGTATTTACTTGGTCCCATTCTTGTAATGTGCTTTTCAGCCTTAATGAGGCACAACACACATGACACTGTTTTCATCATCGATACTTCTTTGCAAATGTGTATACCTCTTTACGATCAGAAATGTCTTATCAGAGATTCAAATGTAGTGGGAGAGCAATTCATTATACTGCTGCAAATTAAATGAATTTTATAAAATGTGAATAGAGATATACCTGTTAGTTATGGGACAATTGCCAGAGAATGTTGTATGATCAATACGAACAATGTTAGGATTGTTCAATATACCCATCTTACTATACCAAGGTGCTTTAATCTTTTTTTCTTTGGTCTGTAAAATCCTATGAAATGTCTTAATATATACAATACAATTTACATTTCTAATAGCACCTTTCACATCAGGACAAAATGGCTTTAAGTGCACCTGCCTGTGGTGGAGGAGATAGGTCAGGGGACATGAAGCAGACCAGTGTTTGGTGAGCAAAAGAAACAGCCAAATTGATGTGATTGAAGGAGATCGCAAAGGTAGGGGTCGGGCGAGATCATGGAGGGATTTAAATGTGAGAATGAGGAGAATTAAGGAATAGATCTGGGTATAAGTAATTTTACAAGTACACATATTAAAATCATACACATAATAAAATTGTATTAAAAAAGCACTGTCATACATTTCTACACCTTTTAAATCATGAATCGAGTAACATCAAAACCATGACCACATACCTGAAAAAAGTCAAAAAACGACACATGCTTTACTATTGGACCATAAACACTTTCATTATGTTGGAAGAAAAAAAAGTTTGTAAATGCAGCATCTATCAAGTCGGGGTGCTTGATGCTGAGTTTCACAAGCTCAAGTCGCTCTCTTCGGCTGTCACGCCCTCTCCAAAAAGCTGTGCTGTTTTTCCTTTCCCAAGGAGGACCTGTGTTGGCCTGGACAGACATCATATCCAAACTTACTCTGTGGAAACGAGGATACAAACAGTTGAATAACTTATATTGAGGATACAGAAAGCATTTTAAGTTATTCCCAGGTCCTCACAATTTAAAGGAATTAAACTGGAAATTGAGATTGTTTCAACATTTTGAAATGAGTGGAATTTATTCCAGTTTGTTACATGAGTGAGACAAGACAAGGTATGAATGATAATTACAAATTAATTATGTAACGGCAGACACTGAATATTTCATTTTCCCCCGGTGTTTTCACAAAACATAGGAAGCAAATATAATTTTTAACAACAATTCTAATTAGTTTTTAAATGTGAATGATCACAAATATGAAAATCTTTTTAATCAGGACTTCCAAAATAAGGGCAACAGAAGAAAACTGGATATCAGTTCAAAGGGTTTCAGAAAGAAACTGAGCAAATTCCTGTCACCTACAAAGATTCAGGGCTATTTAATTGGGTGCCAGATATCTCAAAGGAGTCTTGACGGAAATTGGATGGTCCATTCCTAAATCAAACTGGATTTAATACATTCTACTAAAATATCCCTCACTAAGTGACCATCTTGAAAAACCTCTGAATGAGAACTTGGATTTCACAGAACCTTCTTGCCCTTTAGTATTGTTTCTTTCACCATGGAAAGATGTGAGAATATTTAGCTTAATTACTTAAAAGCACTTTACTGAAGACCATGATGTATTTAAAAGCTTGCTAGTGCTAGCATGAAATCTGTGACCATTTGTTTCTGTAGTAGGGCTGAGATCTGAATGCAACAGGACTGTCTTACATTAAAGTTAGACCACACGTATATTAATCAGCAAGATCAACAAAGTATATGATCACAGGTGATGCATGCATTTGAATTGTTGTATAACTAGGGAATAAAAAGGTTAATGTCGAAATCTAAAAATTACTCTGAGGTTATGCCACATAAAATCTTCATTACATTTATGAAGGCCTGGATGATTCAGCTGTAATGTGGTGCAAAGTATCCCTAGTACATTTGAAACTGTTTACTCTGATCTCCAACACACGCAGAGCTCCATTTAAGGTTATAAAACTTGTCCAAAGTGCCATAATCAGGTGAAATATTTTATTCTTTATAACTTGCCACAGAATGCTTACTAATAATAAGAAAACAATCTTTGAATTTGATATACAATAGTAACTTATTGTGTTGAAATGTCTCGTAGCACTTCAAAGAGTTTTCTACAAAGTGTAGCAACTGTGCATTTTTAAGTAAACATGGTGGCCAATTTGCGCAGAGCATTGCCCCCAAACGGCCATGAGATGAATGAGTATTGCCCCCAAACGGCCATGAGATGAATGACTTTTTTTTAAAATTTGGGGGATTGTTATCCAGCATATCCTTCTGTTTTTGAAAAGTGCCACAGGATCTATCACGTCCACATGAACATGTAAACAGGAATTTTGTTCAATGTCTCATCTGAAAGTTCTACCAACTGAGCCAGGCCAACAGCTAGTATCATCTTAAAGATGTTGTGAAGCTACCACAATAAACAGTGTTAATATATTCAATTTTCTGGTCTGTAATCTAGTATTGTAAGAACTAATCTATTTTCCCCAGAGTATCAAACATTACACATTTGTTTTTAACAAATATATTTTTTAGAATCCTCAATGAAAACTGATGACTTCTTAACTTTAGCAATCTGGTAATGTGTTGAAAAATAAGTTTTCAGCAGATGACTTATCCAAATTTGCCCCAACAAAAACTCAAACCTTGTTCAAACAGTTACTTGAGAGGGAATATTTCTAAACAGATACTAGTTGCTATAAGCACACAAGCACACAAGAAAGTGGCAAATGTTCATGTGAGAAAAAGAAATGTTTGCTCAATACAATATTTAAATTTAAAACTAAACCATTTGATTAAAACAGCAGCACCACATTTTATTAATTAAACTGACAAATAAATCAGTCACTAAAGGAAAAAACCAAAATTGATATGAAAACCATAAGTTCAACCTCCTAAATATTTTATATTACAGTAGTTTTAAAAACTCAATAACATGCTGTAAACTGATTAGGTTACCCTGACATTTATCATGTACAATGTTAATCAGTGTTAAAACTACCTATACATTTTTCCAACTGTCAAATAGACAGTTACAAATTGGAATAAGATATCCTATAAAGTTTCCAACCCTGCCTAGTTCCAATGATCTGTTGAAAAACGTTGAAGCCATCGGTACAAGTGGTTACATTAGTCTGTAGTAAATACTGTATAGTATAAACATTACCTACAGCTCATTTACTTTCTGTGATTGTCTCACAGTGCCTAGCCCTAGTTCTAGTCTATATAATTGAGCTACATTTATGGAGATATTTATGCAAAGTACAGAATATTGGGGATAAATCAGCATTCCTAGCCCCAACTCGGCAGTTTATTGGGTGATGGGATTGTGCCCCTTTCGAACACACCATGGTTTGCTTAAAGCGTAGTTCTTGAAAATCCTGAAAATTAATGACAGTTTGGAACTACAGCAATAGGGAATCTATTGGATTCAGTCATTGGGTTATCAAAACACAAGACATAATGTAACAAGGAACTCGTGAAATAGCCAGAGGGGAATAATTATTAGCTAAAAATAATCAGATCCTATGACCACATGATAAAGAAACCATGTGATTAACAGTGCATACTGATGATGATGGCCTGCAGAAGACAAAGTGGAAATTAGCAAATAAACTAGAACCTCTAGACCACACACATTCAATAGTGATATGCGTGGAGTCCTGTAGCTCAGTGGTTAGAGCACTCGCCCCACAAGCGAGATACCCAGGTTCTATTCCCGGCAAGGCCAAAATAGTGCGCAAGTTTCCTTACCCCACACAATTCTGTTTATCCAGCAGTAAGTAGGAATCTGGTTGTTAGTCGATGGCGGGTCACTTTTCCGGGGATAATAATCCATCAAAAAAAATAGTGATTTGGTCACTCAATCTACGACTGTTTGTGGGACACTGCTGTGTGCAATTGGCTCCCACAAATATACGGTCAATTCACTTTACAGTATATTCTGTGAAGCACTTTGAGACGTCTAGAAGACGTGAAAAGCACTATATCAAATGCAAAGATTATTATTATTCGCACACTCAGATGTAGTATTCCAAATAATCAACATACTCATGTTTGAGATGGTTATTTCCGTTCAATGGTGTAACTGTCTTTGTGCCACTTTGAATTATTACAAAGGTGGTCATCTAATGGGGAAAGATGGTACTACACCAATCTGTTCATTTTAACAATTTACACTTAAATTTATGCCTTTCATTTAGGAGAATTCTCAAATCGTTTTACAGATTAGGAGTGAGAACCTGGGTCGGAGATGGGGTTGGAAGAATGGATGGGAGATGAACAAAGGCAAAGTCAAAGAGATTGTTTTGTAGATTTTTTTTGGAAAGCAGAATAAAGGAGCGAGACATAGAGAGAGGGAGCGAAACAGAGAATGGAAAAGAACAAGGAAAAGGATCTCGGGAGAGAGTTCCAAACAGCGGATTCCTAGTGGCTAAACGTGCACATGCCAATGGTGAGGCAGAGGGGATGGAGCCTGTGTGTGGTGGGGGGGGGCTATGTGCCTGGGGGCTATGTGTATTTTTCCCGTAAATCGTAAAACTTTCATTCAAGACAGCATAGGAATACAGAATTTGTACATTTGTTCAGAATCTTATTCACAATCAATAACACAATGTTGTTCAACCACTGTGATATCACTGTTGACAACGGACAATAGACTACCCTCAAAATGTAAATGAAGCAGAACTATTACCAAGGCAACGGAAGAGCATATTCTAAAAATAATAGTCCTTTAGCTAAGACATTAGAGTGTTACTTCCCATTATAATGCTGTAGGGAAAAGAATGATCATTTTAGCAACAACAGCAGAATCACTCCCATTTTAATGTGAAATACCATCTTCATTTACAGTCATTTTATTTATAAAAATCAATCTGAATAAATTCTCTCTTGCGAGGAAAAACGTAAATGCAAAAACAAATTATGCATTCAGTAATTTTTTTTTAAATTGCTCCCATTCCGAATTGATTTCATTCTAAAATTATCCTCAAACATTTAATCCAGCTCTGCAAGATGAATTAAAAAACTCACGAAGCACAAAATCAAACTCCTTAAACTACCAAAAGGCAGCGTGGGCATTAGCCCTAAGTCATAAAAATACTGCAGCCATTTCAATATGATCGATTTGTCAGATCAACATCTGTTACCACGTACCGTTAGAACTAAACTTGATCTTAGGCAAACGACCAAATTTAATGGTTTTACATTTTAAAAACATGATCCTCAATTACAGAAAATTAACATCACTCATCAGAGATGTCATGGAATAAAAAGCTCCTTAAGGTAACATTGTAATTTTCGGGCATCGTTTTGCCTTGCAATTTTGATAAATAGATTTTAGTCAGAAGTATTGTGTCCCCTTTTTTTGTTTTATTTTTTACTTTACTTCTAATTCTAATAATACTTCTGAACAATTAGGAGTACTGTAATTATTTATAACCTATAAAAATCCAAGGACAATGGGTAACAGAGACCAGCATGTGCAGATCGCTTTTTTGTAGATCAATCCTTTGAAAGAGTGCTGCCTTGTAAATTAATCAAATATTTCAATACTTAGGATTGTGTAACATTTAGCTAATTAACTCTGAATGGCTGAAACCTGAATACACTATTAATTATTGATCAGTAGCTCTGAAGATATTAGAAACTTTTAATCCAGGTTAATCAGTCAGTACCTCTGGTTCCCCATGGCAACATCAGTTGCATAAAAGGAGATAACAGTAAATGATACTGCTTTGTTTCGTGGAAAGTGAATTTAGATCAAGTCAGCATTCATGATTCTACTGCCATTTGTGCATTCCTAGAATTTAGGTCGACATTTTACTAGCATTAAGCTAGATAGACCAACAAGCATAAAAGGATCACAAATAGCAAACTGAATGTGTCTTAACATATGTTAGCCTGGCTCAGTTGATAGCACTCTCACCCAAGCCAAAAGGTTGTGGGTTCAAGCCCCACGTTGGGACTTGAAACTCATCTAGTCTAGATTCCAATGCAGTGCTAGGTGGTGGTGGCTATGGGGTGGCGGGGGTTGCATTGTCAAAGGTACCTTCCTTCAAATGAGACATTAAATCAAGGTCCCACCTGCCTGTTTTAGGTGGATGTTGAAGATCCTGTGAAACTCTTCGAAAAGAAAAAGTTTCTCCCATTGACCTAGCCAACAAGCCCCAAATAGAACAACAACAAAATTACATTTGTATAGTGCCTTTCACTTTGGGAGGACGTCCCAAGGTGCTGGACAGTCAGAATTTCGGACCCGAGCTGGGGGAGGGTGGAGGGCAGGTGGGGAAGCACGGCATGGTCGAAGAGGAGGGTCTTGAAGGAGGCAAGGGAGGGGGCAAGGTGGAGGGACTGCAGGATGGAGTACCAGAGGGTGGGGGCAAAGTGCTGAAGGCCCGCCCGCCAAAAGTGTCTGTGAAGCAGGCCGGAGCCCGCTGAGCGGAGGGAGCGAGAAGGATGGTAGGAGATTAGGAGGTCGCAGAGATAGGGGAGAGCAAGACTATGGAGGGTTTTAAAGGTGAGGACCAGGATCTTGAACTGTATCCTCTGTGTGATGGGAAGCCAGTGGAGTCAGGTGAGGATGGGGGGGGATAGGGTCACAGAGCCTGGTGTGGGAGAGGTCAGGGGCTGCAGAGTTCTGGATGATCTGCAGTCTATGGAGGGAGGAGTTGGGAAGGCCGACAAGCAGTGGGTTTGCATAGTCGAGCCTCGATGTAATGAAGGCATGTATGAGGGTTTTGGTGGCCTGCGGTGTGAGACAGTGGCGGAGCCAGGCAAAGTTGAGGAGGTGGGAGAAGGCAGAGCGGGTCATGGCACAGATGCGAGATAGAAAGGATAATTGAGGGTCAAACAAGACCCCAAGGTGGAGTGTGCAACTATGGATGGTAATGCTATCAGCACCTAAGGTGAGGAGGCGCTGACGGGAGCCAATCAGGAGAGCCTCGGTCTTGTTGATGTTCAACTGAAGAAGTCCTCTCATCCAGGACTTGATGTCTGACAGACATTCTGTCAGGACAGCAGTGGTACTGGGGTCAAGGGTGGAGGCAGAGATGTACAGTTGCTTGTCAACCACAAACATGTGGAAGTTGACCCCATGTCTGCGGATGATGTCACCAAGAGGGAGCATATAGATATTGAAGAGGAGGGAACCAAGCAGAGAGCCCTAAGGTACACCACAAAAGACGGTGCGGTGGCTAGAGGAGAAACCATTGTGGAGAGGAAGTGGAGGCGGTGTGAGAGGTACGATCTGAACCAGTCAAGGACAGAGCCATGAAGGTTGAGGTGAGAGGAGAGGCAGAGGATGAGGATAGAGTGGTCGACAGTGTTGAAGGCAGCAGAGAGGTCAAGGGGGACAAGGAGGCAGAGGGAGCCCTGGTCACAGATGGACAGATAAAACTGATCAGCCACTTCATGACTATTTGGGGGGCCTTGCTGTGTACAAATTGGCTCCTGTATTCATCTACTAAACAGTCACTCCACTTTACAGTATATCCTGTGAAGTGCTTTGATACCTCCGGATGTGAAAAGTGCTATACCAAATGTAATTATTATTATTAGTTAATGGTATATTTTGGACTCCTGGCACACGGTTAATGAAAAGTAAATCTGGATTCTAAATCAATTTTATGTGCCTCGATTGTAAATAGCGTCTTACCGTCCCATAGTTTCTAGAACTGAATCTGTTATGTCGTAAGTTGGCATTACAATGTCTCTTGTGTTATTTGACCCACACCAGGAGAAAATAGGGTGAAGCTTCTCTGTAGGTTTTCTCTTTTCTAAAGGCCAGTCGCCGAGATTTACAAAGAACTCTAAATCTTGCATTTTTACCTAAAAGCAAAACACATTAGCATGAACACAAACCACCAGCATTTAATTAGAGAATCATCCCCCGAAACCCACGCCCATGTCAACTCTCATCTTTGCAACGCTAGTTGTGGTGTGTTCCGCAAGACTTCAACACAGCCAAACTGAACGTTTAGTCTTTGAAACACATGAAAAGGCACATCTCCTGTGTTCAGTATATCATGTGAAGCACTTTGAGACGTCTCGCCAATGTGATAAGGCACTATGTCAAACATAAGGATTATTACATTTCATTCTTTTCTAAGAACAATAATTTGAATTTATACAGAGCCCCACACATAGGATAACCTCTCAGAGCGCTTTCAAGAAAGGTTACGAAAAAGAGAAAAAGGATGAAGGGCAGAGGTAAGTGATCATTAATTAGAGACCCCGAAGCTGGGGAAAAGGGAAGTATTCATAAGCACAGGTGAAGAGTAGGTATTTCAGTAGGATTTAAAGACAGAGGGATAGAGGAAGGGAGATGCAGAGGTTCGGGCTGCAGTTACTGATGTTACTACTGGGCAGAAGATCCAATATTTTTAAAAAAACTCAAAATGCTTCAATCTCTTTGGAAACAACAACAACAAGATTACATTTGTATAGTGCCTTTCACGTCGGGAGGAAGTCCCAAGGCCCTGGCATTTCAGACCCAAGCTGGGGTCAGGGAGGGAGAAGGGACAGGAGGGGAAGTGGGGGTGACCAACGGCATGGTCGAACAGGAGGGTTTTTAAGGCTAAGGAGGGGGCGAGGTGGAATTGGGGGATGGAATTCCAGAGGTTGGGGGCAGAGTGGCTAAAGTCTGATTAGGATCCAATGACAGCATCTTTTGTTAAAAGGGAACAGAATCAAAGCAGCTCTAATAGCTGTTAATTTACATAGAAAATAGCAAGAGATTGCTGAACTTCACAATGGGACAGCATGACGTGAGTTAGTTTGCACACACAAAGGAAACATTCACAAAGCCAACTATTAAATTCAGTAGGAATCCATGAGTTTCAAATGTCTCATTGCTAGGTGAAATGTGTACAGTAAGACTACTTACTTTTCGAGTCAGTGAGAGCAAAATGGAATCCATGAATATCCGAAAGCCAACATGTTCCCCAAATGTTTTCACGTACACCTAAAACAGGAATCACAATGCATGTACATTGTCAACAGGAGAGTGAATTTTGGATCATTTACCACAGAATACAAGCAGCAGTGCCGATTTAACTGTGAAACAATCACTATCCTTAACAATGACTGTAAAGAACTTCTAGGTGTTTCGATAACGCACTATAAATATATGTTCATTATTTTTTGTTTTCTACTTTTGTACATTGAACAAGGGAAATTCTATTTCCCTGTAATCATACCATTATAGCACCATCGTTAAACTAGCAGATAACTTTAGAAATAAGTACCTTATTATCTTTTATTGTGTAGTGGCACAGACTTTGTCGTTGGCCAAATCTCTTTGGAATTTCTGTAGCAATTCTGTCAGGATCCACAAAAGGAAAATAAGACAGATCTTGCTGTATCTGTGCAAAAGACTGAGGGCAGTGCATGTCCTTGTACCATTTGGCTGCATCTTCTTGGGGACAATCACAGGACTCGTGGTACAAAGGACCTATTGGGACATAAACACATTTGCTGTTATTAATAAAGGCATAAGGGGCAAGTTTCCTTACTCCACACGCCTAATAATAATCCCTCCAAAACCAAAAATAATAATAAAAATTGGTCATTTTCAATCTACGACTGTTTGTGGGACATTGCTGTGCGCAATTGGCTGCCGCGTTTGCCCACAAATATGCAGTCAATTCACTTTACAGTGTGTTCTGTGAAGCGCTTTGGGACGTCCTCCCGACGTGAAAAGCGCTATATCAAATGCAAGGATTATTATTATTATTATAAGACCAAATGAAAACATAAATTCATTAACACAACAAGCAATTGTTTTATCGTAGCCTTTATCCAAATACTGTATGCCCTTGGTGGAATTGTTTTCTTTTAGGGTTCTATTAGGCAATTCTTCTAATTTTCTTCTAATTACGTAATGATTGGTGAGTGGTTGGTGAACATTAAAGATCCCATGTCACAATTCAAAGAGAGAAGGCGGTTTCTCCCAGTGTCTTGGCCAATAATACTCCAAATAAAATTGATCATTCACTTGATGACCGTTTGTGGGTCAGTGCTGTGCACAAACTGGCTGCCATGTTTGCCTACAAATACAGTCACTTCACTTTGAAGCGTTTTGAGATGTTCTGCTGACATGAAAGGTGCTATATCAAATATAGCATTAAATTTATTTTGTAACAAAACATTATTTGTAACAATTTTAAGCAATGTGTGCTATATAAATGTAATTTTTTTGTTGTTGTTGTAACATTGAGAACGTGGGCATAGTTAGTATATCAGATGCACATTTCAATCCATCCATTCACAACCTTGCCTATTTGCCAGGCAGAAAAGTCTGTGCTGAATTAACCACCACATCTACCTCTTTATCTATGGATAGCCTGGCTATGATCCAGAACTCAGGATTGGACCCAAAAACGTACACCCCCCCATCCTATTAATTGGCAGCGTGTGCCTGAACACAAAAAAGATACACCTGAACGGTTCATTAGTATTGTATAAGATAGTACCTTTCATAAAATACGGTGAATGATCCACGTGTTCCTCCTGGGCTTGAATTTGTATCACCAGCTCTGTGTAGCTTGCATACATTTTATACCTGACAAGGAAGGATCCATCATTTCTATCTAGTACTTGCACCCAAATCCTAGTGTACAGCTCTCCAGGAGAATAAATATTCACTGTAAATATATTTTCACCTGGTGAAGAAGTGAAGCTGTAGGAAAAAAAAGATAATTAACAGGGGCAACAATAAGACACTCACTTCTCTAATGTTTCTCTAAGTTTCTAAGAGAAACATTAGAGAAGTGAGTGTCACCCGAATGATGGGAAATTAGAAAAACACAAATTCAGACTCAAAATCACAATGATCCATTAAATTTATAATTAATTTCCCAATTCTAGTATATGCAAAAATAGATAGATTTCTTTCTCTGTTTAAAAAAAACTTTCCTTTTCACAAATTTGCCAATATTATATCAGTACAACAACAACAAAATTACATTTGTAATTTTCATGCCGGGAGGACGTGAAAGGCGTCCTCCCGACATCGGGATGACATCCTGACAGTAAAGTTGATTACAAGAGTGAATGGGTCAGGATGTTATGTAACATACAAAATCAATAGCAATTTATTTATATAAGTGCTTTTCATAATATTAATAATTCTTGCATTTAATATAGCTCCTTATCATGTTCATAGTTATGTCTCAAAAGTGCTTCATGGAATATACTGTAAAATGGATTGACAATATATTTTGTGGGCAAAACACCCATAACAGGATGTCTCAAAACATTTCACAGCTGACTGGGAGCCCAAAATTGGGCGAATGGAGGGGTGGGGTTGGGGGGGTAAAGTAGGTGACCAAAAGCACAGTTTAAGAGATAGATCTTTATTTTTAAGACAGATTTTAAAGATGGGAGGGGAGGAGGTGAGACAGAGTCTGGGAATGGAGCTCTAGAGAGCAGAGTAGAACGGCTGAATTCTCACTCACCAATAGGTGCAGAGGTAAAAAAAATTGCTACAGTTTAGCAATGCATGGAATGCATTATCCTGAAAGGATTGTGGAAGCCGATTCAATAACAACTTTTAAGAGCGAAGTAGATGGGTATTTGGGGAGGACAAGATTGCAGGGCTATGGAGAGAAGGTGGGCCAGTGGGATTGAGTTGGATTGCTCTTTTCGGAGCCGGCAGACACGACGGGCCGAATGGCCTCTTTCTGTCCTGTATGATTCTATGATATACATTTTTGATAACAAATCCTATCAATCTTAGCACTGTCAAGCCTAGTCCCTAATGATTATAATTTTCATTGCACATCTCAAATATATTTCATTTATTGTGCTGTTCTTATCGTCTGTGCAAGATGTTGTGAGAAAAAGCGTTTCCTCAAACATGGCTTGTTAAACATACAGAAATAAATGAAAACCATTTGAGATGTGTATAATATCTACATTGTGCATCCTTTATTTTTCACAGAATTTGTAAGTTTGGTTTAGGAAAAACCAGCATTGCAGCCACCAACCAGCAAGTGATAGTGATTGCACACTGAGGCTAAACAATGTTTGAGAACCACTGCTCTGAAGTTATAAAGTGGTGAGGGCAAGTGCTTTAATAAATCTTTCCTAATAATTGAAATGGAAGCTCTCTGTTGGCTGCCAACTGGGTTGATATTATTAAATGTGTATACAAACGGGTGTTGCAAGTGAACGTGCAAAGTGTGGATTACTTACTTGCCACCGTCCTCTTCCACAGCTTGAATATAGAAATATCGAGCTGGAAGAACTATATCTGCCTCCAGACCAGGGCCCCAAACTAAACTTTTTTGGGGACTCACTGTGCCTGCACTTTGAACAACTGCGAGTGTAATTATTGCGATGAAAGTGAAAAATGACAAATGTTCTGTCATTTTTAGGTATCCCGTGTATATATATATATATATATATATGTGCATATATAAATTTTTAAAAAAAACAGTGATAGTCTAAGCAAGAGGTGAGGTGGCGCAAAAACAAAAATCCGCGTCAGATCCCAAACCCAACTCCGGGTTAACAATGTCCGAGTCGAGTCTGTGTGACCGAAACAAAGGGAACCTCTGGTGCTTCTCTGTGACTGAAGTTTCTCTGAGCTGTACACGAGCTTAAGTTACACGGGGCCCCCAACTGTACTTTATCTCCTCATCGCCGCCGCCGCCGCCGCCTGGTTTGGGAAAATTAGACCGTTGAGAAAGGGGGAGAGAGAAAAAAAAATACACGGAGCCGCATCCTCCCGCCCGGCAGCCGCAGGTGCCATCCTCCGTCCCTTTAACCGCATCTCTCGCGTCCAGACAACAGACCCGAGACCCGTCGTGCGACATGGACGCCGCTCATTGGTTCGCCGGCGAGCGCCTGACGAGCAACAGTCAGGCCGATAGGACGACTTCGACCGGCCGGCCCCGCCGCGGTGCTCGACGGGAAATGTAGTCTTGGAGGTGGTGGGTGGGGGGTGGTCGGAGGAATGAGTCGGCGCGAGCGGTTTGGCCTCGAGGAACGCGCCCGTCCCTCTCTCCAGATCGATCAACCGATTCGGTAATAAGTGAAAGATGCACAATTTGTCGACGGCAGTAACATGTCCGGCTTCGTTAATGTTCCAAATTAAAAACTACGGGGGTGGGTCTGAGAAAAAAAGGCGGGACTGACTGACTGACTGACAGACTGACTGACTGGAGCCCACACGACGCTGTCACAGTGGTGACGTATGGATGTAACCAAAATACAAGAGGCGGGGGGGGGGAGGCGGGAGGCGAAATGTAATATTTAGGGATTTTAGAAAAATAAACCCGGATATTTTTTAACGCGCGCTTTGTTCTTGCCTTTCCCGGTGATCAGGAGAGAGTCGCGTCAAAAGCTTCGGCTTCGGGCTCTGATCGTGGTCAATGGACGACGGCGTGGGTGTGCTGCGTCCCTTGTGTGTGGCAATGGCACAGCCCGCGGGAAGGGACGGACGTGGGCGCGGGCGCGGGCGCGCGCGGTGTCGCCTGAGCAACGAGGCTTAACCGGGACGCGTCCTCTCGCCCGTGTGGCCTTCACATTGGGTAACTATTGAGTATTTGCTACGTATAGTTTTGTTTCCCTTTGCGAGCGGGTTGGGTGGGGCGGTGGTGGCGATGAGCTGTAAGACGGCGGTTGCTTGTTGGTTGAGGGACTTGTAAGGGGGGAATGATGCAGAGTGACCAGAGACCTCTCCACACACACTCCCCACACCCCCACACTTCGAGGCTATATCATGATAATAATAATAATACCAATAATAATCCTTGCATTTGATACAGCGCCTCATCACATTGTTGAGATGTTCTCAAAGCGCTTCACCCCCCAATAGTCCTGTACAGTGAGTTGACTGTATGTTTTGGAGGTGGAATGGTCCAGGCTGTTCCCGGTAAAGAGCGACACGAGCCTTTCTTTGTTTAAAAAAAGAAGGCGAATCTCGTTTCCCATTGTGGCATTTGCAAGTTAAAAATATTAACTACTGTCAGTTGCCAATAGTTTGCCAGACAATCTGCTTTAACCCCTTATAACTGGTGTGTGGTGCCCCCTGCCCCAGTAGATTATGTAAATTTTGTAGATTGTGTAATTAATAATAGTAATTATTACTGTTAAGCGCTCGGCGGCGCTATCCTACATTGAGGGCGCGATACAAGTGCAAGTTCTTGTTGTTGTTGTTATGCACTGTGAAGTACAAAAGATGAGAGTATTTAGTCATTTCAGCAGAATAATTCTTATTGGTTGGTTTAATTTCAAGATTTTTCTGGTGCTGTAACCTGTCAACATTTGAGCCATTTTGAAATTTGTATTAAAATGCACTCAACAATTTAAAATCCTGATTTGAGCTTTAGTTTAAATTCTAGTGTACAGGACACTAAGTGTAAATAAGCTTGTTGTAACATGATTATTTACAAATTGGTTTGGTCGAAATATTAACATTCATATTCATTTTTGTTTATCATTTTTCAGATTTTGGGTGGCAGTAAAACATGATTATCCTAAGATGAAATTTATCAATTAAAAATTGAAAGACCAATAACTTGAATGTATCAAAAGACAAACAACTTGATGACTACACTTCTTTCAAGGCACTTCAATCCATACTAAATATCTCCATTCAATGCCCAACTCTACAGAAAATCAACCAGCAAAGCCTACTGAGAATACAAATAGTTTCAATGTCATTGAAGAGTTTGCTGCTGGTGACGGACCAAAAGCTTCTAATGCAGATTTGCTCTCCTATCGTGGCACTTGCCTTTGTCCTCTTGAAACCGGACATAGGACATGGAAGTTTCCTGTGCTCCAAGCTCAAGAAGTGTTTTATAATGTCTGTTCAGATTATGGTTTATTAAACCAGGCCACTATTATTGCGAATGCGCCTCTTTCTTCTAATGATGCAATTCCTTTGCAAGATGATACTTCAGCAGATGCTCAGATGGATGCAGCTACTTATGCAGACATTCAGGTTGACCCTCCAGATGTGACCCACAGAGGTAATGCAGAAATAGGCACTTTGTCTGACCTCCATGGAAAACAGCTGCTTGCCTGGGAGCTAGATACAGCAGATTTTAAAATAGTAACATCTAATTTGAGTAGAACAGGTGAGAAAATTCTGCAGAAATTATAACTAACTTGCTGTATGGAGAGTAGAAGTTAACCAATTATTCTCTACTAACTTCCTTTATCAGTATGAAAGGCTTCTTTGAAAGCCTTCTTTCTTGTGTGAAAGAAAGCCTGATTTGTGAGAACCATTCCAATATATGGATATTGGATATATTGGAGAAGTTTCTAAATAGTGGTTTCTGACTCTTGACTGTATACTTGAGAGTTATACACCAGTACATATAAAAAAGAATCTGAATAATGTAGAACACATGCAAATCTCAATTATTAAACATCAATTTCAAACATCATCAGAAGAACTCCAAAATATGACAGATAAAATTAGGTTGAAAAAAGAAAAATATTGGTAATATTTAAGCAAATTGTGATTCTTTTTATTTCAATAGGAAAAAGCAGTATGTATATTATTCCAAATGCTTGTGTCTCAATTTAATTGACAAATGTGCCCAAAAGTTGTAATTGTCAAAACACTTATTAAATTGTATATAATTTCCTGAATTAGTAATGCTCACTAAATTTAAATGTGAATGTAACTGCTGTAGATTATAAGCTTTGCTATGCACAAACTGGCTGCCACGTTCGACCACAAAATATATAGTCAATCCACTTTACTTTTTTATCTTATGAAGCACTTTGAGATGTCTCGATGATGTGATAAAGTTCTATACCAAATGCAAGTATTATTATAAATGCGAATAAAATTAATTTACAAATATAGTACAACAATTTTAGCACTTTTTTAAACACATTTTAGCTTGTTGACAGTAGTTTTGATACTTGTGTACCTTTACCAGACATTGTTTGTTTTCTGCTGGTCTTGATTTTGTTTTCACCGGATAGTCCCTATTTGCTCTGATGTTTAATACTTTGCCAACCAAACTTTTAAATGTCCAAAGCTTCAAATCCAACATTTAATACAGCTAAGAATAAACTTTTTATTTTGCAGGGCACGTTAAGAAAAAAAGTACAAAAAAGATGAAACCATTAGAGATGCACAACCCAAAAATCATTGATTCCTCTCCATATGCAGTGCTAGAAGAAATAAAACAACGCAAAGTTTTGGATCTTCGAAGATGGTCAGTATTTTTATCTGCTTCCACATTCATTTAAATTTAATGAAACTGTGTAGCTCAAAACAATCCAGTATTTTCCTTGAATGAATATTTCTTGATTTATGCCATGGATCACTAATGATCGAACACCGACTTACTGAGACTCATGCTAATGTTGGGGGTGCCGTTTCTTGACAGCCCCACAGGCTACTTTACAGAAGATCAGAGAGGTAGGGAGATGACAGAGCATGAATAAATTTGAAAGTGTTAGTGAGCATCTTGAAATTGATCCGTTCTGAAGCGGAAAGTCACTGGAGCCCGTTAAGCCAGCTTTTGTACTAAAAATTGGCCAACTTCTGGGTCATCAAGTTACTGCTGATAAGACCTTCTGCGTGTTGTTTGCAGGAAGCAATACTGTCATCACTTATTGTACATGCATCTGTAGGATTGTACATTCCTATCTGTAGGAAGCATTGCTGCCATTCACTTCTTGCACACTGTTCAGAAAGCACAACTGATGTCACTTTGTGCTGCAAATAGGAAGTCATGTCGGTGGTTACCTGGAAGTTGCCATTTTTGCACTTCATTATAATGCTGCCTCAGAGATAATGAACCCAGGCAGCCACCTTTATAATATAGGGTTAGCCTATATTACCAACAATTTTCACTGGTCTGTTCTCTATAAAAGGAATACAACCAGTATTTTCCTAAAACAGCCTAATATGGTTTACTAATATTAATTTTAATACTCAACTTTTCATATTCTGTTCCAGGTATTGCATCAGTCGTCCTCAGTACAAGACGTCATGTGGAATTTCTTCTTTAACTTCTTGTTGGAACTATTTGTTTAGTACCTGTGGAACAGGAAGGTAAAATCATGTCTAGTCGATATTTAATCAGCTTTATCTTGATTCTGCTATGAAATCGTTTTGGTCATGTACAACACTTAGTTATTATGACGGTTTCTTAGTTTAATTCTCATAATTTTACTACAATATTTGTTTTAGTGGTAGGATAGGATTTTCTTAAGTCATATGGTAGAGTGAATTGCTATGACCTCATACAATAACAATATTAGACACGATTGCACCATTGTCCATCAAGCCTTGACCTATTGATTGAGTCCTGAAGGTAGAGACATTGAGCTGCTTCAGAGACATTGAGTGCACTGACTCGATTTTGGTTCTGGTTCCTTGTTGAAACCTTAGAGGAGAGCAGAGAAATGCTGGACAATCACCCACCCATTGTGGTATGATACTGGTAGAATGAAGGTATGCAAATCCATAGATACTATTATCCAGTGGTTTAGCTCATTTGTGCCACAGAAATCTTCCTGAACTCTTTTGGTGAGTTTGTGACTGGGGAGGAGCAGTTTTGCAGGAAGCAAAATCGAGTCAGTGCACTCAGTGTCTCTACCTTCAGGATTCAGTGAAATTGGCATGAGAATGTGATGCTGAGTAAAAATAAAACAACAGTAGGAAAGAAATTACTGAGGAACACTTGTTAAACTTTTTTTTAAGAAACAATATTGAAAAGCAATGTGAAATCTGATTTGAAGCATTAATTGGAGAAAAAATTAATCAGTTTCTTGTCTCCTCATTTCAAGGACAAATATGTAGGATTATAACCAGTCATGTAAAAATCAAAAATCCATTGCTCCAAAAATCCATTGCTCCAGTGCATAATTACTTTAATGTATAAAAATTTCTAATAGCAAGTTCTATTGCTGAGTTAAAGATTGGAAATTTAAAAGAAGAAGTTAAATACTATTGGAGTATTCCTGTCAACTCAGAAACTGAGTTTCGTGTAAGAGTAATGGATGTTTTCCACAGTCTGCCACCAATTACCCAAGAGGAAGCTTTACATATCTTGGGTTTTCAAGAGCCCTATGAAGACATCAAATTCGGACCCTTTACAGGAAATGCAACATTAATGAGGTAAGAGACTCTAGATCAGGGGTGGTCAATTATTTTGGCTGGCGGGCCACTTTGTGAGTTTTGGTAAGCTTCGCGGGCCACACACTTAATACAGATGCAAATGTTTAATAATAGCTCAAAATCAAGTCTTGCGCTTGTACCTGCATAAAATAAAGTATAAATTGACATTCATTAGAATTAGGTTAAATAAAAACAACTCATTGAACAGACATTTATTCAATATTTATTAATTTATTCACATATTGATGAGAATGTGAGAAACTCACTCAATGGGAAGAATGAAAGCGCTGATGTGCGTTAACCAGACAATTGAAGTCAGGCATCGTCTCCATTGTTGCAATGCGGAGTACTGGTGCACGGTGGTCATCAGTCATCACAGATCTATTTTTGAGTTATTGAATCTCATCACAGAAAATGTCTCCTCGCATATATATGTTGATCCAAACAGCACAAGCATCCTCCGGGCATGAGCCTTTATTTTTGGAAAGGTATATTCATTAAGAGAGGCATAAAAACTGGGAAGCGGCACCGATTTAAATTGCTCCACAAGCCAAGGATCACATTGCAGGTCAATAAGCTCAAGTTGGAGGTCAAATGGGGCTTTGTCAACATCAAATGAGAAAGGTGAAGAGACTAAAGTCAGGTCATTTTTGATCAAATTGAAATCCTGGAATTGGCGAGAAAATTTGGTAGATAGGTCAAGTAGTGACGAAGTATACTTTTTAAGGCTTTGATCGCAAACAGTAATCTGCTGCAAAGTTGGAAAGTGGGCGAACAGCCTGGTTCCTATCTGACGCGATAAAATAAATAATTTTGTCATAAATTACTTGATACTGGAATACAAATCGTGCACAAAGGCCCCCTTCCGTTGCAGTTTGGAATTCGGTTCATTCATGTAGCCCATGATATCAACGGCAAATGTGAAATCAGAGAGCCAATTCGCATCATTCAGCTGTGGGAAATCCGAATCTTTTTGGTTCATGTCCAAAAATAAATCAATTCCTGTTCTCAGTTCCCATACTCTTTCTTTTCAAGACCTTTCCTAAACTAAGCCATCTTACATTTGTGTGATACAGACATCACAACTCTTATTGAGTGCCAGTGAAAAAATTGCTTACTTTATTTTGTAACTGCACACTTTCTATTTTTTTTATTTTATTTTTTAATTTATTTTTATTTTATTTGTTCTATTTTCCACCCACACTGGTAAAAAAAATATTTAGAACTCCATTCTTTGTTGAATATTCAGCCTTCAGCGTCCACTTTCCGCTTCTTTGATAAACTCATTTTGAATTAACGTCCTCTTCGGTGAAAAGTATCGCCGCGGTTGCTGCACGCGTTTTTGAAAATTTGCCGATCCATACATTTCTGACGTCAGCCTGATTCGACACTTAGGGGAGCGTGCGCACAACTAAGCAGTGTGTTTGGCTGATGTTCCCGGTCAGATTCAAATGTGAAACTTGTGCGACTTTCTGGGACTGAACGGACTATAATTTTTTCTATTGCTTGACACAATGACGGGCCGGATAGAATCATTTGGCGGGCCAGATATGGCCTGCGGGCCGTCTTTTCCCCATCCCTGCTCTGGATTGTCTAAATGTTCAATTTTGTTGCAAATATGTATTGTGACACAAATAAATACATTTTACAAAGTAACATTACCCTTTCATTTACGAAGGATGTACTGCATGGAAGCAGGACACTCGTCCCAATGAGTCCTTACCAGTAATTTATAAGCTAGTGAAATGTGTGAGCAAATTGGAAGATTATGTTTCTTTCAAACTTCTTCTAGTTATCAGTACAAGGAGAAGCTCCCTTCTCTTTTCAAATAATAGCATGTGATCTAACTTTCACCTGAAAGCGTAGACAGAAATTTGGTTTAGTGTCTTGTTCAAAAGATAACATCTTTGACAATGCAGCACTCCACAGGATTGCACTGGCATGTCAAGTGAGACTATGAGCTCATCTCAACATCAGGTTTGAACTTCTGATCCAGACCCAAAATTGTTATAAAAGTACTACAAATCGAGCCAGTCTGACCACTGAATATTGAATTTTAAAATTCAGGGATATAATTCAGTCTAGAGGCATATTTAAACTATCATATCATATATCATTTTAAACTAGTATTGGTGAGGAAAAGGGAAAGGTTAATTTTTTTCCATTTTTTATAGATGGTTCAGGCAGCTCAATGATCATTTTCACATGAAAGGCTGTTGCTATGTTTTATACAAGCCTAATGGAAAAAACAGGACAGTTGGAGAAACTGGTATGTGGAACATATTGCTGACCATAGTGCTACCTTTGTTTTAGCTACTTAAAGACTAACAGGTTTTAAAACATGTACACCTTTCTCTCTTAGAACACCAATTTCTGTAAATAACAACTGACTATCATTGGGGGTGGGGGGAGAAGGACTAGTAAGTATGGAGTATCCTTGCCATCTAATAATGGCAAGATTATGTATTGTTTGTCTTATGGTAGCAGAAATTACAATTTATTTACTTAATGTTTACATTTCCTTTCCAGCTGAAGGAGCTCTAATGAAGTTAACCCAAGGGCTGAAGGATGAGTCTATGACTTTCGTCTACCACTGCCAGAATCATTATTTTTGTCCTATTGGATTTGAAGCTACCCCTTTAAAAGCAAAAAAGCATATCAGTGAGTATGTATAACACCATAACTAGCCTTCTTTAAAGGATCCGGCTCAGCATTTATTTATATATAGTATATCATACTATATTTAAGTAAGTAGCTGTAAGTAGGAACCCAGTTAATAGTCAATTGGCGATCACTTTTCCTGGGGTAATATTCCCTTTAAAAAAAATAATAATTTGGTCACTCAATCCACAACTGTTTGTGGTACACTGCTGTGTGCAATTGGCTGACGTGTTTCACCCACAAAATATACAGTCAGTTCACTTTACAGTATATTCTGTGAAGCGCTTTAACTCGTCTTGAAAACATGATAAGTCGCTATATCAAATGCAAGGATTATTATGTATATTTTTCATTAATAATCTGTTTGGCTTTCACAATGTTCAAAAGAAAACTAAGGAAGCAAGGTAATCTAATTGTTCCATAACGGAGAAAATGCAACAAATTCAGGTATTTTCAAATACTGTAGAGTCATGGTATAAGGAAATTTCTATCATCATTCTGATATGAATATAGATGCAAATACTGGTCAAGTTTTTATCTCCTTATGAAATAAAAGATATTCTGAATTACTTTCCTTCTAGCTGAGTGTGTAAATACATATTGGTTGATGTGGTGTTGAGCCAGACAGACATAATTTTTAGTTGATCTCAACAAGGGCAGTGCTGTAGTTAGCATTATAATTCATGGGTCTGATTGCTATGGAGTGACCTTCACTTGAATGAATGGATTTCTGCTGAGACCACGGTAGGCTTCAGCTATTATATTCAGTAATACAGCAAGGAAAAAGGTGAATTATGTTGACTGAGAGGAGCTGTATTTTATTTTTATTAACAGAGGGAAGCTCCATTTTGATGAAATGGAATTCTGGATTTTAATAGGTGAACCAAGTAAGAAACATCCAGCCATTCACTGTAAAAAGTAAGTATATCATATTGACATGGTTTTTCCACGAATGTCAATAGTAAATGGACTCTTTGGGTGTAATAAGCTGGCTATAATTGTTCAGTGCCTTGTAATAAATTCAGAATCTGTGAATATAGATCACAACATAATCAAACAAAATAACATTGGAATATTTATCTAGACTCCCCACTTGCTTCTGTGGTAGTGTGATTTGCATCAATGGTTACGTAACCAATCAGTATATTCGGAAGCTCAATCAGTTATAAATAAAGCAAAATTATCATTGAATTCTAATTCACTTCTAGGCTAATCACTGACAACGGCAACATAAATATTGACAAAAACCCAACTGCTTACAAGCAAAAGTCATAGAGGAGTCACTTGCTGGATATTATTATGCTTTATATATTGCATAAAAATCCTAAGAGCATTTTGTGACAAATTATTTTCATCTGATTGCAAGGAATAAAATTAATATAGACTTGGAGGATAAACACTCGCAGATTTTCCTGCATATGTAGATAATTAGTCGACTTATTTCTAAAAGAAAAAAATGGGCAGGTGCTGATAACCTTGTATATCAATCATTTTCTGATTTTACTTTTCAGCATATGCTAATATCAAAATGCAATGATTATTATTTTTGAAGAATACTATAATGCTATAATACTATAATAATATGAAAATTTATTTTATAATAAAATGTATAGATTTTAATGTTATGGTTGCATAAAAATGCACTGCAATTTATATCACGTTATGACTTTAATTACATTCACTCCAGTTAATTGGATGAAATTTGCAATTTGATGAGTGATTCATTCATTTAATCATTTGTGTAAAATTGATTATCAAGCATAGTAAATATCCAAGAAATTCCTTGAAATGGCTCTTTAACCCAAAGGTGATTAAGCAAATATTCTAGGAAGCTATCTGCTTGGCTCGTGCTTTTGACAAAAAAAATCTCAAACTAGATAAATTGGGAAGCCTTATATTATACAAAATATTCCTTTAATTATATCTGTGGAACATCTCATGAAAAATCACTCATTATCAATATAGGTTATTGCTACTAAAAGTTTTTAATTTTTGACTAATAGTGATTCATTTTACATCAGCATATTTTAATTGATTCACAACTATTTCAATAATTGCTGAAAGTGTGTATCCACCTTGTAAAAAAGGGTGTAGGTTTACTCAGAAGTGTTGCAAAATGTATCAACTAATATAACTGGTGTAATCTCTTGCTTTAGGTGGACAGACATAGTGACCGATCTCAATACTCAGAATCCTCAGTACCTTGATATTCGAAATACTGACAAGGGTATACAGTCCAGAAAAACCCTAAAGGTAAGATATTCCCAAGAAAGCAAAGAGAGGACAACTCAAAGCACATCATAGTAACACTGTGCAGTGACCTTTTCTAGCCAAATGTGGCAACCACTTTCCACCCAGCAAATTAAGTGAACGACCAATTTATTTTATGTGGGAGATTGTTAGCCAGGACACTATAGGGAGACAGGACTTCAGTTTTCTGTTTTTGGTTTAAAGTATGGGAACCATGCTCGACAGATGGAAAACCCCTCATTTTGAGCTAAAGTTGTTTACTAATCAGCAGTTTGAATCTGAGTGGGGCTAAGAACTATGATGGTCACCTTGAATCTGAGTGGGGCTCAGATGGTAAGAGACCTGCCTCTTATTATAGGTCAAGCTCCAAGGCATGCACAGGCACAACTAGCCATCTGATCTGCGTGAATTAATGTTACACCTGGTAGTTTCACTTACTAAGCTATTGGAAAAATTTCATTTTTAACTGAAAATGTATGATTTTCCACTACAGTTCCATCTTTGCAATTTCTCTCTACACATTTTCAAACGTTGTCCAATAATGAATAGGAACAGTGCCTCCTGGTCAGGGTGAGCATGTTTTTCCCTTCCAAATTCACTTTGCTTCTGTCATTGTAAAGCCAGTAAAACAAACTACACTTGAACCAAGCAATTACAATCCATAGTTTTCCCATTTGAAATATTGGGCCAAATGGTATGTTTGCAGTTTTTTTAAGATATGTTGCACTTACTTTATTCTGGAACCATACCAGTCATTTTTAATGCTGTCTAAATTTGTGATGACTAGGTTGGTGGAAACCTGCATTGTATAATGGCGTTCCAGCGACTGAACTGGCAGAGGTTGAACACTTGGATGATGAACATTGGAAATTTTAGATATGAATCTTCCAAGAGGTCAAGATGCAAGGCCAATACTTCCAAATCTGACCTAGCAAGCAACTTAAGTGACCATGATGAACCAACAGTTGACAGCAGAAGTAGTGGTGATGGTTTCCCGCAGGTGTCTGAGTGGAACCCAATCTCCCACCCATATGAATACAGAGATGGAGTATCGCCTGAAAGTGAAACTGATGACGAAAGTATTGAATGACCAGTACAATGTTCCGTAGAACATATCTAATTCTGTAGTGATGTTTGTAATGTAAAATATTATTTGGAGAATATCAGATTCAGAATTGTTGAAATAGGCATTATAAATGTTAGTTTGATTACTGTAGATTTCATGGAAATATGACTACACGTTTCATGAAAACGTCAAAGGTTATCAATTAGCAATTATTAAAGGTTTTTTCAAATTATGTTTGTAATTAAGTAAAATGCTCACAGAAAGTAGTTCTTAACAATGTTATAGCTTGGCAATACGTAATTGCTCAGCCTGTTATGTAATTTGTGTAAGGAACAATGCAATACAACTTACATTTAATAACACCCTTCATGTCAAGAGGACATTTCAAAACATGAGAGCTGAGAGGGAAGGGGAGGATGAATGAAAGCGTGAATGAAATCAAATAAGCACATTCAGGGCAGTTAATAATAGATTGGAAACATTTCATTACTTCTATTCATTTATAATGAAACGCAAAATAAATTTCAAGTATTTTGCGTTTCATTATTTCTTTAGTATTTTTAAAAAGCTAATTTTAAAGAAAATATTCATCTGCAAGGAATTTACATTTTGAAATTAATAAAATGTGCTTCTACTTTATTCAGAACTGTTATTTTATACCTCTGCCAACTGTACACAAAAAACTTTTGAGAATGTTTCAAGAGTACACTACAGTCCAATATCCACATCAATTGGGACCAACGCCTGTCGAGGACATGAAAACAGTGTGGATAGAAGGCTGCATGTGTATGTACCTCTCTTTAAATGTGTGCTTACCTGCAATCAGCTCTTTCAATCTCACATTTCTCGAGTAAAATCATGAGCCTTATTACAATTCTTGTAATTAAAATATTTCATCCAAAAACAACAACTTGCATTTATATAGAGCCCTCCATGCCGGGCTGTGTCTCAGAGTGCTTAACAATGGCAGAGCCTGAGGCCAAGCCAAGGGAAGGGGGAAGGTGACCATAGATGCGGTCGAAGAGGAAGGTTTTCACGCGCGACCTGAAGATGGGGAAGGAGGGGGTGAGGCAAAGGGGTTGAGGGAGGGAGTTCCAACGTTTCAGGGTGTAGTGGCTGATGGCACGGCCGCCGATGGTGGAGCGGAGGATTCGGGGGACACGGAGGATGCCGGACCCAGTAGAGTGGAGGCAGCGGGTACTGCTGTGGGGAGAGAGGAGGTTAGAGAGACGGGGGTGCCAAGGAATGGAGGGAATTAAACACTAGAGTGAGGATTTCAAAGTCGATCCGTTCTGTGACAGAGCCAGTGGAGTTTGGCAAGGACTGGGGTAATCGGGGTACGAAGTCCACCTTGCAGCTAGACTTCTACATCTGAGATGCATTGCCGGAAGAGGGACATGGTTGGTCTGGGGTGCAGATAGGTGTTCTACTGTAGCAGATGGCGCCTTACCAGTTTAGTCATTGACATCTTGGCCCAAACAAATTAATCAAGTATCTATTTATTTTGTTCCACCTCTTCTCATTAAGAATTGTTCCATCAATCTTTTCTATACATAACAGCAGGAGGATGCTTTTGAGCTCAGGATGTGTCTCATGGGAGTTCTCCCTATACCTCCAATGGCTGCTTTTCAGCACTTACAGAAAAGGGAACAAGTGTGAATGCAATAGTAATAAATAACTCAGTCCCCTATGTGCAATGAATCTTAAACATAGGCAATTTTCACATACCACAGGAGTCTGAAGCAGTTAAAGAGAAGGTCAACTTTCTTTGCATATCAGTCAGAGCATGCCTATCAATGTACAGAAACAGCCAAACTGAAAATTGAAAACCGGCAACCTGACCTTATGATTGATTAATTAGTAGATCTAGGGAAGAAATATAAGAAATGTCCAGCATCCTCCTAGTCTCTCTGCTACATTCAGTAGTTTTCAGTCCATTTATTTCTTGAATTGGTAAAAATCTTTAGCAAAAATGAATCCATACCTATACAATACTGAGGAATCTGAAAAACAAGATGGTGCTCTTTCACTCAGCCCTCTAACCTGAATCCATCAAATAAAGGCTTGGCAATTTGTGGGAAGTCACATGTATTTTAAGTCACCAGGCTGTGAGTATGGTGTCAAGAGAATCACGATTTGCAATTAAAAAGTTCATTTTCATATTTGAGGTTTATTCATACAATGATTTTGGTTTCAGCATATCCTTTAACTCTGATATATCTGCTGGGGTAGTTCTGCAACAGCCACCTATGAAGAAGTTCAAAAAACAATTATAAAAGCCTATTTCACAATACTATTGCAAATCTACAAATGCTTGAACTTTCATTTCAGATTGAGCAAACACTCTGGGCTTGTTATATAAAAAATATCCATTTGCCAACTCACACAGAAAACTCAACACCAGAAATTATACATATCAAAATCAAATGTTTGTCAGTCTTTAGGATCTTATGTTCAGTATTTGAAATGTGGAAAGAACATACTCCAGAAAAGATTACCATTGTAAATTTCTTTTTAAACTTGGTAAATTTACTGTAATTCATCACAGATTCATCCTCATGGATCAAATTTAAGATTACCAAATTAAAAGTTTTATAATTGTTTCTAATATTCATTAAAAAGGTATTGTTCCCTTCTTCTCATCTCTATTGCTACCCCTTGGTATTGACATTTCAAACACGAGGAAACAATGAATGATGATGAGAATTAAAGAGCTAGTGAAAGAAGAATCTACCTTCAAAAATGATTGTTGATACTTAAGGATCATTAATGTTGAATTTTATTTACCAATTTTCACCAATAAATACCTGCTTTCTCGGTGAAAGGTTAAAAAAATTCTTCTGAATTTGATCTAAAAAAGCACTGAATTAACCTTTTCTTTCAGAGGTGGACTCAGGTTCTGGGAATTATACTGTAAATGTAATAAGGCTGTAATTTAAGCGTAGTAAACTCAATAAACTGTGATTTGTTTTGCTGGATTGCAAAAGTAAGAGTTTAAAACTTTTGTATGTGTAAAACTGCAAAGTCATGGAAAGCGACAGATAATTAGAGATAGAGAGGACAAGAGAGTGACGGAGAGAGAGAAAAGTTAGTAGTTTGGTACTACAAAGGCTGTTCAACTCCTGGTGGAAAAATATTTTATTTAGTACTGTAGCCATTTTGTGTTTTTTTTTCAAATGATCCAAAAAAAATCCTGGTTTTGACCGAATTTACACAGGGCTTTTTTGTGTTGATTTCCCCCCCCCCATCCAATTTTTCCCCCGAAAAATACCTTGGTTTTTATTTTATGAATAAAAATCGACTTCATAGTCCTGGAAGAGGGCCAACTTTCTCCAACTCAATGTCAGCAAGACCGAGGCCTTCCTGATTGGCTCGCGCCAGTGCCTCCACACCTCAGGCACTGGCAGCATCAGCCTCCACGGCTGCACACTCAACCTCACTAAACCAGTCAGGAACCTGGGTATCTTATTTAACCCTGAACTGTCCTTTCTCCCCCACATCCGCGCCATGACTGGCACTGCCTACCACCACCTCCACAACATTGCCAGACTCCGCCACTGCCTCACTGCTCAGGCTGCGGGAACCCTCACCCACGAATTGGTCACATCAAGGCTCGATTATGGGAACTCCCTCCTCATCGGCCTTCCCAACTCTTCTCTTCACAAGCGACAGATCATCCAAAACTCTGCAGCTCGTGTACTCTCACGTACCAGGCTCCGTGACCCCATCACTCCCACCCTCGCCCGACTCCACTGGCTCTCCATCCCCCAGAGGATCGAGATCAAGATCCTCATCCTCACCTTTAAGGCCATCCATGGCCTTGGCCCCTTCTACCTCTCTGACCTGCTAACTCCCTACCAATCTGCCCATTCCCTCCATTCATCGGGCTCCGGCCTGCTCCATGTCACCCGCCCGACCCACCCTACCATCGGTGTCCGGGCTTTCAGCGTCTCTGCCCCCACACTCTGGAACTCTATCCCACGGTCCTTTCACCTCACTTCCTCCCTTGCCTCCTTCAAGGCTGTTCTCAAGACCCTCCTCTTTGATCATGCCTTTGGTCACCCTCCCACCTCTCTGCCTTCCCTCACCCCTACACCACCCCTCCCCCAAGCTCAGGCCCCAACACCTGAATGTTCAGCGCTTTGAGACGTCCTCCCGACATGAAAGGCGCTCTGTGAATATAATTTTGTTGTTATTGTACCGAAATTGGAATAATTTAATCATATGCAGATAAAGTTAATTACAACAATAAAACCCAAATTGTGTGTCCTAAAAAGTAAATCCAAAGGAGAATAATTCAATATTGCATTGGAGATTAAATGTGCTGAATTATCATTGATAAAAGTTTATTTTGTATGTTGAAAATGTATCTCGTGTTAATGCAATCCAAGGGAGAGCTTTATCTTTGCTGCCAAATAAAAAACTTATTCTGATCTATCCCAATAAACATCCAGTAGCTTTCATAACTTTAATTATTGAAATAACTAAAAAGCATAGTAGGATTTTAAATGACCAGGTTTCGTTACTCTAATTAAGATGCACATTTTGAAATTCCAAAGACTTACCAAACCACTTAGTGCCAAGTTCCTTCCATTCCAATGCAAAAGATGAAAGCTTTTTATTCATTGTCTTGCCTTTCCAACTGGGCAAATGTAAGCAAATGAAAACGTTTTTTTAAAGACATTATCACATAGCAAAGTGCAGAAAGTGTCTTGCCTTTGTGGGTTTCACGATACAGTATATTGCCCCAAACAAGTCATTCTTTATTCTTCCAAATTCAAAACACTTTGAAAGAGATGTTTAAACAGTGCATCTTACACAATACAATTTACATTTATTCAATGCCTTTCACAACATAAGCAGTAATCAGCAACATTGGGACTGTATGTATCAATGCCAGCACCCCTCACTTAAGTGCCCATTCTTCATCTTATTATCTTGCATTTGATACAATAGAAATTTACATTTATAAAACACCTTAGACCTTGCTATTTTAACTTCTCAAATTGGAAAAGGTTTTGGATTTCTTGGTTTAAATGACTCACCCTGAATTGGGATCCCACCCTTCTCCACTGTTGGGATATACAATCCATCCTGTGTTTAGCTCTGTATTCTTGTTGGCAGCAGTAAGGAGGGAACTGACTATATCAGGGGCACAACAGTTTAATCCTATGGCCACCAATTGTTCTGATTTAGTTGCAACCTTCACTGCGTCCTCAAATTTTTCTCCATGGGAAACACATTGCTGATCCTAATCAAAATAAAGTTGGCATAATTACGAGGTGCAAATGGATGAATTCCAAATCCATAAAAACAATGAGAAATCTTATTTACATGGCCAATACAGTAGTTATAAAAGTTAAATGTGAATTCCACACCTAAGAATCTGGATATTGAATCCTACCTTTAACTGACTTTTGAATTTGTCTGGCCTCATCAAGCCTGTTTCATCAATTCTCGGCTGTTAGATTAAATATCCTATAGCAGAACAGTGCTTCCTTTAGTGACAAATGATCACTAAGATCTGATCTAACCTGACCTACTCAAGCAGAGGCACAACTGCCAATGACCTACAAGAATAACTATGAAAGTAAACATGGAGATGATCGGACCAGTTTGCCCTGCTCTCCTAGAGAGACATGGGGTGGCACTGACTTTCAATATCAATTTTACTGCATATCTTTTGTTAAGTAATGCCATGCATTTTATTTTCTGTTAATTGAAACATTAATTAAGTTTTACAATTACAAATTTAAATTTATAATTAAATTAAAAATTTAAATTTATAATTAAATTAACTTTAAAATTACAAATATAATGTCATTGTTGTTGTAATTATTTTACAAGGAAATGACAGCCAGGCTTTAGTAAAAAAAATTAAAGTACTCTACTCACTTTCAAGGCCCTCCACGGCCTTGCACCCACCCCCACCTCTCTGACCTGCTAACCCCCTATCAACCTGTTCACTCCTTCCATTCAATAAGCTCTGGCCTGCTCCATGTCTCCCACCCAACCCACCCTACCATTGTCGGCCGGGCTTTCAGCCTCTCTGCTCCCACCCTTTGGAACTCCATCCCACAATCTCTTCACCTTGCTCCCTCCCTTGCCTCCCTCACATCTCAAGACCCTCCTTTTCGACCGTTCTTCAACCGGCCTCTTACCTCTCTGCCCTCCCTCATTCCAACTCTGCCCCCCCAAGCTCGGGTTTTGATCCCGACTGTTCAGTGCCTTGGGACATCCTCCCGACGTGAACAGTGCTTTACACATGTAATTTTATTGTTGTTGTAATTACCTTACAAGAAAATGACAGCCAGGCTTTAGTACTGGGAAATTCCCTGAGTAGTTCCACAAGAGCTTCTCCTTCTTTCTGACTGGGAATAGTTTCCATAGCAATCAGGTCTACTCCTGCAGTTACTAAAGCCTCCATCTGTGGTTGATGCCAAGCTTTTAGTTCCTGAAATAATCAAAAAATACTGTGTGGCATTTCTAAAAATAAAACAAGTACATTTTCCTCTCTAATTGACACAGAACCACTTGTCATCTCTTGAAGTCACATCTAAACTGTTTCAGAATTATTTGGAGGAAAAATACTCTCTGCTCATCACTTTGGCACCAGAATAAAATTGAAAGCTTTCAAATCCTTAACATTCTTGAACGTAACAACTATCCAGGGAATAGGTATTTTTAAGATTTGTAGGCGAGGATCAGGACCTTGAAATCAATCCACTGGGAGACAGGCAATGGAGACTGTTGACGACTAGGGTAATGTGCATACAGAGTTTGGCGAGGGTGAGGACGCAGGTAGAGGAGTTTTGAATAAGTGAAGCGTATGAATTATGGAGTCAGGGAGACCAGCGAGGAGTGCATTAGGAAAGTTTAAGTGAGATGTGACAAAGGCATGAATGTTTCAGCAGTACTGAATGTGAGATAGGGGTGAAGGAAGGCAATGTGGCAGAGGTGGAGGAAAACTTTTTAAAAATACTTTACATAGTACCAAAATACTATGATTTGGTAACCTTTTAGCAGAAGATCACACTGTAAACATATTAGATCTACATAAATGAAGCATTTCTCAGTTACACTCAAAAAGGCTAACTAACTCATGTGCACCCCAGATTCCCAGCCCAAATTAGCCTAGTCAAATAATGTATGTTTCCATTAAGAGAGCCCAGAGTGAGCTAAGTCCGGAGTGAGGCGAGGTCACAGTGAGAAGGAATTGGGTGAGAGTGGGAATTAGGTGCAGAGGGGGAAGTAGGTGTAACGTTGTAGTATATCTTCTAACGACAATATAGGGATAAAGAGAGTAAGAGGAGAGAATGGCCCAGCAGGTGACGTGTGAGGAATGTGGTATGTGGAAGCTGATGGAGGGCAACCTGAGCCCGGGCGACATCATCTGCAGCAAATATCTGCAACTGAGGAAGCTCCAGCTTGGAATAGCTGAGCTGGAGTCTCAGGTGGAGACACTGCGCAGCATTAGAGATGGGGAGAGCTTCCTGGACAGTTTCATCCTGGAGCCAGACACTCCCCTGAGTCCCAGAGAACATTCCGTTACCAGCCACGGACAGGACTGGGTGACGGTCAGACAGGCGGGTAAGGGGACTCGAAAGAGAGGGGCAGAAGAACCCCAGGCTTTAACCTTGTCCAACAGGTATGAAATACTTGCAACCTGTGTGGACAAGGAAGTCTGTGAGGAAGATGGGCAAACTTACCCCAACACCTCTATACAGGAGGCCACACAAAGGGGAATAGTCAGAAGGAATATAGTGGTAATTGGGGATGAGACAGTCAGGGAGTCTGACACACTTTTTTGCAGCCGTAGCAGGGAGACAAGAAGACTCTGTTGCCTTCCTGGGGCCAGGGTGAAGGAATGTCACTTCGGGGCTAGAGAAAATTTGAAGCAGGAGGGAGTGGATCCAATTGTTATGATTCACATAGGGACCAATGATGTAGGTAAGACCAGTAGGGACCAGTTGAGGAGCAAGTACCAGGAATTGGGAGTTAAGCTAAAGAGTAGAACTTCGAAGGTATTAATATCGGGATTATTACCTGAGCCAGGGGCAAATTGGTACAGGCAAAAAAAAATTAAAGATCTGAATACCTGGCTAAAAGAGTGGTGCGGAGGGCAGGGGTTTCACTTTATGGGCCACTGGCACCAGTATTGGGGGAGACAGGAGCTATTCCAAAGGAATGGACTCCACCTAAACAGAGCTGGGACAAATGTCCTGGCAACACGAATAAATAGGGAGGTAGACAGGGCTTTAAACTACTAAGTGGGGTGGGGGTAAAATCAATCACATGTAATCCGTCACAATTAAAATTAGGAGCGATGAAAGTGGGAGAGCAGATTAATGAGGGAGATGAGCAAAGTGTGTCAAGCGGGGAAAAGAAGCCCAGGAATAGGGTACTGGTGAATAGGACTAATAGCCTGAAGTCAGAATTAAAGGTGCTATATCTGAATGCGAGAAGCATTCGAAACAAGTTAGATGAACTAAATGCACAAATAGAAACAAACGGGTATGATCTGGTAGCCATCACCGAGACATGGTTACAGGGAGATCAAGGGTGGGAGCTAAATATTCCAGGGTACGTGGTGTATAGAAAAGATAGGCAATGTGGAAAACAAGGAGGGTGGGGTGGCCCTGCTAATAAAGGATTGGATAAAAACAGCAGAGAGGAAAGATTTTAAATCAGAAAAGCAGGAAGTAGAGTCAGTACGGGTAGAGGTACGTAACAACAAGGGGCAGAAAACTCTAGTGGGAGTAGTTTATAGACCCCTGAACAGCAGTCACAGTATCTCTCAAGGTATAAATCAGGAAATTAGTGGGGCATGTAGCAAAGGAAAAACATTAATTGTGAGTGATTTTAATCTGCATATAGACTGGGACAACCAAATTGGGAAAAGTAAGATAGAGAAAGAGTTTATAGAATGTATTAGGGATAATTATCTAGATCAGTATGCCGAGGAGCCAACCAGGGAACAGGCCATATTAGACTCTGTTTTGTGTAATGAAGCAGAGCTGATCAGCAAACTGGAACTTAAGGCTCTCCCAGGGCAAAGTGATTATAATGATGGAATTTAGCATTAAGTTAGAGAGAGAAGTAGTTAAGTCCGAAGCAAAGGTATTAAATTTAAGTAGAGCCAACTTTGCTGGTATGAGAGAGGATTTAGCCAAAATAAACTGGGAAATTAGACTTAAGGATTTGACAGTAGACCAGCAATGGCAGATGTTTAAGGAGATAGTGCAAAATTCCCAGCGAGCACGTATTCCTTTGAGGAATAAAAATGCCATGGGAAAGGTGGCCCAACCGTGGCTAACTAGAGCAGTTAGGGAAAGTATAAAGTTAAAGGAAGAAGCCTATAAAACAGCTAAGATCAGTAGTAAACCCGAGGATTGGGAGAACTTTAGGGATCAACAAAGGAGAATCAAAAAAGTGATTAAGAGGGAGAAAATGGAATATGAGGGCAAACTAGTGAGGAACATAAAGACAGACTGTAAGAGTTTTTATAAATATATAAAGAGGAAGAGGCTGTCAAAAATAAGTGTGGGTCCGTTACAGGCAGAGACGGGGGGAATTATAGGAGGGGACAAAGACATGGCAGAGTCATTAAACAAGTACTTTGCTACTGTCTTCACCTTAGAAGACACTGAAAACCTACCAAGAATAGAGGGGAACCAAGAAGACAATGTTAGCAAGCAACTTGGGGGAATTAATATTAGTAAAGAAATGGTTTTAGGTAAATTGTCAGGTCTTAAAACTGATAAATCCCCTGGACCTGATGGCCTACATCCTAGGGTCTTAAAAGAGTTGGCTACTGAGATAGTGGATGGCTTGTCTTTGATCTTCCAAAATTCTCTGGATTCTGGAACGGTTCCCATTTATTGGAAGATTGCAAATGTAACACCACTATTTAAGAAGGGTGGGAGAGAAAAGATGGGGAACTATAGACCAGTTAGTCTGACATCAGTGGTAGGGAAAATTCTTGAGTCCTTAATTAAAGATGTCGTTATGGGATTCCTGGAAGAACCATAACAAGATTAGGCAGAGTCAACATGGCTTTACAAAAGGGAAGTCATGCTTAACTAATCTTTTAGTGTTTTTTGAAGATGTATCTAGCAGGTTAGATAGGGGGGAACCAGTAGATGTAGTATATTTAGATTTTAAAAAGGCATTTGACAAAGTGCCACACAAAAAGTTATTGCACAAGGTTAAGGCCCACGGGATTAATGGGAACATATTAGCATGGATTGAAGAGTGGCTAACGGGTAGAAAACAGAGAGTAGGATAAATGGGTCATTCTCGAATTGGCAGGATGTGACTAGTGGAGTGCCACAAGGATCAGTGCTTGGGCCTCAGCTATTTACAATTTACATCAATGACCTAGACAAGGACATTGAATGTAACGTATCTAAATTCGCGGATGACACTAAACTAGGTGGGAGAGTAAACTCTGAGGATGATGCAAAAAGATTGCAATGGGATATAGATAGGCTAGGGGAGTGGAATTTAATGTGGGGAAGTGTGAAGTTATTCACCTCGGTAGCAAAAATAGAAAAACAGATTATTTTCTAGAGGTGCAGATTAGATGATGTTAGTTTTCAGAGGGATTTGGGTATCCTTGTACACCAGTCTCAAAAAGTTAGTTTGCAGGTGCAGCAAGCAACTAAGAAGGCGAACGGCATGTTAGCGTTCATTGCAAAAGGTTTAGAGTACAAAAGTAGGGAAGTCTTGCTGCAACTGTATAGGGCCTTGGTGAGACCACACCTAGAGTATTGTGTGCAGTTTTGGTCTCCTTATTTAAAAAAGGACATACTTGCCCTAGAGGGGGTGCAGCATAGATTCACTGGGTTAGTTCCTGGGATTAGGGGACTGACCTATGAGGTAGGCTGAATAAACTAGGGCTATATTTTCTAGAGTACAGAAGAATTAGGGGAGATCTTATTGAAACGTATAATATTCTTAAAGGGCTGGATAAAGTAGACACTGAGGGACTGTTTCCCCTGGTAGGAGAATCTATAACCAGGGGTCACAGTCTTAAAATTAAGGGTCAGCCTTTTAGGACAGAGTTGAGGAAACATTTCTTCACTCAGAAGGGAGTGAATTTATGGAATTCACTACCCCAGAAGGCTGTAGATGCTCAGTCCTTGAACATCTTCAAGGCTGAGACTGATAGATTTTTAAAAAAGATAGAGGGATTAGGGGATATGGGGATAAAGGTAATTAGAGTTAGGTCTGAAAATCAGCCATGATCTTATCGAACGGCGGGGCAGGCTCGAGGGTCCGAATGGCCTACTCTTGCTCCTAATTCTTATGTTCTTATGTTTTAAACAGGAAGGTAAGCCAGTCTTATCTCAAACATTATACATAATTTATTATGTGCAATGAATGTTGTGATTACATACCTCTTTACTCATCCTTTCAACATAGTTCCCTGTATACTCAGAGCCATCGTGCATAAATGCTCCATATGGCCCAATGGAACCTGCAATAAGGGGTGTTCTCTCTTAAAACAGAAGAGATATTAATCAAATTATTAATACAATATTATAATAAAACTCTGTTGGTTAAATAATTACATTAATTTGATTATAAAGATCTCACCCAATATTAAACATATTTCAGAATCACAGAACAAGGTATTTCCCTTAAAATTACAAAATATTAAAATGTATGTGTTAAATGGTGATGTAATTACAAAAATAAACTGTTTATGGAATGAATTCCATAATGCCTAAATTGTTCACTTCTTTTGAAACATCCACAAACCAGAATATTCAAGGATATGAAACTAATTTTCAAGTAATTTTTAAAACAAAATTCAGCTCTAACAAGTAAACATTTTGGAGCAATTTATTCTAAGGCTACATTTTCACACAGATAGAACACATGATGACTTCCGTTTTCCTCTTTCCATTGTTTTGTTTTGTTTTCTTTTAAAAAAACAATGCACAGGATTCAGAAATAATATTTATACAATACAGGGTATATAGTCCAACTAAGAAAACAAATGTACATTTTAAAATGTCTCCTACATATGTAACAATAGCTGCAAAACATACCTGAACTCTTGGAGGTTGATAGGAAATCACCAACCGCCTCTTTAGCTAGCTGTACCCCTGATTGAAGAAGCAGAACTGCTTCCTCTGAGCTCAGGTCCAGGTACTTAACAAAGCCCACCAAACTCGCCTGATATGTGGCTGTTGTAATGACATCAGCACCACTACAAAGATACCTACATAATATGAAAAAGTGTGCTTAAAATTATTGTCAATGTAATAATTACACATAGGCATGATTCTTTTGTCAATTTAAATACATGTTTTTATAAGGAAATCCTTCCCTACAAGAATTAGTTTACAGGCAACATAAAAAGGGAGAGGAAGGAGCGAAACTGAGAAGCAACGACTTATTTCTGTACCTTGGAGACGAAAGGGAGACTGGAGATGGGACAGCAGTTGGTGAAAAGGGATGGGTTTAGAGAAGGTTTTTGAGGAGACGGGGACATTTTGCCAAGAAAATGACAATGAAAATTACAATGAATGACAATATTCTCAAACCTATAAACATAAGAGAAAATAGTCTGCTTATAATTGTATATTTCTACAATCTTTTTTAAATGATAGAATTATTATTTTTTAAAAACTGCTTTCAATTACCTTGCATGCACATTTTTTATAGCCTGTGGATTAGTGTGCAATATTCGAGCACTCCATAATGGATCATCCTGTCAAAGAAATAGAAATATTAATCATTAAAAGTGCAATTTTGATTTCAGCACTTCACATTCATTGATTGTTTAGTACAACAACAACTTGCATTTATATAGCGCCCTTCACGCGGGGTAGTGCTTGACTAAACATAATCTTCAAAAGGATGTCAGAAGAGAGTTCCAGAAGTTCCAAGGTGGCTGAAAGCTTGCCCACAAATTATAGGTGGAGGAGAGTGGGCATGAAGTAAGTCAACACTGGTGGAGTAAAGTGAATGACCGGGTGTTGGATCGCAGTAGATGAAGTATTCTATAGCAAGGCCTTGGAGGCTTTTGTAAGAAAGAACGAGGATTTTAGTATTGAGGATACGGCACCAACACTGAGTAAAGACGGCAGCAACCCTGAATAATAATAGCAGCAATAACCCATGTAACAGTATTGAGTAGTCATTCCTCTCCTTTTTCTTATTTACACATGAACTTTAACCAGGGTGTCTCAGTGCTGTGGATGGGCCAGAAGCCAGTTTAGTGGGGCTCAAAGAAGGTCAGCTGAGTGTCTGACACTTGAGGAAACCCATCATCATACTTAAGGGAATCCAAACCAAACCATGCATCCCTCCTATAAATGGAAATCCCAGAATGTTTATTGAAATGCACACTCTCTCCCCGGAGGAAGAACATGGTTTATCACTGTAGAGTATGCTCAGGACTGTTACATTGGTTATCACTGCAGTGGATGCACACTCCACCTCACTAAGCCAATCTGGAACCTTGCGCATCTTGTTTAACTGCTTTCTACCCTACATCCATGGCATGACGCTCTGCCTTCCCTCGCCTTCACAACATCGTCCGGCTTTGCCACTGCCTCTCCCATCAGACCACCGAAACCATTATCAACGCATTTATTCCATCTAGCCTTGACTATGCCAAATCCCTGCTTGTCGGCCTTCCCAACTCTTCCCTCCCACAAGCTGCAGATCATCCAGAACTCTGCAGCTCGTGTCCTCTCCTGCACCAGGCTCTGTGACTTTATCATTCCCACCGTCGCCCGGCTTCTCTGCCTCCCCATCCCTCAGAAGAGTTCAAAATCCTCGTCCTCACCTTCAAAGCCCTTCGCGGCCTTGCTTCTTCCTACCTGTGGCCTGCTAACCCAAGATCAACCAGTCCGCTCCCTGCGCTCAGCAGGCTCCACATCCTACATCCAGTCCACCCCACCATTGGCGGTCGGGCCTTCAGTTCCGCTGCCCCCACCCTTTGCAACTCCATCCCAATACCTTCACCTCGTTTCCTCCCTTACTCCTTCAAGGGATGTCTCAAGACCCTCCTCTTCAACCGCTCATTCGGTCATCCTCCTACCCCTACCCTCCTTCCCTCCACCCTCCCTGATCCCAACCCCCAACTCCGGGGCCAAATCCCTGACTGTCCAGTGCCTTGGGACATCCTCCTGATGTGAAAGGTGCTATACAAATGTAATGTGTTGTTGTTGTTTTGTGCCGGGGGCTGTCACATGGGTTACCATGTCACTAGTGTGTGCCGGGGGCTGTCACATGGGTTACCATGTCACTAGTGTGTGCCGGGGGCTGTCACATGGGTTATCATGTCACTAGTGTGTGCCGGGGGCTGTCACATGGGTTACCATGTCACTAGTGTGTGCCGGGGGCTGTCACATGGGTTACCATGTCACTAGTGTGTGCCGGGGGCTGTCACATGGGTTACCATGTCACTAGTGTGTGCCGGGGGCTGTCACATGGGTTACCATGTCACTAGTGTGTGCCGGGGGCTGTCACATGGGTTACCATGTCACTAGTGTGTGCCGGGGGCTGTCACATGGGTTACCATGTCACTAGTGTGTGCCGGGGGGGGGCTGTCACATGGGTTACCATGTCACTAGTGTGTGACGGGGGGGGGGCTGTCACGTGGGTTACCATGTCACTAGTGTGTGCCAGGGTGGGGGCAGTCACATGGGTTACCATGTCACTAGTGTGTGCCAGGGTGGGGGCAGTCACATGGGTTACCATGTCACTAGTGTGTGCCGGGGGCAGTCACATGGGTTACCATGTCACTAGTGTGTGCCGGGGGGGGGCAGTCACATGGGTTACCATGTCACTAGTGTGTGCCGGTGGGGGGGGGGGGGCTGTCACATGGGTTACCATGTCACTAGTGTGTGCCGGGGGGGGGGGGGCTGTCACATGGGTTACCATGTCACTAGTGTGTGCCGGGGGGGGCTGTCACATGGGTTACCATGTCACTAGTGTGTGCCGGGGGGGGGGGGGGCTGTCACATGGGTTACATGTCACTAGTGTGTGCTGGGGGCTGTCACGTGGGTTACCATGTCACTAGTGTGTGCCGGGGGGGGCTGTCACATGGGTTACATGTCACTGGTGTGTACGGGGGGGGGGGGGGGGGGCTGTCACATGGGTTACATGTCACTAGTGTGTGCCGGGGGGGGGGGGGGGCAGTCACATGGGTTACATGTCACTAGTGTGTACCGGGGGCTGTTGCCGGTGTCTCTCACCTGCAGTTGCAGCCCCGCCCCCTCGAGCTCGGTGGCTAAACCGCCGTCAATAACCGTCACCTCACGCGCTCCGCTCATCGCCCCCTCTCCCCGCCCCTCGCGCGTGAGCGACACGTGGCTCAGCCAATCACTGTGCCGCCGAGTGCAGAGGGCGGCGTCTTCCTGCGACGGCTTCCGGTTTGTGTCACACTTCATGCGATCCGCGGGTAAGTGGTTTTATGGCCGTTTGTCGCAATGTGACGCTCGGGAGGCGTTCGGCTGAAACAAGTGGCCGTAAAGTTACAGGGGTTCGGTGTGTGATGAACGTCGTATTTCTCTTTTGCTTTATAACTGTCATCTGTGAACGTCCGTACGTTGCCCCCTTTTGTGGAGTCCTGTAGCTCAGTGGTTAGAGCAATTGCTTTGCAAGTGAGAGACCTGAGTTCAATTCCAGGCAGAGGGCGAAACCTTGGGCAAGTTTCCTTACTCCACACAGAGCCTAATAATAATCCCTCCAAAACCAAAAACAATAATAAATTGGTCATTTTCAATCTACGATTGTCTGTGGGACATTGCTGTGCGCAATTGGCCGCCGCGTTCGCCCACAAATATACAGTCAATTCACTTGACAGTGTGTTCTGTGAAGCGCTTTGGGACGTCCTCCTGACGTGAAAAGCGCTATATCAAATGCAAGGATTATTATTATTATTATTATTTTGCTTAAGAACATAATAATAATAATCATAATCATAGTCCTTGCGTTTGATATAGCGCCGTATCGTGTCTTTGAGACGTTCTCGAAGCGCTTAATAATGATAATAATCTTTGCATATGATACAGGGCCTTTCACGTCTTCGAGACGTCGCAAAGCGCTTCACAGAATAGACTGTAAAGTGAATTGACCGTATATTTGTGGGCGAAACGCGGCGGCCAAATTGCGCACAGCAGCGTCCCCGCAAACGGTCGTGGATTGAAAATGACCAATTTATTGTTTTTTTTTTCTTGAGGGATTAGTGTCAGGCGCCTGGAGTGTGGGAACAAAATTAAATTCAGATTTTTATTTGTAAATCTTGAACATTTCTGCAATAAATTACAAAGGAAATGTACCGGTGATATCACCTTATGTGGAGGGTTTCTGATCTCTGTAAAGCTGAGGGAAAGTGAGTAGGTAAATCAAAACTACCAAATTAATTCCAATGTATTACAATCTTAACCAGGAATAACTTAATTTCGGACTTAATTACATTACTTACTTAGATACATGCTGTGAAGGAACATTAGACACAGACAGGTACAGGGTATCAGAGACATAAGACACAGGTACAGGGGAGATCGGAGACATTAGACACAGGTACAGGGGATCAGAGACATTAGACACAGGTACAGGGGATCAGAGACATTAGACACAGGTACAGGGGAGATTGGAGACATTAGACACAGGTACGGGGGAGATTGGAGACATTAGACACAGGTACAGGGGAGATTGGAGACATTAGACACAGGTACAAGAGAGACCGGAGACATTAGACACAGGTACAGGGGAGATCGGAGACATTAAACACAGGTACAGGGGATCAGAGACATTAGACATATGTAAAGGGGATCAGAGACATTAGGTACAGGTACAGGGGAGAGTCATTAGACACAGGTATGGGGGAGATCAGAGACATTAGACACAGGTACAAGGGAGATCAGAAACATTAACCACAGGTACAGGGGAGATTAGAGACATTAAACACAGGTACGGGGGAGATCAGAGTCATTAGACCCAGGTACGGGGGAGATCAGAGACATTAGACACAGATTCAGAGGAAATCAAAGACATTTAACAAAGGTGCCGGGTAGAGATATTAGACAGATACAGGGGAGAGATATTAGATACAGTTACAGGGGAGAGCAGAGACATTAGACACAAGTACAGTGGAGGAGGGATAGCAGAGACATTAAACACAGATACAGGTGTGGGGGGGTGGGGGGATGGGACATGAAACAGGAAAGCTTCTGCTTGTCTTGTCCCACCATTGTAAAGCAAGTTTTCAACCATTCTGACCCTGCTCTCTGGAACTCCATCATAAGGATACATCACGCCCTCCTTTTGCATCTTTAAAGTTTGCCTCATCCAAGCTAATGGTCATCTTTCCTTCTCCTTTTCCCCCTCTCCCTCCCCCCCCCCCCCCCCCCCAGCAGCTCAGGCTCTGTGAAGCTCTTTAAGACATTCACTGAATATATAAAAGGCACTATATGAATGTAAAATTGTTGTTGATGGCAGAACCTTGTACTTTTAACAATGCCAAACTTCAATTCTGGGATACACATTTGAAGCGAAAAGAATATTTCTCAATCATAGAGTAACACTTGAAATGCCTGAATGTATATATATACCGTAGTGAGTTTTTTTTTCTTAAAATTCATGTACTTTTATCTTTGATACTTTAATTTTATTCTTTGCAGAATGCTGAAGAGTGAATTTCAGCTTTGCCATGGGTGTTCAAGGACTGTGGAAATTGTTGGAGTGCACAAGACAGCCCATAAATCCAGAAACTCTGGAAGGAAAAATACTTGCTGTTGGTATCCTTTCAATAGCTGGTTTTAGATACTGGCAGTAAATCTGCTCATTTCAAAGATGGGATAAGAAAGCAAATAATCTTTAATTTTGCAATTAAGTAAGTTTCTGTGCCTTATACATATTATCAAGAACACAGGATTGCTAAAATAAATGACTACATTTTTGTGAAAGCTGTTGAGTCTAGGATCTAGGTTTGACTATGTTCTTCATGTGGTTCAGTTTAAATAGGCTTACCCCATGGAGGAGGCTTTGAGGTTAGATTTAAAACGGTTCATTATGTGGAAATCTCTTATTGAGACAAGTGAGAGGAGGCATGGTACCAAAGAGTTATGGTGCCTCAGTGCATCATGCCATTGAGGGAAAATGTACAGGATCAAGCCGTCAAAAGCTGGGTTTGTCTTCATCCGGAGAAATGGAAAGTCAAATAGTGGGATAACTTGAATATTGAAACAGTTCAAGGTAGTATATATAGAATATGTATTCTATGTATACACATAGAATTAGTCATAACTAATAGTGAGTGAAAACGTGAGAGAAAAAAAGGTGGGATGTATATGGAATGTGAGTTATTTTCAGCGCTGTGAGTGGATAGTAATTTTTCCTATTTGTTGCATTTTGTAATTTCTGTGCAGTTATAAATTGATCGCTTTCTTGGTAATTAAAACTTTTAAATTTCCTTTATTAAATGTAATTTTTAACACCCTAGTTTAAAGATTTTTCTTAGCAACCGGCAAAAGATATCAGCATTTGGTTAAATCAAGCAGTGAAAGGAGCACGGGATCGCCATGGAAATGCTATACATAATGCCCACCTTCTGACTTTGTTCCATCGACTTTGCAAGTTGTTGTTTCATCGAATAAGACCGATATTCGTCTTTGATGGAAAAGCACCTTTGCTCAAGAAACAGACTTTAGTAGGTCCTTTACAGTAATCAGTTTGTCAATAGTGACTATAAGTTTATTGTATTTTAATTTTTTTTATTACTCTAAATCTATTTGTTTAAAAAAGTATTTTATTTACCCCTTTTAGGAACTTTGACGGGTTATACCACAAAGGTGAACCTTTTAGGAAGCTTTATAATTTTTTTGAGCAACTTAAGAACTAATTTACTTTTTAAGGGACTAAATGTCACATGGGTTAGAACACTGGTATTTCATCTCTGAGATTGAATCCAACCAATGGATTTTTAAAATAAATAACTTTAAAAAATAACTTTAACAATAAGTTTAATGCACATAGGACATCTTTACAAAATTGATTCATAGTTCATCAGGAGATATATATTTCTTTGGCAATTTTTTTCAAAAACAGTCATTTATGTTGCCATTTTCTATTAACTGAGACTATAGGATCAACATTCTATATCCAACTTGTGCCCAGTCTTGTAGAATAGTAGTCCCTTGGTTAATCTGAAGTTTTTATTTACATTAGGCCAACAGACGTCAAAGAAAGGAACTGGCAACTAGAGAAAGCAAGAAAACTACAGATAAGTTATTGAAAACCATCTTGAAGAGACAAGCTCTAAAAAATGCTTTAGGAAGCAAAAGGTTGGTAATGTGCTTTGAGTTTAAGATGTTTACATTTCAAAAGGCACAAATGATTTTGAGCATTTGTACACATTTTAAAATTTATGACAATGTGTTATTCCTCATAAGCAAGTAAGCAGTGAATTAGTGCCATAAGAAATCCTGGAATGCCAAAAGACTCTTTCACGCATTTTCTTGTTCTTTCTTGTTTGTTCTTTCCTCAGACAATGTAAATGCTATCTTATCATCGGCATCACCTTACTCAGTCTATCTCTGGGTGAATAAATGGTATAGTTACTCACTGATCTATAAAAGTAATAAAGCAAAAACTCAATAATATTTATCTCTACCATTCAATCATAGCCAGCTTCTCTCTATCATTCTACTGTCCTTCCTCCAGTAACTGGTCACACTTAGTGGTGCTGTTCACCAAAGCTGTACATGTGTAAAGGTACAACAAGAGACAAGTGATATTTCTCTCACAAGTCTTTCCCCCTCCTCACATTAGGAGGAAGTTGAGAACCCCGTAAAAATACTCTGAATTCAAAGATCTTGGAGATTGAACCTGTGCCCCACCATTCCTTGATGCTGGGTGCTTCTAAGAGCTATGACAGTGATCTGTAGATTTGGTACTGATAGTGTTTTAAAATCGGGTATGTAGTTGGAAATGGAGCAGTGGGACACAATTTTTAATTTTCCCTTTTTGAAAATGGTCACTAATGTTGCTACATCCTTTTAAGACTGTGACTGTTAAAACTAAATTAAAAAGGATGTTGTTAGAAACTTTTGAGACTGTAACACTTAATACCCAACTAGGAATCAGACCAACAAAGTGTTGCTCAAAATAAAGAAATTAAAGAGCCAGGAGAGGGAATAGAAATTGAACATCAAATCTGCTAATGGTAAATTCTAATATTTGAAATTTATTGAGTAAAGAAAACAATTTCAAGTTCTGGAAAGTCATTGATCTTCCAAACTTTGACTGCAGTGAGGAGATCGTTCCAAGTCTTTCCCAAGTCCGAAAAGAAGAAATTGATGACATTTATGTATTACCTCCATTGGAGAAGAAAGAAGAGAACAGGTTTGACATTTTGTCTTTTGCTTCATTTATTTAGTTCTATTTACATTAGATTCAAATCCAGGGAAAACGTGTGAATTCCTGTGGAATCCAACAATTAAGGATCCACAACAAAAGTTCCATTACTATGATTGCTAGTGAAAATGGGATTTATTGAATTAAACCGCTACACATTTTCGGCCAGGATTGTACTTTATCCAGAACATTTACACTATTTGAGTTCTCTGAAACCCTATGATCTGTATGTGTAGATATAATAATACTGTAATAATAATTAATAATCCTTACATATGGTATAACTCCTTTTACATTGGGAGGACATCTCAAAGCACTTCACAAGATATACTGATCATCTTCCGGACCATCTGATAGAAACATCCTGTAATTTGAGGGATGATTTTTTAAAAAAAGAAAATAAATTATTTTGGTATTCAGGTGATTTGACGGTGGAAGAGTTCATGGTGGATGTTCCATTGAAAGTAATATGAAGTCATGAGTGTGTAATTTTCCTGCCTTTTCCACTGTAGCATAAAATGTGTGGATCTTTTTTTTAAAAAACCACTATGACAGGCATATTTATTAAGTTGCTCAATCAAAGAGTTGCTTAATAAAAGAGTTTGATTACAATCCAAAACAGTAAGTGTGAATGATGGCGATGATCAATATTCATTGTGTGAATAGCAAAAGCAGTTTGTCAATTTAACTGCATATGAAAGAAAAACATTTTCATTATGTTCAGTATAATATGTGCTAGAAATGCTAAATCAATAAGCTTTACTTTTGAGGGGATATTGGCACATCGGCTCCTCTATGACTTGTTTACTTGTGTGTTCTTATACTGCTTTGCAGTTCCGATGAGGAGGCAGAAAAGGAATGGGAGGAACGAGTGAATAATAGAAAACTATTGCAGGTGAAAAGTTTTCATTTTGAAATGAATTATATATAAACCTATATATACTTGTTTGCAATACAACCTCATGCCAGCTAAAGTAACCTTACATTGTTCTTTCTAAATTCTTATTTAATTGGGGAAAATTCTTCAAAATAATTTGGAGCCACATTTTAAATATTGAAATATCTCACTGAATCATGCCAGAAGTTAAACTGATAATATTTACATAAGCTTAACTGATACGTTTACAGTTTAAAACCTATCAACATCATAATTGTAATAATGGATTCTTTAGTTGCCTGAATTTTAATGAGGATTTCACACCAAACTCAATGCTATTCTTACCCAATGTGTCCAATGCATGTACACATGCAATTCTGAAAAAAATAAAGGGCAGATAATACAAACTGGCTACAAAGTATGATTTGTGCATTGTCAGTATTTAATTGTATTTAGTGAAATGCAAAGTATTGGCTCATTTATTTAATATTGTTTATTCCCCTGTTTAGAATGAATTTCTTGAGAATCCTCATTCTATAGACATTGAATCAGAAGATTTTGCAAGTCTCCCTCCCGAAATGAGACATGAAATCCTGTCTGATCTCAAAGAGTTCACTAAGCGTCAAAGAACTCTGATCTATTCTATGCCTGAGGTGTGTTCCACATCTTTATTGACCTTGTTGATGTTTTATGTCTGAGCACAAACACTTTTTAAAAGCCTTGGTACGTTTCTTCAAAGGAATCAACTGATTTTTCCCAGTACCAGCTGACGGGTCTCCTTAAACGGAACAAGCTAAATCAACACATTGAGGGGATTCAGAAGGAGATGAATGAACAGTACTCGGGGCAAATTCAACTTCAGTACAACAAAGAGGGTGGATTTGTGAAGGATGTAGAAACTAGACGGCTTGTGTCAGAAGACTCTACACACTATATTTTGCTAAAAGGTATGAGACGTCTTGTAGACGCGATAATGCACTATATCAAATGCAAGTATTATTATTGTATAGCAAGCATTCGTTACAAGTAAACGAGTACCATAATTTCTTTCTCATTAATTTACTCCCCTAACTTTTACACCTTTTGGGACGCTTTTGTTGTTTTCCTTCTACTGGGTTCCATGGCTGCCATCTGCCTCCACGAGCTCCCCCATATGGCCATTTTTCAAGTGTGAGCCTGATGAACGTTAGCTGCAATTCAACAGTGAAGGAGCTGTGCTGCACAGAGTCATTTCACATGCATATTGCAGTAATCAGTCAGTAAACCACACTTATAATATCCATGCTTATATATGTATTTTTGTATTACTTCCAAGATACAAAAGAGCCAAACAATTGCTTGGATTCATCTTGATCCTGGTTTTGTAATTCTAAAATCTTCTATTAAAGTTAAAGCCATGTCTAAGTTATGTGCAATGTAACTCAATACAATGTCATTTTTCAAGTGCAGCATTGAAATTAGCATTGAATTTAAACTTAGCATTGACTAAAATAATGTTTGATGGAAACTAAATAAGTTACAATATTTAATTTTCAGGGCTCAAGTCAAAGAATACTGAAAATGAAGAACCTGGTTTACAAACTGCTACGAATCTACAGAAAACAAACAGCTCAACTTCAACATCAGTGGGTCCACACAGTGATCAGAAGCCCTGTGTAGCCTCACGTCCACCATCATCTCCGACAGACAGAGCAGCCAAAGCTACCACATCTGACAATGACGGCAGTGTTGCTGCTGCTGCTCCTCCTTCCCCACGGACTTTGATTGCGATACAGGCAGCCATGCTCGAAAGCAGCTCAGACGAAGAAACTGAATCAACAGAAAATAAGTTACTTTTTCGCAACCAAGACTGGCCACAGCACTCAACCAATGTTGCCGCAACAAACATGAACGTGTCACCAAGGACGTATCGAGCCATTCAGGATGCTTTAGAAGATGATGAAATAACAACAGAGACGGGATGGGATAGTCTCAACAAATGCAACAGTTCTAGAAAACGACCTGCTTTAAGCAGCAGTTCAGAGGATGACAGTGAAAACAAGCTGCTCAAAACGTCTGTGAATGCACAGAATTCGTCAAGTGAACAGACGATCTCCCAAACTGTTGGTTTAAAAGATCAAAGCTGTGTTGAACCAAAAGAAGGTTCTATAACAAGTTCCCAGAACACTTTAACCAAAGTAGAAAATCAAAGTGCTAGCAGTGTTGCGTCAAATGCAGTGGACACTGTTAAGATTGAACAGAATATTCAAGAATTAGATTTTCAGTCTCTTGAAGTTATTAAAAAACCTGAGGATCCTGACTTAATAAATTCAACAGATGGACAAACCAGCTTTAGCAATGGTGAATATATTCATCTTCGTGAAAAAGTTCTGTCCAGCGAATCTAAAAATGCAAACAATGCAGCATCTCCAAAGCCTCCTTTCCCTATCACTCCAGTTCCCACCCAGGCTGTCATTTTTCTAAAACCTGAGATACAAGATTTGAACAATTCCGTTCCCATTGCAGATCAGAAGCAAGGATCTGTGGAAGAAGCCCTTGATCGTGGGAAAATGCAGATTAATATTGGATCCGAGAGTGATTCTGATGGTATGTTTTTCTACTGTATTCCTGTGATATTCTGAACTTGATGAACTGTGTACAAGACCTAAAACACTAGAATGGCAAATCAGTCAATACAATAAATGTAGAAAGATACACAATTCTGTGCCTCTTCTATAAACTTGAAATCAGTTGAAAGCCCTGCCATCAATCATTTAGATTAGGAGTGTCAGCCATTGGGCTCATAGTTTATATATAGGGTTTGAATGCTCATCCTAACCCAGAAATGGGAGTGCAACTAACTAAGCTAGGCTGACATTTGTTTCTAGATGTAAATAAAGACAATAAGAATGTTTTTTCTCACCAGTTCCTGAAATGGTACAAGTAAAGTGCATGACAAAGTTTGATACGATTCTTTCCAAAGGAAACAAGAAGTACATCACTCTGTTCTGTAATTAATAAATGAGTCTATTTATTCTGTTCCTGTTCAAGTATGAATACTTTTTGCTTTGATATTTAGATAGTTTCATTGAAGTTGATGACACCAGTAAAGTGGGCTCAAGCAGCGATGTCTTTCCTTCTGATACCTTTACAACTTCCAGTTGTGAAAGTGAATCCAAGCCAGCTCCTACTGGTGGTACGCAATCTTCAGAAACCATAGAGAAAGATACTGAAGAACTGTCTCAAATCCTTACTCTCAGTCCTTTAGAAGTAGAGGAACCAGTTCCACAGGAGATGATTGAGGAAACTGAGGAGAACGCGTGGGATGATATTGATCTGGTAAAACTGGATTATCTTCGATTTTTGTTTGTTTTGCTATATCAAATGCAAGGATTATTATTTTGTTTTGGAATTCATTAAAAACTCAGTTTTTAATGAAATATGGGTTGTTTCTGATCACATATGGGTGTGATCTGTATCAATATAGGCCACGAAGTAAGTGTGGATTCACTGAATTTACCTGTCCTCTTAACTACAGTCCATGTACAACCCAGGGGGAATGGGGAGTTTTTGTTTAAACGTGTGGCTCATGTATTAATTTCAGTAAAGAATGAATATACTTGAAAGTTGTGTATTCTTTCCAATTTGGGAAATATTTGACAAGTGTAATTTGCTGTGTTTTTTTTATTCTTCCATTAAGTAGCTATTCGTCTTTTTAACTAATTCTATCTTCTAGAAGAGCATCATTAGCTGTTGAGTTCTACTTGTGTGTTACAGGAGGAGATCGAGGCACTGGAGGACAACCTGTTTGTAGAACAGTCAAATCTCCAGACTCAAAAGCGGCGGCAAGAACAAATGGCTGCCACTGTCACAGGACAGATGTACTTAGAAAGCCAGGTAATAACAGTAATAACTTTGGGGTTATATTAATAGAGGCCTGGCATATACTGCATGATTTCTCTGATATTTGCCTGGAGTTAAAATATACCAATTGGAAATGGATGATTTGTTTTACCTTGTAAAAATTCACAGTTTAAGAACTTGTATCTAATATTTTCCAGCTCACTCTGACCTTGTAAATAAATCCTAGATGAGTCTTAAGTTCTCCAACTCAACGTCAACAAAACTGAGACTATCCTGCTTTGCTCCCATCAGCGCCTCTTCATCTCCGTTGCTGACTGTATTAATTTTCCCAGTTGCTCACTCCAACTCGTGTAGCCTGTGAAGAACCTACATTTTGCTTAACTGACAATTCTTTAAACCTTTCATCCTAGCTCTGATGAAATCAGCTTTCCTCTATCTACACAATATCACCCGCTCCTGCTACTATTTCCATCTTCCACCCCTATTATGGGTAATTACTCTCTGTAATTCTCTGTTCCAAAATTCCTCTTACTCACTCCTTCCCTGTCTTGTTTTAAAAGCTGTTCAAAGACCTAGTTCTTTGTCTGTACCTTCTGAATACTGAACCTCAATAAACAGCACAAGAGGCTAAGTGATTAAATAACTAAAGTGTGTGCTGAGTTTTCTATAACATGATTTGTTTCTCAGATAGTCATCTGGCAGGTGCTATATTCAATAATTTTCTTTTTAAATTATAATTAGATTAAATGTTTATACGTCACAAATAGTTTTGGTCTCTAAAATACAAAGTGACTTCAGTCCAGTGCTAAATCATTGTGGGCAAAACTCCCAGAAATATTTTGATTCAATTTGTAGTGACAGAAATTCATGATTAATACAAAAATAGCTGTTTTTAACAAATTGAAAACTGATGGTTAGTCTTTCATGTCTACAACGCATCATTTGTATGCTTAGGGTATTTTTTAGCATTTAATGGTCACTGTGTGTGCTCTGTTCTCTTATAGGAGTTGCTACGGCTTTTTGGCGTTCCTTACATTGTTGCTCCCATGGAAGCAGAAGCTCAATGTGCCTTTTTGGACATGACCGATCAAACCAATGGGACAATCACTGATGATAGTGATGTATGGCTATTTGGAGCACGACATGTGTATAAGAATTTCTTCAGTCAAGATAAGTATGTGGAATACTACCAGTATGTCCACATTCATAACCAGCTGGGTGAGTAAGGAGACTTTGTTTTTATAAACATAAAATACATTAAATGTGAGACAGAGGGTAAACCAGTGATAAGGTGCCTCTGTAGAGGACAAGTTTGCTTATAATACGAGTTACTGTTGGAACCCCAGTTAGTGGAAGTGCAGTACACTTCCAGGCGCCCACAAAGTATACAGTCAATTCACTTTACAATATATTCTGTGAAGCACTTTGAGACGTCCACGCAATGAGGCTTTATATCAAATGCAAATGCAAGGATTATTAGGTGGGGTCCTGTAGCTCAGTGGTTAGAGCGCTCGCTTTGCAAGTGAGAGACCCGACTTCAATTCCAGGCAGGGCAAACCCTTGGGCAAGTTTCCTTATTCCACACGCCTAATAATAATCCCTCCAAAACCAAAAACAATAATAAATTGGTCATTTTCAATCCACGACTGTTTGTGGGACATTGTTGTGCGCAATTGGCTGCCACGTTCGCCCACAAATATACAGTCAATTCACTTTACAGTGTGTTCTGTGAAGCGCTTTGGGACGTCCTCCAGACGTGAAAAGTGCTATATCAAATGCAAGGATTATTATTTATTTAAGGATTATTATAGCTCCCAGTGGAGCCGATTCCTACTCAATGGCTGGTCTGCCCCAACTGCTGTTAGACATGTTTCTAATCATAGATGCCCTTGCAAGAGTGGTCGCAGCTGATCAGCCAAATTCCTGTGTGTGTGTGCAGGTAGCTGGTCAGTTTGTGCTGGAATTAAAATCAGCGACAACTGGATGACCCCGAAGTGGGACTAGTGGTCATTTCACAGACCTGTTATAATCTGCGATTTAAATATATGGATCCAAAGCGACAGGGTCATCCTGGAGCACCCTACAATATTTAGTTCTCATTAAGGAAGTGCAGATCAACAAGATAGGTAGGAAATTAAATTATTTTCTGTAGGTCCACAAATTGAAGCAAATCATAGGGCACTAGCCCTATGATTAAGAGAACCCATTTTATAAGGAAGTTTTACCTTATTTCAGGATTGCATATTTCAAAGATTGACAATAGTAACTCATTAGTTATTTGGTGCAGGAAAAAAAACTCTGTAAAATTGTTTTGACCCAATCCTATGTTTCAGGACTTGACAGAACAAAGCTGATCAATCTTGCCTATCTCCTGGGAAGTGACTACACGGAGGGCATCGCTACTGTAGGCTATGTAACAGGAATGGAATTACTGAATGAATTCCTTGGACCCGGGCAACAGCCTCTTATTCAGCTTCGGTAATGTTTTTGTTACTTAAAAGTAATCAAACTTAAGCCTAGTCCTTTTGGTCAAATAGAACATGAGTAACAAACCTAATATTCTGGTTTGGCTCCTTCAGCTAATTCCTTCCATATTTTCAGTTCGCTTATTGTGAACATCCAATCTATGTAATCCCCCTTTGTTGGAAAGAAATTTAGATGAATGAATGATTGAATCATTAGGGCTAAGATTTCAAATAAGATAAAAGCATATGAAATGTAAACCTACTGCGAAACATTGTCCAGCAGATTTCCAGCGTATCCTTCAGGGATCAAAACATGATCCATTCAAACCCAACAAATTGCATTCAACAGATATTTAGGTAGCCCCACCAGAGCTGGAACCCTGGTGTTCCACTGACTATTTGATCATCTATATTTATCCATGTAACCCTCCATTTCTCATATGTATTGATTTATAGCTCACTGCATAGAAGTTCTTTTGGTCAGTTCTATATTTAACATGCTAAATTCACATATAACTCTATGTGAACATCCAATCTATGTAATCCCCCTTTGTTGGAAAGAGCTTTGTCAGCTCTAACTCATACATACACAGAATTACTTCAAATTAAATAACATCCACAATTTGGCAGTAAAATCGGTGCTTGTATATAAAATGCTATTGTCCTATTCAATACTTTATATTATAATAATAATAATTTTTATTATTAAATAAATAAAAAGTTAATAATAAAAATTATTAAATTACTGCTTTGAAACGTCCTCCCGATGTGAAAGGCACTCTATAAATTTAATTTTGTTGTATATTAAAACTGAGCTCCCAGAATTGATTAAAATTGAAACAGTAAAAGTCTTGATTTATGTCAATGTACTAGCTAGCGAACATTGTTTCAATGTTTCTAGAAAGTCAGTCGTATCAGCTGCATGATTCATTGGTATATCAAGTTCGGATATAATTGTGAGATGACCTTATAAATTTAGAATTTAATCCCATTTTAGAATACTTTCCATCAAGTGGTGAGTTGGAAAATAAAGTTGGTATGAATATAGTGTCTTTGATTGTTGTAATGGTCAATAATTTGCTTGTGTACTAACTCTTGTGATCATGAGTTATTTCATCAGCTCATAGCAATTGAGCCTTTGGCCTACTACAAGTCTGAGTTCTATGGCAATGGAGTCTTTTGGCCTATTACACACCTGCTAATATGTTAAATGCTTTGGTATCAAATGAACGTGTTGAATAATTGCATGTTGAGTTCCAAAATGTTGAATTGATGAACTTGCCTTTTAGAGACTGGTGGAATGAAGCCCAAAACAATAAGAGACTGCAAAGTAATCCCAATGATACAAAAGTGAAAAAAAAGCTGCGAGAACTGAAGATTTCTCCAGGGTTTCCAAATGCAGCAGTAGCCGAAGCATATCTGAAACCATCAGTAGATGAATCTAAGGAATTACTCTCGTGGGGAAAACCCGACTTGGACCAGATCAGGGAATATCCTTTTTTCCGGCATATTTAATCAAAACTAAAATAGTATTTCCATCATTTGCAAAATAGATGCATATTATATTAACCAATATTATTTGTCAACCTGTTTTAAAGTCATCTGCTATTCAGCAACATACATTCTGCTCTGTTGTTAGATGGTTCTAGTTAGAGAATTGTGTGATAGACTGGAAAGTTAATAGTGAAGATTGAAATTCTAGAAGTGCTTTATTGCAGTATCAGTCGTCCAGAAATGTTATTTGCTTACTCTTCAGAAAGTCCTGTTTTGAAATTTTATGCTGGACTTTATCTCAATCTGGGGGACATTCTGCCATAACTTAAAGCTGAGCAAGTTTAAATAATGCAAAATGATTTTACATTAAATGGATTGTCTTTGCTTCTCAATATAATGGAACAACTTGAGAACAGTTATTTGCCCTATTTAAATATGGGTTGTATCCCTATTATGCTTCTATTGGGAGCATAGCTGTTATAGTATTTGGCTGCATTTTACTTCATAAACTTGATCTTTAACTTCCTGCAATTTTTGTAAGAATTATTTTAGCTGGAACAAGACAAAGATTGATGACATTCTTTTACCCATAATAAAGAAACTTAATGTCCATCAGGTATGTATGTGAATGAAAATCATGTTTCATTTTACAGGATGCATTTTAAGATGTGCGAATGGTAAGAAATAGGACAGAACATCTAGGTAAGATACATTCGACTTGTATTTGACATAGCATTTTATCACATCAAGTCTCAAAATGTATCGTGCAACAAATTACTTTCACATGCAGTAAATGCCGTACACGCAAACACAGGAGTTAATCTGTGTCATCCAGATTCCTGTTTCTTTACTCTCCAGTAATTCAGGCCTGAAAGTGCACATGTAGAATCAGTAGATAAAATTAAGATCAGGTTCATATGTGATCCTCCCATTTCCCACGCTCACAGTCTAGGTTTAAACATGAAGAATGGCCACTTGGGTGAATTATCAGCCCACAGCTGGTCCCCATGCAAAACCATGTCCCAGCCAGAACCAAGGCCTTCAGAAGAGGACAGATGAAAAGGGAGATTGTTTAGAAAAGGGACAAAAAAAAGGGTTATTGCAGATGAAAAGGGAAAATTATGGATGATCACATACTTATTTCTCTTACAGACTCAGCAACGTATTGATACGTTCTTCAGGGTAGAGCGTCATGAGCAACAAGCAATAAAAAGCCAGAGACTGCGCAGAGCTGTGACTTGCATCTTAAGGAAGGATCGTGAAGAAACTTTGGCAGAGGTGCAGGAAGCAACTGCTGCAATGGGGGAGGCTACCAAATGTACAGGGCAAAAGCGAGGTGGAGAACAGGCAATGGCTATCCAAGAAAGAGCCAGTGGCTCTCAATCACAGACCAGGAAAAGGCAAAAGCCACAGAAATCTCCACAAGGTCTTTGCAGTGGAGGTTTTATTGGATCTGCAAGCCTGGCCGAGGCACCACCTTCGGAGGATGAGGTTGAAGTAGAAGCGACAAATTCCAAAAGGCTTGGGTTGAATGCCAGAAGTTTAGAGAAGCAAATGAAAGGAAGAGAAAATAAAAATGACAATACAGCTGTTGATATGAGCAGCAGCTCAGGGGATGAGGAGGATGAGGGGGCTGCTAAAATGATAACGGCTAGATCTGTCTTTGGAAAAAGAGGAAAGTTGAAAGGAGCCAGAGGAAATCCAAGAAAAAAACGTTGATATTAAAATGCTAAATTGTTGTTTGTGCAATGATTTTGCTGTTACACAGCACTATCTGTAAATATGGCATTCCAAGGAAATTAACTATTCTCTTCAGCTCAGATCTGTATGGACTGACTTTTATATGTAATTTTTCAGCATCATTAGGAGTTTTTTTCTGCAATGCAAATCCCTCTCTTCTGTGACTAGAAGGTTGAATGCTGGAGTGACCAACTAAGACTGATTTGTTTGCAATTTATCGAGTACTTGATCAGTAGGAAAATTTGTGTCGGTTAATTCACTTATCATGTGGAGTTCAACTCTTTCCCACCTCCTATTGTCTGATGCATTGTGCTTTGTCTTGCAAACACCATGATGCTTTGAACCACTGTGGTTGACTCTGGCTTGAAGGCCACTGTATTATTGATTATTTTATGATGCCATCACTCCAGAGAACAGGTAATAAGAAAAGAAAACCTCTTCAATCTAACTAGACTCAAGGAACTAGAATCAACACAAGTTTCATCAAGACAAATTATGTCCAAACAAGGATACTTGGAAACAAACTGATTGAAGTTAATTACTCAAGGATTATTTATAATTCTTGTTTATACTTCTAGAATTTCAAAAATTTGGCAGTAGAAAAAGTTGGAAATGAACACACTTACAATACCCAGCAAATTGCAATTCACATATCTGACCTATCTGATGGGCCAGGAGCAACTGGCAACCAGAAGACATTTACTCCTATGATGGAATAGTAGCAAATAAAGGCTTATTTTGATTTGTCATTTTGCTTTATGCCTTCTATTTTAATAAAACTTCTGTAATCTTTTGGACAATCTTAACAGAAAGTTAACATGCAAGTTAATTTTATTCACTCTTTGTAGGGATTAGCACTGCTGATGGAATGCTAAGATTTCCAGGTCTTTTAATAATACATTTTCTCCTCAAGAATGTCTCCAGCTTCTCCTGTAAGAACTTCCTCATTCTCACACGATCTGTTATGCCTCTATGATCCGACCGTACAGAAGATCTGCAACAAATCCTTGTTTTATATCCCTTCATGTACAACAACTTGCATTTACATAAGGACCTTCACGAGGGTAGTGTCTCGGAGCACTTAACAGAAGCAGAGCTTGAGGCCAAGCTGGGGGGGGCCATAACTAAGCACGATTGAAGAGGAAGATCTTTGGGTGTAATCTAAAAAGGGGAAGAAGAGGGCAAGGCAGAGGGATTAAGGTAGTTCCAAAGTTTCGGGGCGTAGTGGCTGAAAGCACGGATGTTGATGGTGGAGCAAAGAGGATGAGGAACAAGCAGGAGACTGGAGCCAGGTGACAAATGGTAGAGTGGGAGGTAAGCAGATCAGAGAGGTAGGGAGGTGACAGAGCATGCAGTAATCGTAGGGATGTATGAGAATCTTGAAGTTGATGAGCTAGTGAAGTCTGGCGAGAATGTAGAGTAACATCTACATTTTATTGTACTAGCAGCCAGGACAAATCAAGATGATTCACACGTTACTAATGTTAACACACAGGAACAGTTCATTATAAATTCTGAAAAGGCATTAATTTAGTAACTACAGTGTCAGCTGTATTTTACAAGACATCCTTAGAATTCTAGCTATTTAACATAGTTCCTATCTCATGAGGACCAAACAGAAAACCAGTTCACACAGCAGTTAACAGTTACAACTCCAATTTCCTTATGTAGCTTCCCCTGTAAGCATGTCTGAGCTTATGGAATATTATACTTCAGTTGAAAGTTTACCGTTGCAGGGTTTAATGCCTCTGATATAACAGATTTTTGTTCAAATGAGAGCAAACCGCTGTTGTATACATTGGCAGTAGATATTTAAGCTATATTACTATGAAAATTGATTCAGAGCACTCAATTTGAACAAAGGGGGTAGCTGTCATCTATGAAACATAATCACTTCTAAAATGAGTTACACTTCCCAATTTAGCCTACTTAGTTATACGGCATATGCGGTAATCCGACCTTGCTCTGACAAGCCACTCACAGCTGTTGTAATTTGTTTTCTGTCCCACTGGTACTGTTGGCAAGTATTGGAACCTTCTTTTACGGCTGCAACCTTCTGCTACTGTTGCTTATCTACTTGAAGAAAAAGAGCTGGAAGAAACCTATTTATGACACTTCTGCTGCAAGGAAAGAGCTCTTGGTTTCGGTAACTAAAATTCTGTAAAATAGAAGTATTTGATTAATGAAAGTGTTGGTGTATCTGATCGTTGTGTGTGTGTAGGCACTGATAGATGCAGAAAGCAGAAACAAGCTTGAGCAAGGTCACAAGAAAAGGTGGAATAGACAATTTTTTATTTGAAAAATGTGATTTTGAGATGAGTATCCAGTTAGCCTCAGTTTCTGAACTGAGAAAGACGTAAACATAAATCATAATGCTTGCATTTGATCTAACGCCTTAGCATGTTGTTGAGACATCGGATACCATTTCACAGGATATACTGTAAGCTGTGTATTTTGTGGGTGAACTGGACAGCTAATTTGTGAACAGCAGTCTATCCCACGAACACCCAAGAAGTGAGTGCTGAATTTTATTTGGGGGATTGTTGGCCAGTACACTGGGAGAAACTCACTTCACTTTTTGAGTACTTCCATGTGATCTTCAACATCCATCTGCACAAGCAGACGGGACCTCAATTTAATGTCTCATCTGAGAGATGGCACCTTTGATACCCCCAGGACCTCATTGGAATATCAGTATAGATTATGTGGGTTCCAAATCTTGATATTTGTGCTCTTTTATAAAAAATCTAAAAAGTACATTTTAAAGCCCTTTTGAAAAAACTATGTCTTCAGAATCGTTTCCTAGCCACAAAACGGGAAGTGATGTTCATGGGAGTGAGACAAATGCAATGCAGATAGTGGGGGCAGCCTTTTCTTTGCTGCTGGTAAAGATTTCTATCCTATTGTAAAGTTACCAACCAGAAATTTCCTACATTAAAATAGGTGTCAGCCTGGCTGAGTTGATAGTATTCACCTTGGAGTAGGAAGGTTGTGGATTCAAGCCCCACATAGGAATTTTGAACTCACACAGTGTGGGCTGACATCCCATTGTAGTGCCGGGGTGTGCTACGCTGTTGGAGGTGCTATCCTTTGAATGATATGTTAAACTGGGGTCCATCTGCCTGTAAAAATCCCATGGCACAATTCAACATTTTTTACTGTGAAGTGTATTCACTGTGGTATTGGCAAACACAGCAGCCAATTTGCATAGAATATCCTGCAAAAAGTCATGAAGTTAATTACCAATTGTATTTGGGGGATTGTTGGCCAGAACACCAGGAGAACTCCTCCCCCTTCTCTTTTCAAATAGTGCCACGGGATCTTTAATATCCACCTGAACAGGACTCGGTTTAATGTCTCATCCAAAGAACAGCACCACCAACAATGCAGAAACCCACTCTATTGGAGTGTCAGCCTAGACTGAGTTCAAAGTTCTGATGTGGAGCTTGAACCTTCTGACTCAGAGATGAAAGTACCACCAACAGAGCCAGGCTGCACTTCTATTTGAGATGTCCTCTCAACATTTAAGGCGCTGTGTCAAATGGAAGGATATTTTTCTCTGAGGGGAAATATTTTCTCATCTACAACAACCACAACAAAGTTACATTTGTATAGTGCCTTTGACGTCGGATTATATCTAATCTTTATTATTTTTATTTTTTATAATTTATTAATTTGGTTATATCTAATCTGTAATCTCAGTTGGGTTTGTTCATTTTAATTAGATAAGATTGCATACTTCAGAATTGAAAAACAGAACCTCTGCTTCTGTGATTTGGTAATAACTGACTTTATAGTAACTCTGAAACATAGCAAAAAAATTCTGTGTGTCAGACTGCCAGCCAACCAAAAACCTGCATCAAAGCCTATAATCAAGTTAAAGCTCGAGAATCCAGCATTAAGCTCAGTGACACTTGCCTTAGTTGAGTAACTGATGCCCAGGTATTTGTCCTGTGAAAATCTGAATAATTTAAAGAGGGTGAAAACTCTTTGAACTAATTATGAATACACGTTACAAGGACTGACTTCATCAATATGCCATTCTACATACGCAACCCTGTTTAATCCACTTTACTCACATCTTGCCCAGTGCTGCCTGCATCACTCAGGAGATGAGATCTTTCTGGCATTTTAATTAAAAATGACTTGCATCATGATAAAAAAATAACAGATCTGATATAGGAATATGAAAAAATACAATATTTAATGTTCCAAAAATGTAATATTTAACATGATCGCTTTGTGCCAAATGTTGCAATTTTTAAATATTCTACTTTCTACTTTTTAATCTAATGCAGGGATTAAATATCATGAACAATACAGAAAAGACCAGTATGAATAAAGGTATAGTAAATGAAGAAAAGAGCACTGATTGCTGCTGAGTTTTCAGTAAATATGCTAACAACAACAGCAAATTGCATTTATGTATACGTTTCATGGGGACGTCTCAAGCTGCTGGACAGTCGAGCGTTTGCACTCGAGCTGGGGGTAGCATTCGGGAGGGTTGTGGCCAAAGGCGTTGGAGGTGTTGATCAAAGACCGTCTCCCTACTTGTTGACTTTCCCAATTCTTCCCTCCACAAGCTACAGATCATCCAGAACTCTGCAGCTCGTGTCCTCTCCCACTATCTTTGTTGTTGTCAAAGAGGAATATTTTGAAATGAACCTTGACAGAGACTAGGGAAGGGCCGAGGCGAAGGGACTCAGGGATGAAGTTCCAGATAGTGGGGATAGATAGGCTGAAAGGTGGGGCAGGGCGGGAATTTGAAGCAGGCCAGTGCCTGCCAAGCAGTGAGAGTGGGCAGGTGGGTGGGATAAAAGTCTCGCTGGCTCAAGGGAAGAGGTAGCAGCAGAAGTGGACGATGTTGCAGAGGTGGGGGAAAGCTGAGGACACAAATGTGGAGTTTAAAGGACACTTGAGACTTAAACAAGACACTGAGATATTCCCCACTGGCTCAAGGAAATTCTGTGCTCATCTGTGTAAATTGACGCTATAAGCATCTGAGCTGACAGGAGCTAAGCAGGAGAGCTTATCGTTATTCAACTCGAGAAAGTTAGTTCTCATCCAGGATAAGTTGAAATTGAGGTTAGAGTGAAAGTAAATGCAAACCTAACTATGTACCGACTGAATCATAAACGTAGTTGCTCCAGAGTTGAAATTCATTTCTCTTATTATCACCTTAAAATCATAATTTTTCAATTGTTCCTTCTCCATTTTATCTTGGCCTCTCTTGAAAGTGCTTATCCACCAACAAAACTTGCATTTATATAGTACCCCTCATGCCAGGTAGCTTCCAGAGCACTTGACAGTGGCAGAGCCCAACGCTGAGCCAGGGGGAGGGGGAGCTCAAATAGGCACGGTCAAATAGGAAGGTCTTCAGGCCCAACCTGAAGATGGAGAAGGAAAGAGAAAGGCAGAGGGATAGAGGAAAAGTGTTCCAGAGTTTCGGGGCGCAGTAGCTGAAAGCGCGATCCATGCTGATATATGGTTCCACATGCACCATATCCTCTCCTGTACCTCATCCAAATAGCCATTCTTCATTATCTGGGATGAGACCGAGAGCAAAGACAGGTTACCCAGAACTCAGATCCGCATGAAGGTGCAGTCTTCCATCCCCTGGTGCAAATGTGTTGGCATATCAACATGATGAGTTACATTCCTCAGATTAGAGAGAGCGCACCCCATATCAGATAATATAGTATATATATATCTTTGTTGAGAATGCTGATGATGGCCACATAGTCAGCAGCTTCAGGCCAGGGCTCATTTGAGTGAATTTTGGAGTAGCAGGCATCCCTTGGAAGGAGAGCTCCAACTGTGTGACACTTTAGATGTGTAATATAGAAACCCATCAAGCCTGTTTCACACTTATCAGATCTCAGCAGATCTCACAGACACTCACTCAAGGACACTGCTCAGACAGATACTCCCACGCAGACACTCACTCTTGGACACTCGTTTGCGGACGCTTGTGCTCAGACCCTCACTCTCGGACACTCGCTCTCAGACACTTACTCGCAGATGCTCGTTCTTGAGCACTCACTCGCGGACACTCACACGCGAACACATACCATCTTATTAATGGAAATGGTGACCCATTTCACTCATTCGAACTGCAGCTAATCAATTCAGACACACCTAAGAATACAGACATGTCACATCACCGACCCGCAAGGTCAAGTGGTCCGAAGGGCCAAAGGTTAAATGAGGTTATAATTCACTGCATGAATATGACATCAGTTTTTATATTTCACTTTTCTCCTTCAGAGTGGAGTGAAGATGACAGAATCTCTTCAGAAATCTTGAAAAGGAAATGGATACCTAATATAATCAAAAGCATACCTTGGGAGTTCTTCAGATTTGTAGGGCATGAAATTAAAATCACAGAGAGCATGGACTGCTATGGAGCTTAAGTATGGCCTTCGGTAAGTACTACTCACTTGTGAGCTAGGGAGTAAACTGAAAATTCAACTGAATTCAGCCATGATCTCAAGCCTCTGCCTGATGGGGACATCCCAATGCAAGAAGCTCTATGTGTTACTGTAGACTCTGAAGGGACTTGTTGGTGGTGCTGTCATTCACACGCTTTTCTACGATTCAATCATTGTGTTGATGTCAGGATGGGGTTTTGTCACACTAAAGTGGCTGGACAGTCTCTTAGTTCCCGTTGAAAGGCCTTATTTTGCAGTATCTCACAGGGAACATCTAAACAAAATGCATATGACAAGGGTTAGAAACCTTGGGCCATCCTCAGCAAGTTCCAAAAGTTAGTTCTTTTTTTTAAGCAAAAAATTACTGGCATTTAGGAAATCATCTCCCAGTAGAATAAAAAAAGGGCCCTTCAAAATAAACATACGAATAAGAAACCAAACTCAAATTCTGACAGTAGGTCTCGCCCAAAATGTTTGTATAAATAAAACTACAAAGTACCATGTGATAAATAAATTGATATTTTTTTTGTTTCATGATTCTACAGGCTTTAGTTCGGTGATATTACCTGGAAACCAACCAACCAGAGTGTAATCTCATTGACAGAAACGTTATTGAAATCGGAGCTGGAACGGGACTAGTGTCCATTGTTACTAGTGTACTGGGTGAGTAATGCTACTAATTAACCCTTTCTATTATATCATTTACCCGTGCAATCAATTTTTATAACTACATCCTACTAGTTTTTGTGTCTAAGGCTGATAAATATACCTTTATTGTTAGGTTCTAATAGAAAAATTCATCACCATGAAAAAAGTTTAATAGTACAAAACTAGGCATCCAGCAGCTATTCATAATAATATAATGATCCTTTGATTATTTGGATTTGACACATAATAATAAATATCATAATATGTCATTAAAACATCTGAAAGCACTTCACAGGATTTACTTTGTAAAGTGTCATGATCAAATTGGCAGCCAATTTACAACAATGTTCCACAAAGAACTATAAATTAACTAATTTCTATCTAAGGGGTTATTGGCCCTGGCACCAGGGAAAATTCCCTACTCGCTTTCTGGGGTAATAATCCCTCCCCCAAATAATAATAATAATTTGGTCACTCAATCGATGAATGTTTGTGGGACGCTGCTGTGTGCTGATGCTTTCATGCACAAAATATACAATCAATTCACTTTACAGTATATTCTGGAAAGCATTTTGAGACGTCTTAACAATAAGGCGCTATATCAAATGCAAGGATTATTATTATTATGCCATGGGCGGGACTTTGGTACCAAAGACAACACCTTCAACCATGCACTATTCCCTGAGCATCGCATGGTGTGTCAGGCTAGACTATGAGCTGAAAGTCTCAACATGGGGCTTGAACCCACAACCTTCTGATTCAAAGGCAAGATTGGTACCAACAGAGCAATGCTAACACCTTCAATTACTCAAAGGTTTAATGTTTTATATAAATAAATGGATAAAGAATTAGAATAATGATAATCTTAGCTAGAATATATAAAATGAATTGGGCGTCCATGATAATATTGTTTGGTTGGAAAATAAGACAATGATGGTTAAATCCCCCCTTTCCATTTTCATACCTCCTTCTGCTTCACTCACACACAGTTCTTCTCACTCAAACCAGTCTCCAATTTTGCAATAAGACAGTGTTCTAGTTTAGGTAATAACTGGGTGTGAATTGAATATATTACATACAAAACATGCCCTGCAATTGAAGTAAGGTAAATTAAGAACAAATCTGCAGAAACACTATTTCAGTGAGCGAGTAGTAAATTTGTGGAACAGGCTCCCTCGGGAGACGGCGGAAGCAGCTAGAGTTGTTTGTTTCAAGAACAAATTAGATAGATTTCTCCTAGAAAATAATATCTCGGGTACAGTTTATACTTTGGGACATGACATGTCAAGCGACTTCAAGGAGGTTGGAAGACGAATTAGATGGACCTTTGTCTTCTTTCGCCTAGCAAGTTTTTATATTCCACCCAAAAAATATACAGTCAATTCACTTTACAGTATATTCTGTGAAGCACTTTGAGACATCTTGAAGATGTGGTAAGGCGCAATATCAAATGCAAGGATTATTATTATCTTAAATTTGAAATATAATTATTGCTATAAGTAGTAATGTTTTTGTGATGCTACTTGTCTACATACTAAAGACACTTTCCTTATTTTTAGGTGCCTATGTGACTGCCACTGACCTGCCTCATTTACTGGGAAATTTACAGTATAATATATCTAAAAACACAAAAATGCGAAGCAAACATGAGCCACAGGTGAAGGAACGTAGCTGGGGAGTGGATTTAGAAAAAAACTTCCCACGATCAGAGTGTCATTATGATTACATTCTGGCAGCTGATGTTGTGTACAGCCATCCTTATCTGGAAGAACTACTGATGACTTTTGATCATTTGTGTCAAGATGACACAATCATTCTGTGGACCATGAAATTCAGGCTTGAAAAAGAAAACAATTTTGTGGAAAAATTCAAGTATATATTTGATGTTGAAGTTATATACAACCTTCCAAGTTTACAAATAAAACTGTACAGAGCAACGTGGAAAATAAGTAGCAGGCTCAGAAAGGAAACCTGAGGTCTACTGCTTGTACCTGTGAAATAAAAAAGTTAAATTTAATATCAACTGATATTAGAACTTATAAAATGTTATGATACTATAGCTACTTACTTCCAGCAGCATTTCTTTGGCAAGCTCTGCTTCCAGCTCTTGCCAGGAGGTCCCAGATTAGCAGCCCACTCAGACAAGTTTAATGGCCTTTATCAATTTGCCTTTATATAATAAAGACAACATGTCTGTCTGTCTGTCTGCCAAGAATGCAATAACCAATTGACGTAGAGACATGGTTTATACCTCATCGGAAAGGTCTTGCATGGAAGGAGTGTCATGGGCATATTTTGCTTCAGGGATCTCCTATCGTTGATAAAAAAAAATGCTTTAATAAAGCCCCCAAAAAGCTATGCATGGTATTCTGCAACAAAGTAGTGACAGAGGTCACTTACCTTTCAACTATACTGATAAAGACGAAATGTCTGTCTGTATGTATGTCTAACTGATTGACTTTGAGATACCAATAGGAGTCCTCCCTACCAAGAGTCCTCCCACTGAATACTCCCAACAGGTGCCCTCCCAAAAGAATATAAGTACAAATATGCGAATAAGGAATGTTATTGAGTTCAATGGCACATTCGTGGAGTCCTGTAGCACAGTGGTTAGGGCATTCGCTTAGCAAGCGAGAGACCTTGGTTTGATTCCCGGCAGGGCAAAACCTTGGGCAAGTCTCCTTACTCCACACGCCTAATAATAATCCCTCCAAAAAAACCAATAATAAATTGGTCTCCAATCCACGACTGTTTGTGGGACATTGCTGTGCGCAATTGGCAGCCGTATTTCGCCCACAAATATACAGTCAATTCACTTTACAGTGTGTTCTGTGAGGCGCTTTGGGACGTCCTCCTGACATGAAAAGTGCTATATCAAATGCAAGGATTATTATTATTATTATCTAGAAGACATGAAAAGTGCTATATCAAATGCAAGGATTATTATTATTATTTTCTTAATCTTAAGGGATAAAGATGCCTAAGAAGCAAAGATCAAGTCTAAAGAGAGAAGGCCGATTAAATGAAACTGGTTGCAAGCATAGCTGCAACGGGTACAGCTGGTATCCTATAAAAACATGATATAAAGAGCCTCTGCTGACAATGTAGTTTGGAAATACATTTGGTTCAGTCTGTCAGTGCATAGGTATCTCCCTGAGACAGCACAGAGCATGCATTCATTACACTGTAGTAGGTACAGCACTGTATTAGTTTTAACCTTAGTGTTTGGTGATTAAACACTTTATTTTGTCCATAATGTTACCTAAGGACTGAAGAAACACATAGAATGAATGTTACTTGCAATAATATACATTTTATGCAACAAAGAGGTCTGGATTTTTTTAACAAATTATGGTTTCAAAATGTAAATTTACTGGTCAATAGTTATGTAAATGATTAAGGCAATTTATTAAAACCAGAAGTACCATAACCATTTCCTATCAATATGATTTTTATGAATTCCTGTTTGCTTTTACAATGAATAATGCAAACTTTGATAAAGGAACTGTTTTATTTATTTAATGCTCATAGGGTACAATCTTTGTGCTTCACAAATATATGTGCACAAATAACCCAATATAAGAGGGGTAAAGTGATGTAATCACATTAAAATGACAAGAAATGTTTTTTTATATCACTTTATACTTTATACATTTTCTTGAAAATGAAAACTTTCAAAGAGCTTTACACTATTTGTTGTCACATGAATTTCGATTTTAGGCAAATGCACAATGCAACAGCAAAGCAACTGACCAATTAATCTAGAGGATTTGGGGCCAGAATACTGAAGATATTTCTGTGTTCAAACAGCATCATGGAATTTTTAATGCCTCTCTAAAGAACAGACGTGGCATCCTAAAGACAGAACCTTTGAGAATGTTGTGCCTCCCTCCAGCTCTGCTCTGAAGTCCAAGTGATTATAATAACAGAGCTTCATAAAATGGGACAGGTTTAGGCACACCTAAACTGAGCCTGGAGAGCAACAGTTAAAGAACCTGGTATCCCAAGGCATTTGTGCTTCACCACATATTATTTACCGTAAATATAATTACCTTTACTTTTACCCTTGAAACTGTATGCATATTATTATTATCTTGCAAACATCTCAAATCCTGCTGGAAAACTTTATTTTACATTTTCTAATCCCTCTCCTTTTCACCTGCAATTATTAAATCTATTTTTCTCCTTTTTAGGTCACCCTGCACTACAATGAACTTACTAAATTGAGAGAAATTGAGTCCTCTGCTCTGTCAGTCGTGTTGCCAGGATATGTTTCAGCTGTAGCACTGTGCAATGTGCTCAGGAAAGTAAACGTCTCCACATGCTCACTAACAGATACTTAAACCTTGACTCACTGGTTTCGCAATGCCAAGTGAATGGTTTATGTTAGCCAAGAGCAGTCCAGAATAACAATAATAATAATCCTTGCATTTGATATAGCACCTTATCACATCTTTGAGATGTCTCAAAGAGTAAAGTGAAAAAACACAGAAGTAACTGGGAACACGCAGCAGGTCAGGCAGCATCTATGGAGAAAGGAAAGTGAATCAACATTTCGGGTCCTTGACCCTTCATCAGAACTGGGGCATGTTGGGAGGGAAAGGCTTTTAACGGTGAACAGAGAAGGGGGAAAGGCAGGGCAAGGAAGACAAAGGAGAAAATGGGGTAGAGGATAGGGGATGATGGGTTAAAGAGGTGTTAATGATACAAAACAAATGAACAAAAGAATTCCCTGCCCTCCCCGCCCTTTTGTTTTGCATTATTAGCACCTCTATTCTCCTGTTTTGTTGCAAGCCCCCCCTTTATTTTGCAAAGCCCCCCCTGACCTGCTGAGTGTTCCCAGCGACTTCTGTTTTTGTTTCAGATTTCCAGCATCTGCAGTATTTTGCATTTTGTTTATTCTGTAAAGTGAAATGACAATATACTTTATGCCAAAACGCGGCAGCCAATTGCACGCACCAGTGTCCCACAAACAGTCTTGGATTGAGTGATTTTTTTGAAGAAATTATTACCCCCGGAAAAGCGATCCACCAATCGACTGACAACCAGGTTTCTATTTACTGCTAGGAACAGGAGTGCGGAGTATGGAAACATGCTCAACATTTTGCTCTGCCGGGAATCAAACTCTTGGGAGGTGAATGCTTTGCAGAATCCTTTGCATCCCACAAATATTTGCTCATTTAATCTGCACCTTTTCCCAAAACACAAATGCACTTCTCATCTAAACATTTAACTAAATCTTTTAGCAAAAGATAATACACGCAGTATCAGTTGTTATTAGATCTGTTCCAATTCTGGAGGGCCATTCTGCATTACGACAGCAGCAGAATACAGCAATAAACAATAATTTAAAATGTTAGATTTAAACAATTCAATGTAATCGATAGTTAGTGGTGGAACACATTTAGTGGTGAAAAACGTGCTACTATTTATAGTGATAGAGGCACTTCGAGATGGTCTGGGTCTAATTTGAGTCTGAAATCCTTTTCAAAGTTGTATTCACCCTTCCCCGAGGGACAGTGCACCATGACATGGTAGTTGTGAAGTGCAAAAGGGATTAACCTCACTAGAACATTCCTGCAAACAACATCCCCATCCAAAATCAGTAAACCATCTCCTTCAGACAGAAGTGCATTCTGTTAGTAGTGGGTCATGTTGCCTTGTATAGACTGCTAAGGGGTAGGAGTGGTCTTTGAGCGTACCTTTATTTACTGCAGTCCAACTCAAATGCTGCTGAAACGTCTGAGAAGGAAGGCTATCTCCACACTTCTGATTTCAAAATAGAGCAGGTATCAGTTTTTGTTTTGTATAACTATGACATGGAGTGCACTTGTAGTCATTCAACAATTAATATTCAATATTTCCTCACCTTTAAAACTTTACAATTTTTACTTCTTTGGATATACACAATCAAATTTGTTTAATGGTTGATAAAAATGTTTTGGGGGATTTGTTGAATTCGAGTCAATCCTGTAATGGGTTTATATTATATTAAAAAAAAGTTTGAGAAAAGTTGCATTTTCACACAGATAAAATTGATTCTGCCTAAAGGCTTTGCATGTTGTGTGTGCGGCAGGAACTGAAAATGTGTTAAAATCTATTATAACTTAAAATAGTACAACAAATATTAGTAATAATCCTTGATTTTGATATTATTATTATTGATTTTGATATAACTCCTTATCACGTCTTCAAGACGTCTCAAAGCTCCTCGCAGAATATACTGTAAAGTGAATTGATCATATATTCTGTGTGCAAAATAAAACATGTTGACTGCAAATGTATTAACAACTGCTATAACCTAAAGTAGTACTGCAAGCTAAAACAATGATGGAGAAAGTGAAGAATAGTGAACAAAAAGTTCCAGGTAACATGATCAGCTGTAAACCTTAAGTTGTAAACAAATGGTGCACATGATTCAATGTACTCTAATGAAAAGTATTTTTGTCACACTTTCAAAAGGCTTTATACAGTGGTTTGATTCAGTTAGCACTCATAATGATGGAGACACCACAGAGAGGTTTGGTCACAGCAACAACAAGATTGCATTTATAGAGCGCCTTTCACGTCGGGAGGACGTCTCAAGGCGCTGGACAGTTTGGTCGGGACCCGAGCAGGGGGGAAATGGTCAGGGTGAGGGGAGGGAAGGGCGGGAGCGAGGAGTGAGTAGAGAGTCAAGAGGGGAGCTGAAGCCACGGTTTCTGAACACTACTAAGGAAGCAGAAACTACATTGAAATAAGGCTCCGGTCATAATTTTTAATTTTGATATGCAATTCTTTCTCTCTCTCCCTTCCCTTGTTCCCATTAATGTTCCAGCACACTGCACCATGGAATGGTGAGACCAAGATTTGTTCCTTTGCCACAAGTATGCTCCTTTGGATGAGATATTAAAACTAAGCTCTGATTTGCTTATTCTTGATACAGATATTGAAGACCAATGACACTTTTCGAAAAGCAGAAGGAATTTCCCAATGTCCTGGATTACAATTCTCCAAATAAATAATTGTCCGTTCCCTTATGGTGGTTGTTGAATCTTGCTGGAACAAATGGTCTACAAAACAGTTAATACTCTTGCCAGAAATTACTAGTGACGTTGTTAGAGAGTTCGAAAGCTATGTTTTACTTAATCTAAATTGTGTTGGGGGAAGAGGTCAGATGATCAATCATGCAGGGCTCCATTACCCATATATTATATCTCCCCGTTCGACTTAAAATCAAAATGCCAACTTGTCCGTTAACAACTTGATTTGTGCCATGCACAGTAACCTTACAGCCATGGAGACTGTATCCATTACAGACAATTTACCAGCAGAGAGCAAGAAAGAATGTAACATTGAAGAGCAGGAGGAGGAACAATCAGAATCGGATTCAGAAACAGAATCTACTGGTGGAAACCAAGGTACCCGGCATATATTCAAGCAATGTGCGTTCACTCGGGAATTCCAGAGCCTTGGGGCATAGTGGCTGAAGGCACGGTCGCCGAGGGTGGAGTGGAGAACTCGGGGGACAAGGAGGAGGCCAAACCCGGAGGAACGAAGGCAGCAGGTCCTAGATTAGTGTTGTCTGCAAACTTGAATATAAAACTTTCTAGTCCTTCATCCAAGTAATTTACATATATCACAAATACCTGGAGTCCCAGTACAGACCCCTGGGAGACACCACTTGTTATGTCTCACCAATCAGAGAACGTTCGTTTTATCCCTACCCTCTTTTTCCTGCCTCCCAACCAATTACCAAATCACGTCACAAGGTCACCTCCGACCCCATGCATTTCCATTTTCACTAATAATCTTTTGTGTGGAACCTTATCAAATGCCTTCTGAGAGTCCATATAAATGACATCCACAGACACTCTCTTATCCGCCATTTTAGTGACTTCCTCAAAAAATTCAGCTACATTAGTCAGACACAACTTACCCTTCAGAAACCCACGCTGACTCTCTTTGACTAGCTCATACCTGTTCAAGTGTTCAGTCACTCTGTCCCTGATGATGGATTCCAGTATTTTCCCTACAACTGACATTGAGCTGACAGGTCTGCAGTTTCCTGGTTTCTCCCTCCCTTCTTAAATAAAGGGGTGATATTTGCAATTTTCCAATCTATGGGCACAATTCCCAAATCTAGTGAGCTTTGAAAAATTATGACGAATCATCTGCAATTTCCTCTCCTATTTCCTTTGACACCCTGGGATGGAAACTACCTGGGATGGAAACTGGGATGGAGATTTGTCTATCTTGAGTCTCATTATTTTCTCCTTTACCATTTTATTTATTTATATTAATTTTATTAAGCATTTCTCTGACTTATTTTTAGGTTCCCCTGTACGGCTGGTGTTTTGTCCTCTACTGTAAAAACGGTAGCAAAGTATTTATTTAACAAGTCAGCCAATTCCTTATTTTCCGTTGCAGTCTCACCTACATCTGTCTTTAATGGACCCACATTCTTCTTGACCATTCTCTTTCTCTTAATATATTTATAAAAACTTTTACTGTTGGTTTTAATATCCCTTGCAAGTTTTTTTTCCATATTCCCTTTTTGCTCCTCTTTTTACTTTCTTTGTATCCCTTTGTTACCTTTTGCAATTCTCCCAGTCTTCTGCATTCCCACTTTTTCTTGCATTTGAGTAAACCTTTCTTTTAACTTGATACAGTCTCTAATCTCTTTTGTCCACCATGGTTGCTTAACTACACGATTGGAGCTTTTGCATTTTAGGGTACGTGTTCTGTATTATATCAAATACTTTTTTGAAAACTTCCCATTGTCTCTCTATAGGTTTACCCACTAACAGTTCAGCCCAGTTTACTGTGGTCAATATATTTCTCATCCTATCGAAGTTTGCCTTACTTAAATTTAAAACCTTTTCCCTCTCAAATCCAATGTTAAATTCATACATATTATGATCACTATTTGCAAGATGTTCCTTTACTGTCAGATTGTTAACTAGTTCTGGCTCATTACTCATCACCAAATCCAGTATGGCTTGTTTTCTGGGTTGGTTCTAAAACATATTGTTCCAAAAAACTATCCTGAATACATTCTAGAAATACATTGCCTTTACTACCTGAGGTGTCCTGCTTCTCCCAGTCTATGCGATAATTAAAATTTCCCATTATAACCACATTGCTTTTGCTACATGCTTCCCTGATCTCCATATTTATACATTTCCCTATTACATCACAACTCTCTGTAGACTACTCCCAACAGAGTCTTACCTCCTTTGCTGTTCCTTAATTCTACCCACAGTGATCGGCCTTTCTGAAATCTTTCCTTTCCACTGCTTTAATAGTGTCTTTTATCAATATTGCTAGTCCTCCTGCTTTCCCAATGTCCCTGTCTTTCCTAAAGATCTTATAGCCTGGAATATTTAGCTCCCAGTCCTGCCCAACTTGTAACCAGGTCTCTGTAATGGCTACTACATCATACCCTTTAAGCTGAATTTGTGCTTCTAACTCACTTGCTTTATTTATTATGCTACGTGCATTTGTGTACATTGCTCTTATTTGGGTAACTGTCCCCAACATCCCTATAAGCCCTGACAATGTTCCTTCTCACACTTTTTGACTTGTTACACCTTTTGTGATAACTTCCTGTTACCTTTTTCTTTTCTGTAGTATTTATGTTATCTTTATCACTATTTGTATTCTGACCATTGCTCTCATCCTCTCTTGCCTTATGTTTTGGTTTCCACCAGACCCTCCCCACCGCCTTTATTGGTTTAATTTTTTTTCTGCAGTCCTATTTATCCTTTTCACTAGTACCTTGGTCCCAGCCCTGTTCAGGTGCAGCCCACCCCAGCAGTCCCGCTCATTCCTGTCCCAGTACTGGTGTCAGTGTTGCATGAAATGGAACCCCTCCCTCTCACACCACTGTTTCAGCCACACATTCACTTCCCGGATCTGTTTATCTCTAGGCCAATTTGCACGTGGCTCGGGTAGCAATCCAGAGATTACCACCTTTGAGGTCATTTTTTAAAATTTAACCCTAGCTCTTGATACTCCTTTAGCAGGACCTCCTTCTTGCTCTTTCCTATGTCATTGGTCCCCACATCGATAGCAACAACAGCAAGATTACAACTGGTTCTTTCCCCTCCCTTTCCAAGTTCCTTTCCAGCTGCTTTGAAATATCCCTTACCCTGGCACCGGGAAGACAACACACCCTCCTGGACTTTTGATCTCAACTGCAGAGGATACCCTCGATCCTCTTAATGATTGCATCCCTTATAACTACAACGTTTCTAATTCTGCTCCTCCCCAGCTTGCACTGCCTTCTGCTCTATGATTCTTTGGTTTGCATTCAGGCATTCTTTCCCACAGACTTCTCCCTCATCCAATGCAGCAAGTACATTGTACCTGTTGGACAGAAGAATGCCTCTACTAAGTAAATGCTACCCTGCTGGCTATCAATCTCACACTCCTCCTCCTGAATCTCTCTATGTGGCGTGGCTATGTTCTGAAGTAAATTGTCCAAATATTCCTCGCCCTCCCTTATGCATCGGAGTCTCTCTAACGTGCACTTCAGGTCAAAAACCCTGAACTGGAATGACTCAAGACACTTCTCGCAGATTTGACCATCAGGGACAGTCTTACTGTCCACAAATACATATTGCAGCTTTGCTTTGACACACTGTGTTGCCATTATCCTTTTCTAGCTTATACTCCACTTAATGTTTAGGATTATATATATATATATATTGAAATTCATGAGGTTTTACATTCACCTTTTATTTGTTTTTAGTTATTTTCCCCTTAATCTATTTTACCTTTAACAATTTCAGGATAAATAGGTAAAGTAGTAATTTCACAACTTTTGTCCCTTGCTCACACTCCTTAATACTTAACACCTAATTAACACCTACTTCCTCAGGAATCCTACCTTTGTTCTAGGCGCCCTGTGTCCAGACCAACTGAAACTCCCATCTTCTACACCCGACTTCACTCTCCAATCTCCCGCAGGCCCCGAAAAAGCTCCCACACTGAGCTCTCTCACAGGTTGTTTCTCCTTTACAAGGAGATCAAAACAAGTTCTCACCTGCATCTCTTTTCCGCTCTGCACCAAATTCCCACTCTCACCAAATTCCTTAACAGAATTCTCACTCTGACATACACTAGGTGTCAGTCTGGCTCAGTTGGTAGCACTCCCACCACTGAGTCAGAAGGTTGCCAGTTCAAGCCCCATGTCAGAACTTTGGGCTCACAGTCTAGGCTTGCACAAAACGCTGTGGGAGTGCAGCATTGTCAGTGGTACTGTTTTTTGGATGAGACATTAAACTGAAGTTCCATCTGCCTGTTCAGAACGATGATAAAGATAGCATGGCACTCTTTGAAAAGAGAAGACCTCTCCTTTTGTCCTGGCCAACAAATCCCCTGATTAGGTTATTCACTTCATTGCTATTTGTGGGATATTGTTGTGTGTAAATCGGTTACGCATTCACTGAAAAATACAGTCATTACACTGCAGTAAAGTGCTTGAGATGTTTCAATGACATGATAAAGTGCTAAATAAGTGTATAAATATTTTGTTGAACTATTTGAAATACAAAGGGAGTTAAGCTTTCAGCATCATTGTTGTCAAGAGACAAAATACATTTTTGTTTCTCTCTGAAACATTGCAATCAGATCACAATGTGGGGGAGCAAAAACATACCGTATATTAGCTAGGTTATTAGGATAGAGACTGCAGAAATACTAAAATTGGAAAATGGATGAAAGATGATCTTGAGGTGTGTTCTCCAATCTGCTTGTATTAATAAAAGTAAAGCCAAATCAACATTTGCAGATGCACCAAGACAGTAGAACAAAAGAACAGTTAACTAGGTTTAAAGTTGTAAAGGCAATTTCAGGGCAGACATCAGGAATTACTTCCTTATCCAGAGGATAACTAATAGCTGAAAAAAGTGGCCAGAAAACACCTTGATATTGTGAAGGGAAGCTGGGTCGGTATTTTGGAAAGATGGGATCAAATGAGGTGAACCAACCTCGTGATCTTGTGACTGTGGTTAAGACAAATTGATTTTTGGGAAAATCATACTGTCCTTTTCATTGGATATTGTTTTTTTTCCCCATCAGAAATGCTAACTGAAGAGAAGGCACCTGAGATTGTACAGCCACACAGGACCAATTATTTTTTCACGAGTATTCCAAGAGAATATTTCACGTTTGTAGGTTACGAGATCAGTATCCAGGAATCTATTGAATCTTATGGAGCATTCACTTGGCCAGGGGTGAGTATTACTCCACCAAACACCACAGACAGAATCGAGATTTGGGCAAGGAAATCAGTGTGACGCAGAATAATTAGCACAACTAATATAATCCCCACTCCTGTGGTTTATAGGAGTTGGATAAATTTACTACAATATGCTCAGTTGGAACAAGTTACATTGAATGTGATGGTACAGGGCTTTGAAGCACTGTGCTACAGAGGAAGGTACAGGTTTGCGAGCACTGCCTTTAGCAATCTAGACATATGGGTGCAGGGTGGCACTTGGCTTCTTAACTGTGATAGGAAATAGGATCCTCATCGTGCTCAGCCACACCCTTGCACTTTCTTGGTGACAGTTCTAACTTTCGCCCACAAGCAGTCACTTCACTTTACAGTATATTCTGTGAAGAGCTTTGAGACGCCTCGAAGACGTGATAAGGCACTATATCAAATGCAAGGATTATTATAAGGATTATAACACTCAAAGTCTAATAACAAGGCATCCTTTAAACCGCTCATCTGAGTAGAGGGGATGGTGCGGGTAGATCACAAGAACGGGAAGAGTGCAGTTTAACACAATTTACTGACACTTCAAAACTGAAATCATCCATCTTGTGTTTTTTAAGAAATATATATATTTTCGATGTATATAATACAAAATTACATTTGTAAAGAGTCGTTCACATGGGCAGGACATCCCGACGCTGAACAGTCAAGATTTAGGGATTAGGATCCCAGCAGGGGTTTGGTGGTTGGGATCAGGGAGGGTGGAGGGCAGAGAAGGTAGGAAGGTGGCCAAAAGCTTGGTCGAAGAAGAGGGCCTCGAAGGATGCAAGGGAGAGTCGATTTCTAGGGAAAAAAATTAACTTATTGACAAGAGATGTGATTGTTTTATTCTCATAGGCAGTTGACCTGTGCCATTTTCTGGAGAACAACTGGACTGAATTCAACTTCAATGACAAACATGTATTAGAACTAGGGTCTGGAACAGGACTTCTGTCTATTGTGGCTGCAATACTAGGTCAGTATAAAGTTGACTGTGGGAAACATTTGTAATTTTACTTGTATTTTCATCCTCATACATCTTCTTCCTCACCATTGCTATTTCACAATTAATTATTTCACAATTAACGGTCACCTCCTCCCTCCCCCCACCTCAGCGTTCGACTCTGCCACTGTTTAGCGCTCCGAGACACTACTCTGTGTGAAGGGCACTATATAAATGCAAGTTATATAAGGAACACTCAGGTTTTTACATCGGTAACTATTGCTCTACCGCTTTACGATGAAGTTATATGAATGGTAATAAAAAATTCAGAGATTGTTTTTCCTGGCAAATTGGTTTACTGATACGCACTTAGTAATGATGCAGAAATAATCCTTTTTTTTAAAAAAAAATTATCTGCGAGTCTGATTTATTTATTCCTTTTAGGTGCCTACGTGACTGCCACAGACATGTCTGAGCTGCTTGGAAACTTGCAAGTCAATCTTATGAGAAATACACGTGGAAGAAGCAAGCATCCACCCCAAGTTAAGGAGTTGGCCTGGAATGTGGATTTAGACAAAAAATTTCCCCGGTCTGTCCATCATTATGATTACATCCTAGCCTCTGACGTTATTTACCATCATGACTATCTGAATGACTTGATGGCCACATTTGAGCATTTTTGTCACCCAGACAGTGTCATACTCCTGGCATACAAATTAAGATTTGATTCAGATCATGCTTTTTTTGAAAAATTCAAAAAGTTATTCAATACTACAACTCTGGCAGAAATCTCAAGTTCAGGTGTGCGAATTGTTAAAGCGACAAAGAAAGTGGAGTAAAGGTTAGAAGGAAATGCGCAGTTTCAATATCAGCTCACCAATTTAGTTCCATAAGATTTTACGGGCTGTATTTCTCTGTGCTCAGAAATTATAAAGACAGTAAAAATAGCCGAGGGGAGTTTGAGGGCAGGTCCTTTCTGTTGATTAATAGGGAGCAGCCTAGATTATCTCAATCTGTAAGAAATTAAAAGGCAAATCAAGCTCAACCTACAGTCCTGCTGTTCAGTGGAATTACGCAATGCTATGATTTAAAATTTTAACCCTCTCAAGGCAATCAGATATGAGCAATAAATGCTGACCCTGACAAAATCATCCACATCTGGAGCCAGAGAAAAAAAAACACTGGTGAGGTTTTAGTGGAGTGTGTACACTCCTACACAGATTTGAGTATCTCCCAAGATCCAACCCAACTGACAAAAGGTGGTTATGTGGCATCAAAAAGATTACCAATTAAACACTTCTGTAAATCCTTTTGTAAGGCTCACTCCTTTTCACTGTTAATCACACCTTGTATTCTGTACACTGTTAACTATGATCGTAAGATGCTACCCCGTGTGAAGGACGTTATATAAATGCAGGTTGCTGTTGTTGTAATGACTGACAATATGCTGTAACCGTAGAGCAATTGGAATAAATATAGCTTTTGGTACATATAGCGTAAACATAACTATTCAAATCATTGCTTTTCTGTGTTCCTCGGTACATTTAACATTCTGAAGGGTTTTGATAATGTAAACAGGGAGACGTTATTCACACTGCTTGGTGATTCGTTAACAAGAGACCATAGATTGAAGTTAATTATCAAAAAAGCAAAGAGAGCGATCAAGACTTTTTTTTTATTTTTACACACAGTGTCGTTACGATTTGGAATGCCTTAACTAGGATAGCGGTTTAGACAGAACCCTATTAAGCTTTAAAAGGTAATTAGAAAATTATCTGACAAGGATAATCTGACAATGTAAATCACACAGAAGGTTGTGAATATGTGGAATGCTCTGCTCTAGAAAGCTGTAGAGGGGGAATCAACAGGAATGTTAAAAAGAAACACAGATACTTGTGTACCAGAGATATTAATTTTTAAAAAATGGTCACTTCAATCCACAACTGTTTGTGGGACACTGCTGTGCGCAATTGGCTACCATGTTTCACCCACAAAATAGTCAAACCACTTTACAGTATATTCTGTGAGGTGCTTTGAGATGTCTCAAAAGGTGTGATAAGGTGATATGGTGAAAGCCGATTATTGGGATTAAAAGGTCTGACAAGATCTAATAAATTGGAACAGGACTGAATGGCCTCCTCCTGTTCCTGTAGCAAATTCACTCATAACCAATTGCTTCATCCAGGTCCTCATGTAATTGATGTTGTTAAGAGATGCTTCCAGATTCAAAACCTTCCTCTTGTACTGCGCTTTCAGCCATCTTTTCGCCCTCACCCTCCACTCCTCCCAACCCCCTACCCCCACCCTCAGCTCGGATGCAAACCCTATCCAGTACCTTGAAAAGCTCTCCCGATGTCAAAGGGGCTAAATAACTGTTAATTTGTATTGTCCAACTTGAATCCGCCTCTGCCTCCAGAATAGCCCAGTTTATCCTGGTTGTTGTTGGCTTGGTTTTTGAGGATTGTTGGCCAGGAGACTGAGAGATATCCATTTTTCTTATGAAATGATAAACACTAGTATCTTGGTTATGCATTACTTAAACTCAAAAAATGTAAAGACTATTTTTGAGGGCTTGACATTAGATGATTTAGAAATTTCAATACTTAAAATAGTGTCAGCCAGGAAGCACAAGGTGTCAAGTATGAACACATTTTAAGAAATGCTGCAATATAGTTGCCAGTAACAATTTCATAGCATTAGTTAAAAGGAATTATTTCTCATTTGAAATAGTATTTCAGTGGGATGATTTGATTTACGCCTTCACGTTGTCTGAGAAGAAGCAAGAATTAATCAATTTCTGAATTAATCAATTTCTGAATCCTGAGAGAATTCCCAGCAACATTGCAGGCTTATATAAGAATGTAAACATGACCCTTGCTAAGCTATGTAGACACAGCAGTTAGCTAACCAGCCTGAGAACACATCTTCTTGTAACATTGCAAGTTTCAGTTTCCATCTCAGAGCTTACCCCCTCCTGTTTATAGAAAGCCCTCAATTCTATTTTAGATTAGCACACGCACTACTGCATAAAATGCATCCGCTGTACTGTTAACAGCAACAAAACACTGACTGCCAAGTCAGTGCAAATAGACACAGTATTAAACCAAGTATTAAACCACAATCATAATAGCACATATCTACAAGCAAGGTTTCAAACAAAAACGATTACTTGATCCAATTTAGCACGCATTCAACCTACTTTACTGGCATGAATGTAGTAGTACATGTTCTCCCCTAAAATAGAATTGGCTTTCTTCAGACAGGAGAGGGGTTGAACTCAGAGCTGGAAACTCAAGCTGAGAGCTTCAAAATACCTGAAGATGTTTTTCTCGTGTATTCCCAGACGCTGATTGCACAGAGGCTCACTCTACTTCAACTCAGGACTTCAACTCACATAGTCTAAGCAGTGCTTGGGATGTGTTGCATTGTCAGAGGTGACGTCTTTCGGATGAGATATTAAATCGCCTGTTCAGGTGTTTCTCCCAGTGTCCTGGCCAACAATCCGCTCAAATAAAATTGGTCATCGTTTCATGGCTGTTTGTGGGACATTGCTGTGTGCAATTGTGCCGCCGCATTTGCCTACAAAGTGACTCATTTTCACAGTAAATCCTGTGAAACCAAATTATTATTTTTTTGGAAGGATTATTAACGCCAGAAAAGTGATCCGCCGATCGACTAACAACCGAGTTCCTACTTACTGCAAGGTAAACAAAGGGGTGTGGAGTAAGGAAACTTGCCCAACATTTTGCCCTTCACAGGAATCAAACCCAGGTTGTCTTGCTTGCGAGGCGAGTACTCTAACCACTGAGCTACAGGGTTTATGTCAGAATCTTGTAAATACCTAAATATCCCTCCCCATTAAGCAATCAAAATATTTTATAAAAAATACAAAAGTTAGAAATAAAAAGATCTAAAGCAAAACAGTCATATAACAAGACCAAACTTTATGTATCATTGCTTTGCTTTTTAATAATGTCTTGCTGTATAAGGACTTACAATATATGATGCATTTATACATTAAACTGAAACTGGTGGCAACACAACAGGAGAAACGCTTGGTTTTCATGGTTTAACAATAAATATATTGGTTCAAGAAAAGAAAGTTGAACTGGTTACAATGGGGTTGACAACCTTATCACTCAAATTGAAATCTTAACTAAGCCATATGTGCACTAGCCCCCATATTAACAGAATGATCACATCAACATAAGTGTTAGCCAATGGACAACCCTCAAGCATATTTACTCAAGTGTTTATAGATAGGAGTCCAGATTTAGGGTACATAGCATTTCATTGAATACATAATATCATGGCACTTTTGTTTGTGTAACTGGCATTGTAAACTGTATTTTCCCTGTTTGACAAAGTGAGATTCAGAACTTATTCATGAATTCACAATACTGAAAAAGTAACGTATTATATTACCGTACACCACTCCTGGATCACTGCTCCTTACCCACAACCAGGAATTTCAGGATACTTTCTAATCAACTCATTTTGAAAATTAGGTTTAATTAGCATAATTTGTTAAAATGTTACTTTATTCAGTGCACATTTTGTAAAGGGCTGAAATTTATTTATTTCAGCCCTTTTAGCTACTGATAAAATTTCAGTACTGAAAATATGAAAAATTACCCAGACAGTTTAGTTTTCCTCCAACAAGGTACATTGCCCAATCAGCAAAATAAAAAAGCACGAAAGGCCTTTAAAAGGAAATGTGTTTATAATATAATAGACAAATATAAAACCTACCTATACTGATCAGTGAAGGCAATCACAAATGCCAAACATCCTTTTTTCACTAAACACATTTAGAACCTTTTCTTAATGCCACAATGAGTTTATTTTGATTTCTTACGTCTTTTGAAACTGGTGCACGTGAAGCACTAGTGCTAACATTACTTGGGTTCTTCCTGGATACTGCATGCTGCGAAAAGGGAGAGTCCAGGAATAGTATTTTACATTAAAAGCACACAATTTCCTACAATTTGGGGATATATGTATACAGTACACATTTTTTAAAAAATCAGGAAATGAGACAGTCGTTGCAAACACTTGATGGCCTGGAGACAATAAGCGCGTGTTGACCAAATATGCCAAAACGATAATTCTAAAAACCTGTGTATCAGCCTGCCCAATAAATAAAAAAATCACGCAAATCCATCCCTCCAAACATCTAGAAATAGGCAAAACGGAACTTTTCTCGCCTTTAGTTTCAATGAAAACGAGTGGTGTGTGCTTCATTTTCAAAGGAGAAGCTCTAATGGCAAAAGGCAACAGACACGTCCAATGACAACAGCATCTTACACTGAATGAAAACGTGCTGTACAAAAGTTCAAAAAAGTAAAAAAAAAACTGCCGTTTAAAAAAAAAAGTATAAAAACAGCTAGATTGTTTTGCTTCATTCAATTTGATCTGAGGAGCATTTGTTATTCTAGAAAGGGCTGTAATCTGGAGGATACATTACAGGAAGCGAACGCTCTATAAACGATGCACAGTGATTCCATCCAAGTAACTTCATTAGCTACAAAAAGAAAAATACATACAGTATTATTGAAAAGTTTAGTGCAGTGAATAAACACACTCCACACCACCATGAACCAGTGAAGTACCAAGTATTTTACATTGATCAAGCTTATCACACGTCTATGACAACAAGAGAAAATTCAAAGATGTGAATTCTATCAAAACTATTCATGTTCTACCAAAAACAGCACTGAACAAATCACTAAAACATTTTAATCCCATTTTCCTGAAAACTGCTTAGGTTCAGTATTAAAGCAATGAGAATACATTGCTTTAATACTCTGCCTCTACTATTTATACACTATAGATTAATCCAATTCAGTTCCCTTCCCCAGTTTCCAACATTCTGCTCTTTTAATTTTGTGTGCTTTGTNAAAAAATAGTTTTTGTACTTTCTTAGACTAATTAAGGATTCCCACATTAATTCCCACACAATTAATTCTTACCTGGATACAGTTTTTCCAGTTCTCTTTACTTGATTTATCCTCTACAAGTTTCATTGCAAACTTGAGTGCCCGTCCATACATTTTACTCACCAGAGCATGTTTGTATGCAAAAGTTAAAACCTATTCAAAAAGATTTGAAAATAAATACACATTAACTTGATACTAGATGGAACAAACAGTAAGTGCAGACATATGTTTACCAGTTTTTTAAAATAAGTAAATAAACTTCTAAAATAAGTACTGGAACACTATTACTTTATGAAATCTGCTGCTTATCTGCTGCCTATGAATTTGCCACTCGAATATAAAAATGTTCAGGCATTGCAAGCTCCATACAAAAAAAAAACTGCTGTCACTTTTTTAGTCCTTGGTGTAACACTGAGAGTCAACAAATGTCAATTCACATAAATGAGCTGGTGATTAAGCAAAATTAAAGTTTTGCAGAACATATGCAACGTGAAAACATCCAAAAGGGCAATTATAATTCTAGCAAGTAACCATTTACTATGGCACTGCATTGATTTACAGAAGGGTAAATAAAAAGCAAACCCAAGCAAGTCCTGTAGTTCAGTGGTTAGAGCACTCGCTTTGCAAGCGAGAGACCTGAGTTCAATTCCAGGCAGAGGGCGAAACCTTGGGCAAGTTTCCTTACTCCACACAGAGCCTAATAATAATCCCTCCAAAACCAAAAACAATAATAAATTGGTCATTTTCAATCTACGACTGTTTGTGGGATATTGCTGTGCGCAATTGGCTGCCGCGTTCGCCCACAAATATACAGTCAATTCACTTTACAGTGTGTTCTGTGAAGCGCTTTGGGACGTCCTCCCGACGTGAAAAGCGCTATATCAAATGCAAGGATTATTATTATTATTATTGTGACAATGGTCAAGATTAAGAAAGCCAATGAAAGATTAAGAAATGGCATAGTTCAGACAAGGCTTTAAGACAACAGAATGGGAAAAACATTCTCAATTGAAATGGCAGCAAAATGATGCAATTTGATTTAAAAGAAGAGACACACTAAGTGATTTTGGTGATGTTGGAACCATCCCAGAGGGAGAATGACTGCAGAAATCCAAGCTGTTTAATTTTGCAGAAAGGTGACAGCATCCTGCACCTGGAACACAACAGTGCAGAGTAGCAAGGTGGGTTTATGCTCATGAGTCCCAAGATCATGAGCTCCAGATCATGGTCATATTACTGCAGGAAAATTACCATCCAGATGCAGTCATTAACCCCAAGAGGGAGGGAGATTTAATCCTTACAGAAACAACTCTTTTGAAAGAAAAACAAAGTTACCTTAGTATCAGTCAACTCGATCCATTTTAGGATTTCATTGAAAGTTTCAGTTAGGCTTTTGAAATTGCCTTTGGGATCGTCTTCTGTGCTGCTCATTTCTTCTGAGGCTGCACCTCCTTGTGATTGAAACTGAAGGAACTGATCGGCCAGGGCACAGCCCTTCCGGCACAGAGCATCTATCAGGGATGTTTTCTGTTTCTCCATGTCACTGAAGAAAGGCACAAAATGGCAAACCGTTAGGTGCTGTATTACAATGGAGCAATATATACTTATGATACTTAAAAAATGATCCTTTACAACACTTAAAGCATCGCATCATGTAAATTTGAACTATGGATAATTTATCCCAAGAGTAATGGAAAAATTAAGAAAAAAGAAACTGGAGGATAGAACAATAATAATTCTTATATGTAAAAATAAATCAGTTACAAACCATGGTGCAAACAAGAATGGCTCTCTCAAGAGCTCACTATATATGTTCTGGTCAGACTGGCTGTTAGTTGCACTTTTTACTCCTATATGACTAATAGCATTTAGTTATGCACCTTTTGATAGCAGCTGCTTCAGGTCTGCAATCAGTTTTCATGGCTAGATGGATAGCCAGTCCAGTTTGATCAATATGCGAGATGACAACATCTGCTGCTACCACAATCTCATCCAGTCTTTTCATCCGTTCCTAAATTAGATTATAAACAAATCTATAAAGCTTTACACAATGTTTTACTCATTATAAATAAAAAGATCCCAAAGTGATTAATTGCGAGATGCACTGGCTGCCTTGCCTGTCCCAGAGGATCAATTTCAAGATCCTCACCCTTGTCTTCAAATCCCTCCACTCCTCCGCAACCCCTTACCTCTCTGACCTCCTCTCTCCTCAAAACAGTACCCGATGCCTTCGTTCCTCCGGGTCTGGCCTCCTCCTCGTCCCCCGAGTCCTCCGCTCCACCCTCGGTGGCCGTGCCTTCAGCCACTATGCCCCGAGGCTCTGGAACTGCCTTCCTCACTCCCTTCACCTCGCCCCCTCTTTTCCTATTTTCAGGTCTCGGTTGAAGACCTTTCTTTTCGACAGCGCCTTTGGTCACCTTCCTCCCCCTCCCCCTGGCTCAGCCCCGGGATCCGTTACTGTGAAGCGCTCTGAGACTCCGTCCGGCGTGCGCTATATAAATCCAAGCTGTTGTTGTTAATCAATGTAATATAAATCATACAAAACACAAGTTTTAATTATAGTTTTGCCTCTCTTCATATATCAACCGATGTGACAGTGCACTTTGAGAAGAGTACTGGAAGCACATAAGACAAAGAAATTGTACTGGGGATGCCAAATTACAAATCAGGTTTCCCAGAGATTAATTCAGCATCCCTAAGAATACTGGCGAAAGAAGTAATGTGCTGTGTGTATAGTCAATATAAATTATGCATTTAAGTAGTACTATATACGTTTAGTAGGGTTGTGTATTTAAACTGTGTATGTACGCAAATATAAGATTTATTTGCATTCACTTACAAAAATGTTTACTTTTTATAACTTCAAAATTTTCTAGTAAATGCATATAATAGTCACACTGTACAGAACCATAGGCCTAGAGAAGCAGGAATCTAGCCTTACAACCCATTTTATTCAACCCAACCTCAATTACTAGCTTTTTTTTTTATTGATCAACAGCAAACTATCTCTTTAACGAAGATTAATTTTTGGGCCACTTCCTGCTCCTCTGCACTATTTATAACCAATGGCAAACTTTACTCCTAAGGTCCAATAACTATATGTGGTTGACACAATCAAATTAATGAAAGTAAAATTAATATAAACTTTCAATTTAACCTGTCTGACCTTCTCAGAGTCCAGTTGATGAAGTCGTGCAACATACAGAGGAAGATGAGCAGGATAAGCCTCTTTCAGCTCATCATACAGGACATTCACATCCAACCTATGGAGAATAAAAATGACAAGAGAGTATCAGACAACGGCCTATTTCACCTTATCCTTCCAGAATACCAACCTTACAACCTTCCCAATAAAACACTAACTTTCAAATAAATCCAGAACACTGGCTTTGACCACCTTCCTGGTAATCTGTTTCTGCTAAGGATTGTAATGTTTTTGCTAAGGAATCTATACTCCAAGTGTAATCTCTTGTCCCACTCTCTTAGTATATTTAAAGTACTGTTCTGGGTTTACTTCCTGTTCCCTATTAACAACATTATATTCCTATATAATAGTCTCCTTTTAATTTTTTGACTGAAGAGCCTGAACCCATCTATAATAATGTTATAAACAGAAAACGCTAAATAAGTATGTATTGTAAAGATGGTGGTAAATCCCAAAACAGGTCAATGGGCAGGTTAAAGATTGCACTTTAAAAAAAAAAAGTAATTTATGGCAACCAAGGAAGAAGCAAGATTGGAACTGGATGAAAACCACCATCGGTGGTCTTCAGACTCTCTCCCGCACCTTTTGGAACTTCATCCCAAATTCTCTTCGCCTCCTTCAAAGCACATCTCAAGACCCTCCTCTCTGACCGCGCCTTCGGCCACCCTACCCTCCCAGCTGATCCCAAACCCCTTGCTCAGGTCCAAATCCCTGACTGTTCAGCGCCTTTGGACATCGTCCCGACATGAAAGGAGCTGTACAAATATAATTTTGTATTGTAAAAGAAGATATGCTAACAAGATCTAGAATGGTGATAAACGTTTGCTAGAGGATATACTAAAGACATACTTAGCCATCCACTGTATCTTCATATCTCTGAGAGCATCAGCAAACTCATCTTTAACATCTTTCTCTTTATCCCCATCTTTGTCTTTATCTTTGTTTCCATTTTTCTGCTTATTTGGGGATGGTATGAGATGGTATTGCACAGATATCATGTCCTGGATGTAACATAAACAAACATATTTTAAGGAAAAATACATTTTGTTACTCACAATAGGATTTTTTCCTTAGAATTAACACATCTTGTGTATTAAAACGATTTTACAAGTTCCAAACAGCATTTTCAATTTTCCTTAAATTTTTAATCTATTTAGATTTTTTTAACTATAGAACTTAAATTTGTAATTAGCTTGTTTAAGATCATTACACAATTTCCAAACTTAAAGCCTAATTTACTATGTTCTACTACTAGATGATTCAGAATAGTTTTTTAAACAAAACAAACAATAAAATGTAGCATTAGTGAAAGCTGATCATAAAATGAAGGGAAGAGGCAAGCATGGAGGTAAGTACATGTAGTGAGTGGCACATTCCGTTCAATGATAGTGGGACACTTTCAAGCTGTGTTATTAATTCATGTCCCAATTCTGCATCAATGAGACTAAATAGTCTTTTTGCCAATGAATTAGATTTTTAATTGATTATGGTTACTTTTATTATTTAAACAGGTATAAGAGTTGCCTTTTTTACTTGGGACTCAGAGAAACTGAGCATAATGGGTGAGCAAACAATCAAAAATTGGTGACTTGTTTAGAAAATGTAAAAACTTAAATCCTCATTTGTTTTTGCAAGCTACGAATACAAATCTGCAAATTAGTATACATTGCAAATGATGACATGAAGTTAGAACATAAGGTTGTAAATACTAAAAATCATGAATATATAGTTTAACAGAATGAAGGAAACACAAGCAACAAAACTTGCAAATACAATTTAAGCTGAAGCAGAATTAACATATTCAAACTACCCATGAAATACACAGCAGGACATTTTTACCTTTATCAGGATCTTGTGCGCATAAACATACTCTGTACCAAATGTAAGGTCACTTTGCTTAGCTTCTAAAATTAGATGGCAGCTTTGCAATTTCTTTCCACTCTCTAACATGTAATATATTCTCAAGATTTGAGAATGTCATCATTAAATCTCTTTTTTTTTCAGCTGGATGTCTGACTCATGCGGAAACCCACCACCATGCTTAAGAGTATCCAAACCAAGCTGAGATTTCCATGAATCCCATGTACACGTGGAAATCCCAGCTAGATTGTTGGAATGCGCACTCTCTCCCTGGAGGGACGCATCCTGCTTACCAAATTCTGGAAAGTATTAGGCGCAGATTGCTAAGAGCCAAGGCTGGAGACCAACCAGCTTAACTTGTCATTGATGTTGCTGTCCAGCAAGCTTTCCTGCTGCTTGTCCAGCTGGGACTACTCTACCTGTTAGGGCTTTGGCTTACAGGGTTAACAGAAGCTGAGTGGGATGACTATCTGCCGCCAGTGACTGGTCTGCCCTTCTAGGTCTTGCTGATGAGCCAGGGTGGCTGTGCTGTCATCAGCAGTGCTCTGGAACACTGCAGACCCTCCTTGCTCAGGAACTGGACTACCAAACCTGCCACAGAGGGCTGGCTCAATTCCAACATTACATTGCTAGGCATGTCACCTTGGAGCTAGTTCAGGCGCATCTCAAAACCGTCCTCTTTGACCACCCTCCTATCCTCCCAAACCCGCCACCTTCCCCGATCCCCAGCTCGGGTCCAAATCCCTGACTGTCCAGTGCCTTGGGACGTCCTCCCAATGTGAAAGGTGCTATACAAATGTAATTTTTTATTGTATTTGTAAAGGCAAACTTCCAAAAGGCATAGAATAAGTTCTCAACTGAAATTCACTAATCAATCACAGATACCAGCGATACCCACAATCTTTATGTACAGTCAGTAAAGGATTACATTGTTAAAGCTGAGGCATAATTTATTTCAGTTTTCTCTGTCCTATTAAGCAAAATCTGTTTCATTTATACTTAGGAGAATGTGATGTATGTACAACAGGTCTGACAAGATTTAACTTAGTCAGACAATCAGTCAATCAACTAACTCTCGGTGATAATCTAGAATTACCAATATTTAAAACACAATTATCTGACACTAGAATATTACATTTTCTACTGTTCTCTAGTTTGCTTGCAACATGCTTGATTTATCATACAGATTTAACACCTTTCAACCACAAACATTTTTTCAAATAATAATCCCTATATTTGATATAGCACTTTAGCACATCATCAAAGTGTGGTGTCTGTTCATTTATAGGCAAACACGACAGTCAGTTTACACACACCAATCTTCCAAATAACTATGAAGTGAATGAACAATTTATCTGGAAGAATGTTGGCCAGGAAAACAAGAGAAATTCCCTTCTCATTTTGAATAGTGCCATTCAAACGTCAGCCTGAAAAGGCAGTCAGAACTTCAAAGGACAGCACCACAGATATTATAAGTGCTCCCCAGCACAGCACTGGAGTGTCAGCCTAGACTAAATAAATGCTAAGTCCCAACGTGGGCTTTGAACCCTCAATCTTCTAGCTCAAGAAGCGAGAGCGCTACCAAATGAGTAGCAGGAGCTGACACTTGGTACTCATTAAAAAAAAGTTTGCTGCGCACCAGATGATTTGTACTATCCAAACATGCTACCTCGCTGAGATCAGCTATCTTAATATAGGTCATGATCAAAGTTTCACCCACAAAATACAGTCAATTCACTTTACAATACATCTTGTGAAGCGCTTTGAGACATCTTAATGACTGAAAATGCGCTACATCAAATGCAAGGATTATTATTAGTATTATTATTATAAAGTTTCAAAAATCTAGTCTGTCACCCTTAGTGGCAGTAATTTTGTTAACCATTTCCAGGGACCTTCAAGGAATAATTTTAATCATTCAGCCCAAATAAGGCATCATGAATGATATTCCCTTTACAGCAAAGGATTACAATGTCCTGAGATACTTGGATTATTAAAAGAGGGTTTTTTTATACAAAGGAAAGATTTACAAATATCACGCCAGCAGTTCCAAAGGGATCGATGACGCTCCCAAAAGTAGTTAGGTCTAATTTCAAACTCAGTTACTACGAGACAAAATACTATTGAGATTAAAATATAAGTAGACTGTCTTCTCGTCTAACAAACATTAACGCAACCAATACAATGCCACCCATCCAACATCACCAATTACTGCTGGGAGAAAAAAAAATACAGTTTAACAAATCTAAGTTTAAAATTACTGTAAAAGACTATGCAGTGAATTCTCACAATATTGCCCAATTAGAGATTTAATTGCAAATGAACACAATTAATTAGCAGACAACTGAGACGAGTTTATGCTACATTGCATCCTCCTTTCACAGCACCAAGAATCAAAAATCATAATTGGTGATGTGAAAGAAAATTGTGCTCCTGTGGAGATATAAAGTTGGACAAATGGACATTTGTTCTTCCATTTCTGACATACCAGACTTAAAGTTAGGAATATCACAAATCTCTTTTGGAACTTTAGTGGTCACTTTCAAAGTGCTGACATTTGTTTTTATCAGACTAAGGCCTGTGCATATCCAAAATGATGAAATGAATTTATTGTAGTAGATAAATGTAGTTGCACATATCCCTTTCCCTAAGTATGGGAATCATGTACTATCAATAAAATTGGGCTAAGAATTAAAGTAGGTTTATGCAACAATGAAATAGCAGCATCACTGCAGATCATAGTCTCCTCCTTCTGAGTAAGAATCTAAGTAAGAACCATCTTAACTTGAAACTGGTCCTTTTTAAAAAAAAGTCTAAACTTCAGAACAATGAAACTGTCTAGAACGCTTAAGAGTTTTAATAAAGCATCACAGAAGAGGAACCAATTTTTGCCAACAAGCTGCGGATAGCCCTATGACTTGAAAGTGATGATTTTTCTTAGAAAGGCAGATTTAGAAATACCTGTAATTCAAAATTAAACTAGTTGGATTAAACAGATGCCATTAATGTGCCCACAAAAAGTGATCGGAAGAGCAGTTCAGTAATACAGGCTAATAGAAACGGCATAGAGATTATTCCCCTTTAAATGTTTACCTAGGCAACCAGTTTCATTTGGTCATAGAGGTCGTTGCTTACTGAAAGGTTTTAGCATTTAACTTGCTTAGTTATTTAAACTGTTTATAGTAAAGCATCCAACATATTTGCAGAATCTAAATTTCTTAACGTGCTTTAATCCACGTCAGAAATTTGACCCAGTGTAAAACAGCTGCTAGAATCACAATAAATAGTGTAGTGACAGATGACAATGCAGTACCTTTTTAAATTTTCCTTGACGTTTTGATGCAGCCTGCCCCTGGAGTCAGAACAACATACTGTAAGAAAACATGCAGACACTGCACACCCTGGAAACCTTCTCTAGTACATCTCAAGAGTTTTGCTTCTACTCATTTTTATATTATATATGTATAAAATCACACGCTATGAAAAAGCAACATCCCTTCCTACTCCAGTCTACTATAATAAAGCACCTAACCAGCCAATTGCTGTACTATTCCCAAATTGCTAAGTACATAATGTTAGGAGCTAAATCGTGGGTATTAGTTTTAACTAATAAAGAGTAGAGTAGACCTTGGTTCAAGTTAGACCTTGAAACAAGCGTAGTGAATTCAAAAATAACCGATAAGATCACAAAACCCCAGACCAGGTCATCACAAACTACAGAGTGTGCTGTCCAGTGGTTCAAGTCATCAAGACCTGTGTTTAATATTTCACTCTTTGTCTCTCAAAATAAGTGTCCAATATTTTATAATCTGTGGAAAGATTCCATCCTTATGCTAGGTTGAACATATTCACAAGTATGTAAATACATTAATCTGACATCTCAACTTCATCTTTACTGTTTTATTTGGTTAATTGTTTCTTACATTAAAACTGAAGTTTATAAAAAGGGAATTTGGTTGAGTTATAGGCAAAGTCTACATGTTTTGTTTGGGGGGGCGAGGTTATGGGCAAGTTGGCTTTTCATTATTCAGAATATATAATCTGACACCAGTGGATGTTATCACACAGAGGTATGTTTCATCTGGAGATCACAAAATACATAGAACTTGATTCACAGCTCTCTCTTACAGATGTCTGGATAGTACAAATCTAAAATTATCCTCTAATAAATAAGATTGATTACAGTCAATAAATTGTCCTGTTTTAATATTCCAAGGTGCATGCAAAAGCACAACCAATAAACAGTAATTAAGTATTGTAAAATGGAAGTGTTATAGTAGCAGAAAATGCTGACAAAGCTTGCACAGAGCTCAGGCAACTTCAGAAAATGAATAGATAAATGATATAAAGTGCACACTGTGCTGCAAAAGCAGAGCACATCTCTGAGCAGACTTTGAAGTAGTATACTCACAGCTTTCTTTCCTAGATCACTCTTTGGCAGACCTAAGGTTCCTAACAGGTAACAGCCTGGTCCTGCTCCTTTAGGAATTCTAGAAAGAATCATACAATGTTAGATTGTAGCACCTTAAAACCTGAAAGACAAGACTATTTCAATTATGATCCACAATTAACACAATACACACATTCAAAGCAAGCAGTTATTTTATAGTGGATATTACAACTTTTGAAATAAAATGACAATTATATGTGTTATTTAGCTTTTTTAATGATTCGACTAATTTGCCAATGACAATTGGAATAGTTAATTGTTTACCAGAAGTGGCAAAACCTACAATTTTCAAGTCCAGCCTCATAGTCGAAGACAGTCAATAAAAAAAGGGTGTAATTACTAGACTAATGTTTAGCAATATTTACTTACTTATCGTCAGAAAGAGAAGCAACAAAGAAAGGCTGTGAGCAATGTGGTGGTAGAGTTAAATTATTCACTTTTTTCTTGCCTAGAAGTGCATTGCTGTGGTTATCGTAAATATCTAAATTCAGAGCACCGGGGAGTCTGTGGGAAACCACAATGGGAAGGTCCTTAAGGCGATCCAGCTCACTAAGTTGCTCATGACGCACTTGAAATCGGATAGTGTAGTCTCCCTTCTCCAATTTGAGAGCATACTGAAAATCAAAGTTGTATAAGTTACAATTTGAAATTATGTCAACCAATTTGAAAACCAAAAACAATAATAAAATTGGTCATTTTCAATCTACGATTGTTTGTGGGACATTGCTGTGCGCAATTGGCTGCCGCGTTCACCCACAAATATACAGTCAATTCACTTTACAGTGTGTTCTGTGAAGCGCTTTGGGACGTCCTCCCGACATGAAAAGCTCTATATCAAATGCAAGGATTATTATTATGTCTTGCGTTCAAATTCAGGGTAGTTAAAAATACAGTAGAGACCCCATCATATCAAGGTTGTTGAGCCCATAACAATAACAACATCAAAATTACATTTGTATAGCGCCTTTCACGTCTGGAGGACGTCAATTCCCAATCAGCATTATATTGTGGAGTCCTGTAGCTCAGTGTAGAGCACTGGCCTTGCAAGCGAGACACCTGGGTTCAATTCCAGGCAGAGGGCGAAACCTTGGGCAAGTTTCCTTACTCCACACAGAGCCTAATAATAATCCCTCCAAAACAAAACAATAATAAATTGGTCATTTTCAATCTACGACTGTTTGTGGGACATTGCTGTGCGCAATTGGCTGCCGCGTTCGCCTACAAATATACAGTCAATTCACTTTAGTCTATTCTGTGAAGCGCTTTGAGACGTCGAGAAGATGTGAAAAGCGCTATATCAAATACAAGGATTATTGTTATTATATTGGGATGAGATTACTCTGCAGAATTGCAGTACTTAGTGTACATGCACAGAATGGAGAAAGCTATCTCACTTCAAAACACTGGCCGGCAATTTGTGCACAACCAGTTGCTGCAAACTGCGCATGCACAAAATCCAGAAAGTGACTTCAGTGGCAACTGGGTTAGACAACACTCCCCCACTTTAGTTACCTGATGTGGGTAGGCATCGCCTGAACCCAGCAGCTTCTTGTTTTGATCATATAGCATCCACAGTTGGCTGTCAAACTCCGACTCATACAGTAGTTCACAAAGCAGTGGACAGCTGGGTGTCACCTCTCCATTCTTGGGCTACAGGTTGGCAGAAAAATTGCACATTGACATATTTTTATATAAAAATATAATTTGTTTCATAGGCCAGCAACCAGCACACCACAACATTTTTGTGGGTACAGGAACACAAGGTGTACAGGAGAGTCTGAAATATAAAGCTTTATAGCCATTATGGATATTTAGCTATCTTCACGCACAATTTTCAAACACTTCACTGTGGTAACAGGTTAGGTACTTTAACACTGGTTAACCCAAATAAAAACTAGAATTCAAAAATTCCACAATGCAAGTTTGTATGAAGAAAAAGCTAACTTTCAGTCCTCCTTTCAGGGTGATAACCATGGCCACACACTATTGCTGCGCACTATATATATATATATATATATATATACACACTCACACACACAGTGCAACAGCACCACCTAATGGTCACCTAATGGTAAAGGAAAGAAAATAGTAAAAATGGAAAAATGTATCCTATTTTGAAATTCTTAATCCAACATCTTAGTTGATTTCTGATTGTAGCATAAAATGTTTTTCATCCAGTGGGGGGGGGGAAGATAAGGGGGTATCTCCTTTGAGCTGAACTGGCTCCCAGGTTACACGAATGGCCACAGATTGTTGGAATCGAGGCCACCCTCTGTGGTTGTCTCAGCAGTCCAGTTCCTGAGCCAGGCGGGTCAACAGTACTGCAGGGCACTGCTGATGACAGACTAGCCAGCTCGCGTTAGTAGGACTTTGGGAGATATTCTTACCAAATTACAATTGGAAATGTTACTCAATTACATCTTTGTGTTTTCTGCTTAATTACCTTATATGGAAGCCTGCTCTATGGGTTCAGAACATTGTTATAAGTTAGCAAGAGAGTCACCACCAGACTAAATCGAGCAGGATCAACAACAGCAGCCACTAGTCCAGGGCTGAGGATTCATGTATTGTCCAATTTACGCAGTAAGTCTTTGATATCTTGTATTCTATCATTGAAATGTTAACCTGACCATCAAAGCCTATATCATTTCTCTTCTAATTTGAAGTACTTACTTGGTAAAAGTTGTATGTTAATATAATCTCATACAGCTGACGATTATTTGGTAGAGTATCCCGTGCTCCTAAAGGCCTCGTTTTTGCACTAACTGGTCTGAAGACACAAAAACACATTGCAATGGATCATAAAAAGTTCTTCAAATGAGACGGCACACTTAGGCAGTAGGTTAAACAAAAGCACAAAATATTAACTTGGTTGCAAATAGAAAACTTCAGTTTCCTTCTAAAGTAAATATTCTGCCGTGAAATGGCCTCTGGACTTTTAAACTTTCTCAAACATTTCAGATAATAACATAAATTAAACTTTCTAAAATGGCTATTTTAAATGTTAGTATAAAATAAAGCTTGAATTATGAGGCGTCAATGCAAGGATCCTTTTTGATCGTGCTTATGGTCACCCCCACCACCTTCCTTCTCCCCTTGGCTCGTTGTCAGACGCTACCACTGTGAACCATTCCAGGACACTAGCTCACGTGAAGGATGCTATATAAATGCAAGTTGTTGCTGTCGATCATCCTGATATCCTTAATCAAACATTGAAATAACCAATAGGACTCCTTTCAGATCTGTACAATAACTGTAATTACCTCAAAGGCTGAACCCAGCTCTTCAGGTTTATTGAAGGAGAGAGGTCTTCATATTTCAAGGTGGACCTTACATCAAAACGAGAAATTCCATCTGATGCATGCTAAATTGAATAAATATTTAACAAAGATAAAATCTGTTAACTCTGAAGAGTAAGCCATGCTATGTCATACATTATTTATTATTATACTTTACAATTACAATTATTTTTAAGCATTCACAAATTCAATATAATAACACTTAATAAATAATAAATTGAACAATATGTGAGTAGAAAGTACAAATCTGTTATTTAGATCAGCCATTTATTGAATTTTGCATTTCTTGAGATTACACATATCTGAATTTATATTGAATTTTATAATCCCTTGTGTACAGGAATATACTAACATATTTACAGCTTGTACATTATTCAATTTTAAAAATGTATATGCAACTTATTCAAAATATTCTATACTGTCCCAAAGCTATCAATTAGGAATAAAATATTATTTATATAGTGCCTTTCAGGAGGACCTCCCAAGTTGATTTTGGCTAATCAAGCATATAACCCAACACTATGGGCAATTCTTCCTCACAAATATACAAGAATGCGCTCTCCTTCCATCCACCGACCCACCTACCAATCCTTCTTGAATCTACTTGCTGTAGAGATGCATTTCTGATACAAAGTTAACTTGAATTTACTTTTTCAAACCACCATATATCAAACTTTCAGAATACAAAATGACAACTTACAATGTGCAGCTGGCTAGGGGTGCAAAGGAGACCATGGAAGGAAATTGTGTAATTGATGTGGACATCACCAAGACTAGCCCACCAGCGGGCAATGCAAAACTCAATCACTTTACCATCCTAAAAACAACAAATCAAAAGGTTACAGTTACCCTATTAGAACATTGTCACAATCATAAGGGATTTTTTAATAAAACAAAAAGATAAATGGATGACTCCAGTACATGAAAGAAACAAAATTGAAAAAGAGCAAAATAAAAACGAACATAGAGAAAACACAAAGCAACAGCAAAAGAAGGAAGAAATGTGAAAAGGAGAGAATATTTCTAAAACTTAACTCTTTATATTCTGGGACAAATTAAATTGCTGAAATTTTTTGAACAGTAATGTGAATGAAAACACAACAGCAACTTGCATTTATATAGCACCCCACAGGCAGGGTAGGGTCTCAGAGCGCTTGACAGTGGTGGAGCATGATCGAAAAGGAAGATCTTCAGGCATGACCTGAAGATGGGGAAGGAAGAGGCAAGGCTGAGGGATAGAGGAAGAGTGTTCGAGAGTTTCGGGGCGTAGTGGCTAAAAGCCCGGCTGCCAATGGTGGAACAGAGGGCACAAGGGACATGCTGAAGGCTGGAGCCAGTCAAGCGGAGGGAGCGGGTTTTCGGTTATGCAGGTCAGAGAGTAGGGAGGTAACAGGTGACAGGACATGAAGGGATTTGAAAACGAGTGGGGATCTTGAAATTGATCTATTCGGGAATAGTGAGCCAGTGGAGCCTGGCTAGAACTGGTGTGATGGAGGTACGGAGTTTAGGGTGGGTGAGTGTTTCGGCTGCGTCTGGGGTAAAGGTATAGTCGGAGGCGGGCAATGTGGCAGAGGTGGAGGAAGGCGATCCTGGTCAGGGACCGGATGTGGGAAAGGAAGAACAGCTGTGGGTCGAACCTGACCCCTAGTTTGCGCACTGGTTTGGCCATATCTGTGGATAACTTCGTCAAGCGGGAATATATAGATGAGGAAGAGGATGGGGCCATGGATGGAGCCCTGGGGTGCACCACAGGTGACCAGGCAGGAAGAGAAATCGTTTAAGGAGATAAATTGAAGGCGGTTAGGATAGGAGTCGAACCAGGCTAGTACGGTCTCACTAAGGTGGATGAGGGAGGAGAGGCAGTGGATGACGATGGTGTGGTCGACTGTGTTGAACACGGCAGAGAGGTCCAGGAGGACAAGGAGGCAGAGGGAGCCCTGGTCATAGAGAGAAAGGACGTTGTTTGTAACCTTGATAAAGCATGGTCAGGTAAATGGCAAAGTAAACGGTGCCTCGAGATGTAAAGTGTGTAGGCATGCCAACTCACAAAAATTCAGCTCTGAGCATATTTTTGTCAGACCTAAGTTTTCACGAGTTTGTGTGAAGTACATAGGCATCTTTACCAAATGTGAGAACAAGCTTTTTCCAACCCTATTCAAAAAAGTTACAAACCAGTTAAGGGTTTAAAAGCTAAATTCCCTAGACTTTCAAATTCAGCAACTTAGTCAAAATAGTTTTGCCATACTCACCAAAACCGGGAATGCTTCACTCAAAGATCCTTTCTCTGGAAGTGACGTGAATTTGTAAAACTCGTGAGTGCGATAGGCTTTTTGTTTTTCAAGTTGAACTGCATGCAGAACAAACTTTGAGAACACATCAGAGGAACATGAAGATATGGTGACATCTGTACAGAAGAAATGTACAGAGGTATTAATGAACAACCATAGGTAGAGTAGTTCTTTTCCTGAGTAAATTGGTTAAAAGTCATGTCACAGCACTCAGAAAAAGACTTATTTTTCATGAAGAACCCAAGTAGACTAATCACCACACATCAGAACTGATTAAAAATGACTCCCAAAACAAAAGTACAAATCTTTGTTGCAATACGTAATATGGACGATATTCACCTTTACAGGAAACAGCGTCTGTAAATGTTCATTCTTAATAAGAACATAAGAATTTACTAGGTGAAAGAGGACTAAGGTCCATCTAGTTTGCTTTCCACCATCCTGGCAGTCACTTGACATGTTGTATCGCGAGATATTATTTTCTAGCAGAAATCTATCTAATTTGTTTGTGAAACAAATGACATTTTCTGCTTCCACTGTCTCCCTAGGAAGCCTGTTCAATATGTTCACTTAACATTTTACTCGACTTTAAAAAGGGACTTCTCCCTAGATAATTCCAGTACACCTCCCTGTGGAAGGGCCTGAACTGAAGAATCATGGAAGGAGTGTTCCTCCGCTGCACTGTCAGGGGAAGTGAAGTGCTCTGTTTGCCTACCGGCTCACTGTTATAGCAGTTCGCTTTCTCCACATGCAGTGGTCCAACTCTGCTCCACAGTCTCATGGCACAAACTCATTACAATGATTTTTTATAAAGGAATCCATTGGCTGCTGAAATATTATTATTTTAATAGTCTTACCAGCCCATGTAGCTCCCCGTGGAACCTCAATAAAGTGCCGTCTGATTTGACCAGGTTTAAAGTGAACATCATTGTATGAAAGTTCATATCCAGAGTTTTCATCTAACCTGTATACATAAAATAATACAAGGTTATTCATAAAATAACCCTTTCCAGGGCATCAACTTATTTCAAATTGTATGTGGGTGATGTCAATTATGGACAACCTCCGGAACTGCATTCCAATTTTTTTATGTCTTTGGCTAGTACATAAAATCTTCTAACTTTTTTTTAACCCCAAGTAATATTACCCATCTTTCAAATACCATGGAATATAACCAATTGTTTAGCTGGGTGTTGGTAGGTATCCAGAACCGGACACCGCTACAGAGGGCTGGCTCACGTCCAACATTCCTTTACCAAACTAATTCAGCTCCAAGGAGACCCACTTCACTCCCCCCGCCCCCCCAATACATACAAACTTTTGAGATCCTAATCAGGTCTCAGTTTAGCTGGATTTTATAAATTATAGACATTTTGTAGAAGCACCACAGGTTATAGCTGCATAATCAGAGAAACTCAAAACATATTTCTTGTGCTAAAATAATTATGCAAATTTCCCCCCACAACCAGAAACTACATAGATTCCATGAACACAATTTTCAATAAATAAAAGAAAAAACAAATCAATAAAAAAGGCAGGCTTACTAACCTTGATGGCATAGTGACAGTTATTGGAAGTCTAAATAAAGGGCCTGCATTAGGAACTTTGATATCATAGCCACAAACCTGCAAGAAATGAAGAATGACTACTTCTGAAAGTAAGATAACCAAATCATACTTAGCACACAAAGTACATTATCAATATATAACAGCTTACAATAATGTCTTCAACAATTAGAGTAAACATAACACAAACATCCAAACCAACCATTAAAACAGAAGTTGAACATTGATAGAGCTAATCCTCATTTATTTATATAAACACACACTACGGGACTGCATGTTTTCAATGTTACATGAATTGCACAAAATACCATTTACTTTTCTCCAACCTATGTTGGGAGAAGAAGCTGGATATAAAGCACCTTGGGACATCCTCTCGACGTGAAAGGCACTATACAAATGTAATTTGTTCTCGTTGTTGCAAATCTCCCACCATTTTCTCGTATTGTTCATGAAATTCTAATTTTTGTGTGTTCAATCAACAATTTATATAGGGCCTATACATTGGTAGTGTCATCTGAAAGTGATTCACACAAGTGACCCGGGGGAGGGGAAGGAGCTGAGAAGTGGAGGGAACGGAGGAAGTTGGACACTGTTTGCTGAGCAGAGGGAGCAATACTCCATCATCTTCATTTTAAGACTAAATGCAACCTTTGTAATGCAAAATACATCTGCACGCAAATCCATTATATGTTTTAGCAATTTATCAAAAATATTAGTTCAGGTGCATAAGTCATTCACAGCATTGTTAAATGTACTCTGTATAACTTACAGTATTACAGAGAATCAATTAGTATGAAATACCTCAGTATAATGCACTCCTTCTCTGAGGCCACGTGGATCCACCCGTACAGTTATATGTCTACACTGATTCATTAACTCCAAGTGACTGGGGCACTGAATCCATGGTGCATTACAGGTCAAAGCTAGGTGAAGTTGGAGAGATATCTTTTCAGAGTTTGCTGTGGTGGGGGGGAAAGGAAAATTTGTAAAGATAAATTTGTAAACAAAAAGACAACAGATATTTCATTTTTTTTAAGCTCCGATATACTTAAACAAGAGTATAATCCTGGATCTACCATTAAAAATGAACTTCACACACCTTCTTTGATGTATGCATTCCAGCAGTCGTATAATTGCATTTCATAAATTTAGTTAAGGAGTTAATAGCAAAAATGTGAAAAGGTACGTGCTATCAATGTAAATGTTTGCTTTATTGCAACGTTTAGACTATTGACCCCAACACATTACCACAGTTCCTAACATTTCACTTTGATTTCTGACTATGTGGAGGTTGGTTCTCTGCCAATTTCTGTGCAGCTTTAGATGTTTGCATCATTTACTTTTTGAATGTCTTTTCATAATGTTTCCCTCTCATTTTACACCATTTCTTATTTATTCCTTTACTTGCCTCTTACCGTGGATAGTAATATGTAATGCATCTTTAGGTTTTAATTTGCCTCAATGATGTTTTCCAAATTAGAAGACTGAAAACTGAATTTGCCCTACTTAATCCAGAGATTCATACTTTGATGCCTATTGAGCATAAAGTATATATTAAAACGGTCTTGATCAAAAGATTGGTGTGTGCATCTTAGCAACAAACTCGCGCTTTGTTGCAAGTATTTGAGAGCCAACCGCTCTCACCTGTTTGTTCTGGAAACACAGGTTCTATGCTGACTCCATGATCAGAAGGTGATGTGAGCTGGACTAATTCCCGGAGGTAGAGCCCACGTTGGTTGGAAGCAGCAATGGTGAAACCCAAGTTGCTGCTCGTTACTGTTGCATTTTGTATGAGGTAGTCATAAGCTTCATCAATCTGGCAAACCAAAAAAAATTAATTGTGCATTTTCAAGACATTAAATATGATTGAGACGTGGACATCCGAAAAAAAACATTACTCCATAAAAAGACTGTAATTAAAAACAGATCAGAAACTGTAGCATGATTTTAGTCAATACGTTTGACGTACTGGTTTTTCTTTCAATAAAACGATACATAAAAAATCTAGAGCAAAAATTTCCTGTATGAATTACCTTGGCAGAAGTCTCTAACTGCTGGACTACAATTAAAATCAATACCATGCGAGGGAAAGAGGGGAAGTGACTGTACGTCAAGAAGGTCTTTATTAATCTTCAGATGTAATCTGAAGTCTAATAAAGAGGGGGCAAGGCTAACCGAGTTACGGTGTATAGTATCTGAAAGTACGGCCGCGGAAGAAGGAGCGGAAGAAATGAAGGACGTGTAGAAGACCAGAGCCAAGTTGGTTGGCGAACGAGGCAGGTAGTGGAGTGGGCTGGGCAGATCAGACAGGTATGAAGATGCTAGGGCGTGAATTGAGTTAAATACTTTAGAAGGCCTCAACTTTGCTGCAAAGACAGGAAATGCAGGTATCCATTAAAAGACTTTAGACATCATTAACGAGATAGCAGTGTTTTCCTCAAACCCATTCAGCCCTAAAGGTATAAGCAATATGCATTACCTGAATTACTCCATGTCCTTGTGCAAATACTTCAATATCATCAACCTTTAAGGCTGTGTTTTCAAGAGCTCGACGAATGGACTGTACAGTATAATGAATGTCATTAACTTTAAGACCTGGAACATATAAAAACAGTTTTTACAGTTGTAATTTCAGCTTCTCCTTTTGTTTTAAAAAAGCTAGTAGGTCTGAGTTGTTTTCCTCAATACTTGCAGCAGAGTGCAAGTTTGTTGCCCAGGTACTGGAGATTGTGGCCTAAGGTGCAAGATAGGATTTGCATTTGGGCGCATCTTAGCTGACCTCTTGAAGAGTCTTTTCATGCTAATAAACAGTATGATAGAGATATGTACATTATATTTGACAGTGGTTTATTGGTCCATGGTATATCTTGCTAAATCTTTAATTCATGATAATAAGAATTTGTCCTGCCTATTGGAAACCTTAACTAGGGTCAACAAAATTACGAATGCATACTTCTGCATAAATGTGAACTGCTGTCTGTAATAATTAGATATATGGAAATGACGTCAGCTATCTCGGGGACAATGGATTGTCAATAAAAAATTTTAGCAATTCTTGTTCATGAGGTGATCTACTCCCTAAAATTATATCAGATGATTTAAAAAACACAAGCAACTTCAGCAACCATATTTATGGTCATGAGTTTATTCAAAGCAAATATTCAGTCAGATGCTTGCATTGCAATCTATGATGTCACAGTATTTAATCGATCCAATTTAGTACAATTTGTGAAATACTGGGGAATATTCTGTGCAGTGGCATTTAGTAACAGATCATTCATCAACTGTGTCACAAGCTAATTAAAATAAGAGCTACTTTGCTGGCTGTATTAGCAACTAAACAACTAGAAATGGCTATACGTGAAGTCAAAGTGATTGCCAGTATGCTAATGCTCAAAATATAATGGCTAACTGTAAACTCCTGAGTAACATATCCTGTCTAATTTCGATGCTTCTGAGAACTTGAAATGTATAACTCAAATATTTAAAATATTCCATAGTCAGGTTATTTCCACAGAACCATTTTAGAATGACAATTTAAAATTGCATCTTGGGATGGGGATACACTGCTATTTTGCATTTATTGTCTATTAGTAGTCGACCTGAAAAGGTGGTGACAGGCCTTATCTTTACAACTCAGATACCTGGTAGGCCATTTCTAGCTTCAACCACTTATGTGTGCGATGAGAATCAAGTGTAGGTCAGAAGGAGAGAGATTTCCTTTCCCTGAAGGACACGTGAACCAGTTGTTTTTTTTCACATGTTTTCTAATGCTAGTTCAAATTACTAAATGTTTTGAATATACAGCTGCCATAGAGAGATTCAAATCAATGACCTCTGGGTTGCTAGCACGGGACCATTACCACTAAAGCATCATACTTGTTAGAAGGTGTTCCATTACCTGAAAGCAGCAGAGCAATGCCTCCACATGCATTTGGTGAAGACATGGAGGTGCCATTCATCAACTGTGTTCCACGTAGTGTCCAGTTCGGAACAGAAGCTATGGCTCCCCCAGGCGCACTAATACTCACTCCAAGAGCTCCATCAGTGCTGCAAAATATTTTTTGGGGGAAAATATACTAATCACATATTGCAGTTTTGAGGTTGGAGAGCAAAAAACAGGACTTATAGCAATTACTCTGCTAGGCAGAGACATGTTGCTAAGAAGATTAAATGGATTCTGAAAAGTTTACAACAGGTAAAGAGTGTGTAATCTTTTGGAAGGACAGCCTCCAATGGCATTCACCAGTTTAATACTTTCTCATGTTCTTATAACTAGTTAGTAAGAGATGCATGAAAGTAATAAAGCTTATCTGATCCTTTGAAAGCCCAACATTTAGAAGAAGCTTTGCCATTCCCAAATCAGTTAGGAATTTCAGAAAAGGAGTTGGCATCCCGCCTCACCAGCTTAGCTTGTTTAAAGACAAATTGTCCAGACTTTTTCATCTGCATATCTCTTGCAATCTTAAATTCTCCTACCCAGATGTAGTTAGCAGTAATCAGTGATTATTCACTAGCTTTGCTAATCCTGTCTAAGACATGATGTTTTGAGGAAGTACTTCTAAATCAAGATTTGACAAACAACACATCACGCTTTACTGAAAACAATGTCTTTTGACTGAACAGCTATGGTTCTGAAATCTAAAAGCTTCTGATCAGTTTGCAACTTCATCAGACATTTAAATAATTAATAATACAATCAAATGAAATATACAAGTGAAAAAATGAACACATTCTTACATTGGTTTATCTTGTTGCAGGATTCAATTTTGGATCATTCATGACAGTTTTACAGTACAGTTTTCCTCAAAAGTCAATGCTTGACTGGCAAAGAAGTAGCTTACCTTGGTCCTCTTGATGACCAAGTGTACTGGTTAGCAGGCAGCTTTTCTCTCAAGGAGTATTCAGCAATCATCATGTCAGGAGAAACATATGCTCCAACACCTGCAACCAGAACCAAACCCATTTGCTTTTAAAGTTATAACCATGCTACCTGTGTCTGGATTTAATAATCCACACAGCTAGAACGATTTGCAAAGAAGGCTTTTTGAGAAAGCTAAATAAATATTTATATACATAAAAGAAAAAAAATGAAATATATTTATTTGTAGTTTATCAATGGATGCCTCTGCTTCCTATACATTTGACATAAAGTGACATTGGCCAAAGAACCAACCAAAGAATAAAAAGGAATAGGAAGGGAGAAGAGAACAGTTTAAACAAACTGCATACTGAATGGGGCTCCACAAAGCAGCTCAGAAGTTATGAATATTTTAAAAATAAATCTTTGGAAGTTATCTATTGCTAGTATTTATCAATTGAAGAATATGTTCACATATAGATTATACAATGGAACAATGCTGAGCATAGAACCAAAACAACAAATCGGACAAGCTCTGAAATATGTAGTACAATGTTACTCAATAAGATTTTTCATTATAATCACAGTAACGTATCCCAAATATTTAGTCTTATGACAGACACTAAAAGGCAGATACCGAGGATCAACACAAAATAATAGCGGAGAAAATTATTAACTGAGAAGTAGTTTTGTAAATTGATTACATATGATAGAATTGGAGTCCAGCAAAGGCAAAACAATATATGGAAAGTTAACACCATATGGATTGATGCTCTTATTTTGTGGACAACTGTATTCATGAAGGCTCAAACATGAAATGTATGGATGTAATTTTACAAGAGTATACAATAGAACCCAACACAAATATGAACATCCTGCATCACGCAGGGCCAGTTGCACAATTTTCTACTTCCAATTTTGGAAGAGGGGGAAAAGAGAGAAAGTGATGTTTGTGAAGCGGGAACAGAAAAAAAATCGAAGTAATGTACAGTCACTCTCACAACACCATTTCCATAATATTTACATCATAGAATAGGTTACACTCACATTTGTATTATTTTCCAAATGTTACAGGACATAAATGCGTAAGACAGGGGTTAATTAGATGTTCGGATCGCTATTCTCCCACAAAGGTACAATCATGGTCAAATCTGCTCAGAAGAAAATATTCTTCCACTAGTAAAATAATCTTTACTAAAGACTTAATTTGGATGACAAAACAGTGTACTGTACACATTAAATCACCTTGTATATCTCGGCAACATTTGACTATTATCAGCTATCTGCTGATAGATTTTAGCTTTAAAAAATGACAGCACAGAATAAAGCCGTTTGGCCCATCGTGTCACGTTTTCTTCTCTACATTATTTAAATTCAAAACACAAGTTTGGAAGCTGGACAGGAACACAGCTGATCTGCCATCATTACTGGATCAAGTACAACCTTGACTAAGAAGTCTGGCAATGCCAAAAAATAATCATTACAGTAATTCCAAAGACAATTTGAGTAACAACCATATTTCCAAAGAGTTTTTGAGCTCCGGCTTCAAGGTATTTCACTTTGCCTGTTCTTGAACTTTTAGAACTTCTGGAAATTATTACCACTTTAGAAGCCACAACATCTCCAGTAGCAGTACACCAAGATGATGCATTGTGTAGTGAAGAGTTTCAGAAAGCAGTTCCTACCAATGACACCGTAAGTAGTTCCACCTGGGCACCCAACAGTGGAAAGGCAGGGCCCATTATTGCCTGCACTTGAAACATAGATCACATTGTGCTTCAACACTGCTTCGTTAATCACCTCACAAATGCGCCTGAAAAAAAAAGATGAACAAGTTGTCAAAAGTAATTAAATGCTAGATTTCCAAACAAGCAGCAGATCAGATTTGGTTCAGACAAAGTCATCTTTATTATTAAGCATTTACTGCTAAAGTCAAGTCAGGATAGAACCATGGAAATTTACAGCACAGAAGTAGGCCATTCAGCCCATCGTGCCTGTGCTGGTTCCCTCTAGAGCAATCCTTTCAAACCCATTTACCTGTCCTTTCCTCATACCCTAGTAGCTGATTCTTTTCAAGATATTTGTCTAATTTTCCCTTGAAGCCCAATATGGATTTTGCCTCAACTATCGCTTCCAGCAGGGCATTCCATACCTAACTAAATACTTCACCCTCATTCTTTTAATGCATTTGGTGTTGGGAAATGACACAAATTAATTTCAAATACTATTAGCTAGCAAGATATCTTTAGTCTAACTTACCCTGAATTGGGCCAATGTGTAGCCTCACCGTAGCTGTAGTTTACAAGGTCACATTTATACTTTATTGCTTCAATCATCTGTTAACAGAAGATTTTTTGTTAAAAAAACTTAAAATATTTATACACAATACAAATTAAATGTATAAAAACTTCAAATTTAATACGCCTCATTTAAACCTCTTACCTTCCACCTTTTATAACAGAAGCAGAATGCTGCACCTTTAAAATGCTTTAAAAATTCACAATAACAGCAAAAACATTTTTCCATTCCTGTTTTTAAAAATATTTTCACACTGGTGTAATTTTATATATACTAAGATTCATATGTTGGTAAGGCCTTGATTGCAAGTTATAGAAATTAATGACTAGCTTTTTTCCCTCTTCTTCATGTACTAATTATGGTATTCTTTTTAAACAAAAATCCCTATCGTAATTCAATATTAGCTTCTGCTACTTCCAACAACATGAACAGCTGATTTGTCGTAATCCACTCCAAATTGAAACGTAAAATAGTATCACGTTAACATTCTAAAATACTCACAGGAACAGCAAAGATGTCAGAGCACTAACTGTTTTCTGTTATTTTAAATAAACACTATCATTATAAATATTGTCAAAGTAGAAAGCTAGGAATAAATCTCATCACAAGTGTGTATTGCAGTTTCTCTTGAAACAAAAAAGTATTAAATAAATGAATACCCACAGCTCTAATCAAGCCTGTGCCAGTTTCCATGGTACTCAGCCTTGTATCACCAATCTTCATTGCAAGAATCTGAGCCCCAGGAGCCACGCCATTCCGTTCAGGATCTTCTGGGAAGTAGCCAGCAGCTATACTAGCTACATGTGTCCCATGGGCCCCTGCAGAAATAAATGCCAACACTAAAGCTACAGTAAAACTTCATTCACCAAAGGTTAGTTCAACTAACTTTTCATAGCACAACAATTAATTGTGTCCCTTTCATTATGTTTAGCGGTGAAATTAATTGCCATTCAATGAACTGTGCCTCCTGAATTAAAAATACTGCACTAAATGTTCTTCGGTAAATGGGTATCTTTTTTATGCAACCTGGGGTAGAGTTACATTATCGGAGATGCCATCCTTCTGGTGAGATATTAAAATGAAGTCTCGCCTGCCGGTTCAAGAGAATGTTAAAGATCCCGAAGCACCATTTGAAACAGAGGGGAGTTTCTCCCAGTATTCTGGCCAAAAATCTTTCAGATAAAAATTAAGTTGTTGACTTCACGTCTACATCAAAACCTACTTCAACTAAATATATCCAAGTTTAGTTCACCCAAACTACATTTCGTTAATTTTAATCCTTTTAGGTTTCACTTCAAAACGAAAACTGAAAACACACAAGCTGGATAATAAACCATAATGAAAATAGAACTACAATGCAATCTGTGTAAGTGTAAATTATATCTCACCTCCACTTGTTACAATACAAAGTGTGTTGCCTTCATCATAAATGTTGACAGAGTAGTTCAACATCTCAGATACCCCCAGTGAAGAATATTCTTGAGCTTCTCTGTAATTCTGCATCACACTGCATTTGTCCAGGTTCCCACATTCACTTGTATCCACACACGCTCTAAGAGAGAGAACTAATTTATTATAACTGCTGCAAATGTTAACTTTTATTACATTCATATCATTTTGCAAGTTTACTCAACTTCTGTCAGATTCAATATCCACTTTTTGGTAAATACATATTGGACGTATGATAAATTGTCTCCAGATATTTAAATTACTGTTCAGGACATAATTATCACCAGCAAAAGAAAATCAAATAAAATTAAGGTATTCAAAATGTTCTCGTAACTCGCCAGAAATTCAAAATGCTGTCCTTAAAATGCACAACAAATTTAATACATAAGCATTGTTTAAAAAATAAACAAGCACTTCAGTGGTTACCTCCAAGTCTCCCCATCGTGCCACACCAAGCAATCATAGACAGGACCAGGGTCACTCAATTTCTTCTCCTGCAAATTCAGCAACTCTACTTGACTCTGCAATTCCTCTCTTTGCATCTTCTCTACCTTTATAGAAAAGATAAAGCCGTAATTTGAATTTTGAAGAGGTACACCCAAAATTGCATTATTGCAATCCAGATAAGCAGCAGCCTATATAAAACCTTTTTAAATGTCCAGTTACATTTAAAGTATTATATAGGGTGTTACATATGTAGTCAAGATAGACTAGTTTTAATATGCTGTACTGATAACTTAATATAGCACTTATAACAAAAATCTAGAAGGACTCCATGGCTTTTCTGTAAAGTGTAATGCCTGTGTATTTAGCACTGCAGTCAATTTGCAGACAGCAATGTCCCACAAATAGCCAATGAAGTGAACAAGAAGTTTTATCTGGAAGATTGTTGCCCAGGGAACAGGGAGAAACTCCTTTTCCAAATAGTTTCATGTGATCTTTAACATCTAGTGGTGACTGGAACATAGATTCTTTCTACTCAGCTCCTGTTAACCCTGCAAGTCAAAGTCTAAAATTGTCGGGTGTTCCCAGCTGGACAAGCCAAACATAGCTAGATGGTTAAACTCATACAGTATCTCAATGCACCCTCTGCAGTCCCCAAGCTTTGGCTCTCGCCAGCCTGTGCCTTACTATGTAGTGTCCGTTCCTCCAGAGAGAGCGTATACATTTCATTCAAGATACAAGAACATTTCGCTCACAAAATAGTCAATTCACTTTACAGTAAATTCTGTGAAGCGCTTGGAGACGTCTTGAAGACATGATAAGGCGCTATATCAAATCAAAGATTATTATTATTTCCATCTGTAGGTGGCACACATTTGTGGAGCTCTCAATCTGGTTAACACTCCTCTCATGGAAACCAGGTGCCTCCCTACCAAGGGTGGGCATGTGAGGGAGAAGAAAAAAGAAGGAAAACAGAAACACGAAGAGTTGGCTTCTCTTTAGAGTTTCAGTCCAAGAAAGACAACAGAGACGCAAAAGATGCAGGGCTTGAAGAAAATAATTCACACACTCATTAAGTAAGTAAAACTAATAGTTATATTTAAAAATAGCACACCAAATATACAATTATAACCATACGAGATAAGTAGCACAATCACAAAAAAGGAGATTAAAACTCACTTGTTTGATTGCATCTTTTGAGATAGAGAACTTTCAGGGCTCCCCTAATGCACTGCCCATTCAGCATTCCATCACATTAGCCGCAAAGTCACAAGATTAACTGATCTCAGCTGAGGCATCGCAATTGGCATCAGTGTTTGGCTAATACAGGATCATAGTTATTTGTGATCCCCTACCAGTCAAAAATCCTTTGGATGCTCAGTGTCTGACAATACAATGAATAAGTACTCAAGTGAGTTACTGAAGGTTAACCAGCAACCTGTGCAATCATATCGCATGACAAGTTTCACCATGTTCAAAAAAAGCAGAAAAATGGGGCAGAGCATTCATACATATTATTTGGATGTTCATAGAATCGTACAGTACAGAGGGAGGCATTTGGCCCATCGTGTCTGTGCCGGCTCCTTGAAAAGAGCTATCCACTATTTGGTGGTCTATAGTATCCATCTAACAGAGTAACAGCTCCTTTTCTGCTCCTTAACTTTAACCAAATAGATTCTGTTTTTGGACCCTCTAGCACATCGTCCCTTTCCAGGACCGTAACTGTGTCGTTAATCAATACTGCCACTCCCACTCTCTTTTTTCCTTCCCTATCCCTCCTGAATACATTGGAGCCAACAATATTCAGCTCACATTCCTGCCCTTGTTTGAGCCAGGTCTCTATTATTGCCACTACATCATAACCCAATGTGGCAACTTGAATCTGCAGCTCACCAATCTTATTTATCACTCTGTGCATTTACACACATGCAATCTAAGACCGACTGAGTCTGCTCGGTATTTCTCCCCCGCCTAATCACTCCTTTTTCTGGACTACTCATTATAACAACAAAATAACATTTGTAAAGCCCCTTTCAATTCCAGCGGACGTCCCAAGCCGCTAAACAGTCAGGGATCAGGAGAGGCGGTGGAGGTCCATGGTATCAAAGGCAGCAGAGAGGTCAACAGGACAAGGAGGCAGAGGAAGCACTGGTCACAGATGGACAAAATGTCGTTTGTCACCTTGACCAGAGCAGTTCCATGCTACAAGCACAGAGAAAGATTTCTCAGTGAGGCTCTCGCAAGTCTTCCCCTTTTTATAGGACTCTTGCTGAAGAATTCTCACTAAAGTCCTCAACAGAATTCTCACTCTGTTCCACCTCACTCAGTTCCCTCCTCACACTGCTGGGCTTTCTGCTCAAGTGAGACTCTCGCAAGTCTTCCCCTTTATACAGGACTCAAATAAAAGCACCCAGTTTTGACTGGTCAGCAAATTTATTAATCCGCAAAACCTGATCTATGATTAACTGCTAATTCACTTGTTTGCCTGCTTACATGTAAGGTTGCCTCTACCTCAAGGAAGATTTCCCACTCTTCTGCTGAATGCAAGAGTTCTCTCTTGCTCACTGGTATCTCTCTTGCTGAAGAATTCCCACTCTCACCAAGTTCCTCAACAGAATTCTCACTCTGTTCCACCTCACTCAGTTCCCTCCTCACACTGCTGGGTTCTCTGCTCAATATGGAAATATGTTATATGAAAATAGATGACCTTACTACTTTAATTCCATGCAATCCAGAGTGATAATGAGGCCTCAATACAAATACAAGAGTGGTCATGCATGTCTTTAGTTACTGAACACATTCTCTCAAAGGAAAATAGTGAAAATAATAGAATCACTGTTCTCGGGTGACAAAGGAGGTAGTTTCATACAGTGACAAATGCAATAGTTTTCGCTCTAGTGGATAAGAATAACAAACTAAATCACAAGCCTCCACCAGCCATCCAGTCAGTGGGAATCTGGGGAGGAGGACACAATAATAATAATAATAATCCTTGCATTGGATATGGTGTCTTATCACATCAATGAGACATCTCAAAGCGCTTCACAGAATATACTGTAAAGTGAATTGACTGTATATTTTGTGGACGAAACGCAACAATCAATTGGACACAGCAGTGTCCCACAAACAGTTGTGGATTGAGTGACCAAATTATTATTTTTTTTTGATTAGAAGGGATTATTACCCCTGGAAAAGTCATCCGCCAATCGAATAACAATCGGGTTCCTACTTACTCAAAGCCGGTCAGGAACCTCGGTGTTCTGTTCAACCCTGAGCTGTCCTTTCTTCCTCATATCCGCGCTACAACTGGCACCGCCTTCCATCACCTCCGAAACATCGCCAGACTATGGCACTACCTCACCCCTCACGCTGCTGAAACTCGGGTCCACGCCTTTATCACCTCAAGGCTGGACTATGGGAACTCTCTCCTCGCCGGCCTTCCCGGCACCTCCCTCCACAAGCTGCAGGTCATTCAGAACTCTGCAGCTCGTGTACTGTCCCGCACCAGGCTTCGGGACCACATCACTCCCACCCTCGCTCGCCTCCACTGGCTCCCCATCCCCCAGAGGATCGAATTCAAGATTCTCATCCTCACCTACAAGGCCATTCACGGCCTTGCTCCCTCCTACCTCTCCGACCTACTATCCCCCTACCTACCGGCCTGTACCCTCCGTTCCTCTGGCTCCGGTCTGCTCCACATCCCCCACCCCAACCGCCCTACTATCGGTGGCCGGGCCTTCAGCCTCTCAGCCCCTAGGCTCTGGAACTCCATCCCCCAGTGCCTTCACCTTGCTTCCTCCCTTTCCTCCTTCAAGGCCAGTCTCAAGACCTTTCTCTTTGACCGTGCCTTTAGCTCCGCTCTCGACTCTCTACCCCCTCCTCGCTCCCTCCCTCCCCTCACCCTGACCATTTCCCCCCTGCTCGGGTCCTGACTCAACTGTCCAGCGCCTTGGGACGTCCTCCCGACGTGAAAGGCGCTCTATAAATGGAATCTTGTTGTTGTTGTTACTGCTAGGTAAACAGAGGCGTGTGGAGTAAAGAAACTTGCCCAACGTTTCGCCCTGCCTGGGAATCGAACCCAGAACCTTTTGCTTGCTAGCGAGCGCTCTGACCACTAAGCTACAGGATTCCACGAGTGTCCCCAACCTAACAAACCGAAGTTGCATTTCAGGTTACAACTATACACATACTAACTTGTGACAGATTTGTATGAGTGTTGTCAAATTCATCCAATTTTCTGCAGGCTTCTGCTAATGAAACACGCTGGAAAGGATCCCAAAGCTTCTCTTTCCTTTCTTTCTGCAAAGCAAGATCACAGTGCATTTCCTTCAAGTAACCATCACTTTTAATTGATTTTTGTAAAAGTAAAGCTACAAACATATAGTTCATTGAGCAATAGACATCGCAATAGAAATTGGAAGTCGTTAATAGTAATTTTAAATGATGCATGTGTTATTCTTACCTGTATTCTTTCTTTAAGCGCTTTAGGGTAAAATTCGTAACCATTTTTGATACCAACATGATATTTTCCAGATGGATTAACCCAATTTTCAGGAATCTATAAACAAAAAAGTTAGAAACATTAAATTGTGCAGTTAGTGTTAAAAGCATTATCTGTCTGTTAAAATGCAAGTTAATTAAAACTGACAATAGCACATGAATCATAAATGAGACAACATAGTCCAGTAACATTTTACATTCCTTCCTACATTTTGAAAAATTTCAGTTAGAAATGCTTCATTATAGCAGAAAGCATATTGATTCATAACACTCAGAGGCTTTTGAGAAGGAACAAAAGTGTTATATTAGAAACACAGTATAATCCTTCATTTGATATAGCACATTATCATGTCTAGAAGACGTCTCAAAGATCTTCATAGAATATACTGCAAAGTGAATTGCGTGTATATTTTGTGGTCAAAACAACCATTATTCAATAATCCCTCCAAAATAATCCCTCCAAAAACAATAATAAATTGGTCATTTTCAATCTACGACTGTTTGCAGGACATTGCTGTGCGCAATTGGCTTCCGTGTTCGCCCACAAATATACAGTCAATTCACTTTACAGTGTGTTCTGTGAAGCGCTTTGGGACGTCCTCCCGACATGAAAAGCGCTATATCAAATGCAAGGATTATTATTATTATTATATTAATCCTGAAATGTTTTCTGAGGCTGAATGCTAACATAGGTAAATTATAAAAAAAGTCCTTGGTTTGGTCATCTCATCTAAACTATGTTGGGGCAAAACATACGATTACAAAGGATGTTACAGCATGAAAACTGACCATTCAGCCCAACTAATCCACGCTGGCAATTATACTCTACGTGGGATCCTTCACTCCATACGAGTGGCTGAAAGAGCAGGTTGAACAATAGTACTTCCCAGAAAGTAAATTCCCACATGTCACTCAACAACACCAACTTGCACTTACAAAGCACTTGCAAAGTCAAAGTGGAAGCCGGAACTGGGAGTCGTGTTGGAAGGTGGCCAAAGGCACAGTCAAAGAGACAGGTTTCTAGACAGGTTTTCAAAGCAAAGGCCAGAGATAGAAGCATTTTGAAAGAGGTTTCCTGAGTGTAGGGGCAAAGCAGCTCTGGCAATGCACCATTCCCACAGCATTCTACTTGACTCTTTAAATTCCACAATCTCTTATTCTTAATAATAATCCTTGTATTTGATATAGAGCTTTTCATGTCTTCGTGACGTCTCAAAGCACTTCAGAGTATACGGTAAAGTAATTGACTGTATATCTGTGGGCAAAATGTGGCAGCCAATTGTGCACAGCAGTATCCCACAACCATCATGGATTGAGTGACCAAGTTATTATTGTTTTTTTTTAAAGGATTATTATCCCCAGAAAAGCGATCCTCCAATCGACTAACAACCGGGTTCCTACTTACTGCTATCTTGAGGTGAGATTGCAACCAACTAAGCTAGGCTGACATCTAAACATATTATGTATAAAGCGTTCATTCAGAGAGTTGGTTTGGAGAGTATTATGAAGCAGGAATTAGGTAAATGGGATGAGGATGTCAACCCACAAGAACAACACTTGAACAGACCAATCTGATATAAGCTATTACTGTATGTGAAGCCCGGTGGTTATGATGTAGTGAAATGCTACTGAAAATACTGACAAGATATGTGAAAAGGACAATAATTACAATCTTTTGAAAGTGCTCTATAATTACCTTAAGGGTACATCCTGAAAGACCAACAATTTTCCCATCCTTTGTCTCCATTACAGTGGATGTATTCACATCCCCACTGCCTGTGGTATCTATAATGTCAACAATTTTAGGTTTTCCATCACTTGTTACCTATATATAAAAAAAAGTTATTTTAGTTAAATAACATCTCATTTTCTGGCAATGTTCATAATAGTAATTAAAAGTCACTAAAAAAAAACTTAGCAGTCTACAGGGTGCTATTTCCAGTCTTAGAGGAATAATGGCAATTACCAAGCAGAGGAAAAGTGTTGAAAAACATGCACCATATTAACTTCACAGTCATTCAATGAAGCTCATGACAAGATTAATTACATAAAATATGTACTACACGATAAATGCGGCAGCCACTTTTGTGCACAGCAATGTCCCATTAACATCTTTAACACCTAGATGAACAGGCCGACAAGACCTCAGTTAATGTCTCATCCAAAGGATGGCACCTCCAATAATGTAGCGGACCCTCAGGACCGCATGTAATTTAGGTCTGGTCCATGTGAGTTCAAAGCCTGATGTGGACCCAACCGAGTCAGGCTAAATTGGTGAAAGTAAATTCATTCCAACTTGCTAATATAATTGCTGCACTGTGTTTTATAATACAGTATTGTATCATGTAACTAGACCCATAAGACCTTCTATGTAACATAAGCCTACAAACAGAAGTATTCTCATGCTCCATTTAGTTTGCTTAAAACAAAGCAATATTGCTTCCAGTAATAGAAGTCCAACAGAAAGCTATTTTGTCAAGGTGGTCTCTGCAGCAGGATTTCAGTGCAATTCATTATACTTACACTGCACTTAAACACTTAAATGAGCTTGCAATTTTGAATACAAAAACTCAAGCTTTAGATGCCTTGTTACAACATATTAATATCTTAATAGCACAATGGAAAGCAAACCTGAAAAATGATGAGTGACAGCCACAAGTGAGTAAAGATCAGACTCAGGAATGGACACATTTGGTGCAGTTCTCTATTGGCCTGGACATTCTAGTTGCAATGTATGACACAGATTTTCCATTGAACACGATTTTCTTTTTTACAAATGAGCATTCTTATTTCAGATCAAGAACAGCACCAAGAATAACACAGGTACGTACTGGTGGTGGTAGTATATGAACAATACCCCGGAACCGGCAGTAAAACTTAGTGAGGATAGGCTCCATACAACTCCAGCTATCCGTTGTGTTTATAAACCATGCAGGCAAAAAAAAATTAAATACTTAAGTAATTATAAATTCACATACGTTGTGATGGGCAAGAATGAAACCAGTATTAAATACAAAGAACGTTTTAATCCATGGATTGGTCTGATAATCCACTTGTGACAACTGTTCGAGGTACAGCAACTATAAACATAGGGCAATGATAAGGTGGTTCGAGAAGCATTGTACATTTCCCCTTTAAGTACAATATTTTTCTCCCCCCCATTGAAGTATGTCTCCCACATGTGTACATCACTACAATAGTACTGTGATGATTTGGATAGGACAGGGAAGATTTTGTTAAGCCCCACTCAGGGAAACAATTCATTCATTTCCCCCCCCACCCACATGATTTTCAAACAGAATAAACAAATCAAGTTTGTTCATTTCTAACTTCCTGTAACTCGATCCCTCTTGTTGGCCCTGTAGCTCCTTCACTCTTGTTGGACAGGAGGCAAACAATAATAATAATAATCCTTGCATTTGATATAGCGCTTTTCACGTCTTCTAGACGTCTCAAAGCGCTTCACAGAATAAACTGTAAAGTGAATTGACTGTATATTTGTGGGCGAAATGTGGCAGCCAATTGCGCACAGCAGCGTCCCACAAACAGTCGTGGATTGAAATGACCAATTTATTATTGTGTTTTTTTGGGAGGGATTATTATTAGGTGTGTGGAGTAAGGAAACTTGCCCAAGGTTTCGCCCTCTGCCGGGAATTGAACCCAGGTCTCTCGCTTGCAAGGCGATTGCTCTAACCACTGAGATACAGGACTCCAAATAACCAGCCCGTCACAACTTAACAGTGTATTTTGCCCCCACTTCCCCCACCCCAAAATTTTTTTTGCCACCAATGAATTGCGTGATATAATTATTCACAAGACAGAATATATTCAGTCACACACAAAACAATATCCTGGTATTTTAGGTGGTGGTGGGGATTACATGTCAGGATAAGGTCCAATAAAACTGCATTTATTCCTTTATAATATGACGGACATATCAGGCAAAATTAACATCCACCATCAACACCATCTGCTGAACCCAAGTGAGACATTTACAATAAAACCAGATCAAGTTATGATCATTGCCCCCCCATCCTCCTCACACTCACAGCCCCCCAACCCCCCCAAACCCACTCACAACCCCCCCCACCACCCCCAACCCACACACACAGCCCCCCCACCCCCCAACCCACTCACACACCCCCCCACCCCCCCAACCCACTCACACAGCCCCCCCACCCCCCAAACCCACTCACACAGCCCCCAACCCACTCACACACCCCCCACCCCCCAAACCCACTCACACACCCCCCCACCACCCCAACCCACTCACACAGCCCCCCACCCCCCAAACCCACTCACACAGACCCCCACCACCCCAAACCCACTCACACACCCCCCCACCACCCCCAACCCACACACACAGCCCCCCCACCCCCAACCCACTCACACAGCCCCCCACCCCCCAAACCCACTCACACAGCCCCCCCACCCCCCAAACCCACTCACAACCCCCCCCCAAACCCACTCACACACCCCCCCACCCCCCAACCCACGCACACAGCCCCCCCACCCCAACCCACTCACACACCCCCCCCAACCCCCCAACCCACTCACACACCCCCCAACCCACTCACACAGCCCCCCCACCACCCCAAACCCACTCACACAGACAGCCCCCCCAGCCCCAAACCCACTCACACAGACAGCCCCCCCAGCCCCCCAAACCCACTCACACAGCCCCCCACCATCCCAACCCACTCACACACCCCCCACCCCCCAACCCACTCACACCCCCCAAACCCACTCACACAGCCCCCCACCACCCCAACCCACACACAGCCCCCCACCACCCAACCCACTCACACAGCCCCCCACCCCACACAGACCCCCATCCCCCAAACCCACTCACACAGCCCCCAACCCCCACACAGCCCCCCCCCCCCCCAACCCACTCACACAGACCCCACCCCCAAACCCACTCACACAGCCCCCCCCCCCACACAGCGCCCCCCCCCAAACCCACTCACACAGCCCCCCACCACCCCAACCCACTCACACAGACCCACACCCCCAAACCCACTCACACAGCCCCCCCACCCCCACACAGCCCCCACCCCCCAACCCACTCACACAGCCCCCCACCACCCAACCCACTCACACAGCCCCCCCCAAGCCCACTCACACAGCCCCCCACCCCCACACAGCCCCCCCACCCCCAACCACTCACACAGCCCCCCACCACCCCAACCCACTCACACAGACCCCCACCCCCCAACCCACTCACACAGCCCCCCCACCCCCACACAGCCCCCCCATCCCCCCAAACCCACTCACACAGCCCCCCCCACCCCCCAACCCACTCACACAGCCCCCCACCCCCACCAGCCCCCCCCACCCCCCAAACCCACTCACACAGCCCCCCCATCCCCCAAACCCACTCACACAGCCCCCCCACCCCCACACAGCCCCCCCACCCACTCACACAGCCCCCCCATCCCCCCAAACCCACTCACACAGCCCCCCACCCCCACACAGCCCCCCCACCCACTCACACAGCCCCCCCATCCCCCAAACCCACTCACACGCCCCCCCCACCCCCCAAACCCACTCACACAGCCCCCCCCCCCCCCAAACCCACTCACACGCCCCCCCACCCCCACACAGCCCCCCCCATCCCCCAAACCCACTCACACAGCCCCCCCACCCACACAGCCCCCCCCACCCCCAAACCCACTCACACAGCCCCCCCACCCCCAAACCCACTCACACAGCCCCCCCCACCCCCCCCCCCACCACACCCCCCCCACCCCCCAAACCCACTCACACAGCCCCCCACCCCCCCAAACCCACTCACACAGCCCCCCCACCCCCACACAGCCCCCCACCCCCCAAACCCACTCACACAGCCCCCCCACCCACCCCCAAACCCACTCACACAGCCCCCCACCACCCCCAACCCCACTCACACAGCCCCCCCACCCCCACACAGCCCCCCCCACCCCCAAACCCACTCACACAGCCCCCCCACCCCCACACAGCCCCCCACCCCCAAACCCACTCACACAGCCCCCCACCCCCCACACAGCCCCCCCACCCCCCCACCCCCCCACCCACTCACACAGCCCCCCCCACCCCCACACAGCCCCCCCACCCCCACCCCCCCAGCCCCCCCACCCCACACAGCCCCCCCACCCCCAAACCCACTCACACAGCCCCCCCACCCCCAAACCCCCCCACGCACCCCCCACCCCACACAGCCCCCCCCCCCCACCCCCACACGCCCCCCCCCCCCAAACCCACTCACACAGCCCCCCCACCCCCACACAGCCCCCCCACCCCCCAAACCCACTCACACAGCCCCCCCACCCCCACACAGCCCCCCCACCCCAACCCACTCACACAGCCCCCCCACCCCCACACCCCACCACACCCCCCCACCCACACAGCCCCCCACCCCCAAACCCACTCACACAGCCCCCCCACCCCCCCCACCCCCACACAGCCCCCCCACCCCCCCAAACCCACTCACACAGCCCCCCACCCCCACACAGCCCCCCACCCCCCCAACCCACTCACACAGCCCCCCCACCCCCACACAGCCCCCACCCCCCAAACCCACTCACACAGCCCCACACAGCCCCCCCACCCCCACACAGCCCCCCCCACCCCCCCAAACCCACACACACGATAATATTGGGTCACAGATATTTGTCAAACTGACAGCCTTTGCCGTTATCAGGTGATATAATCGTACAGTCTGGGCGGGCGGTGGTGCGGAGGAAGCCCCACGGGCGGTGGGGGGGGGGGGGTGTGGGGGCTCGTCCGGCCGAGGCGCCCTCCCTGTGTGGCGAAGGGCAGGAGTGGGGGCTCTGGGTCCCGGGCGGGCCCGGCACGGGAGTCCGAGGCCTTGGTCGGGCCCGACATCCCCGACGCGTGCGTTTCGTACCTGCATTCCCGGCGCTCCGGGATCCACCCCCGTGTCCAGGACGGCGATGAGGACTCCCCGGCCGTCGTACTCCGGATGCCGAGCCAGGAAGGACAGGGAGCCCGTCTCCTTCTTCGGCAGGAGCCCGTGAAAAGGGAACGAGTCTTCGAGGTGCGCGGCCATGACTCGACTCCGCTGGACTCGCCCCGTCAGCTCCCGGGGGCTCCGGCTCTCCTCCCAACACAACACAACACCCTCCCTCCCTCCCTCCCCCTTTCCTTTCCAGCAGAGCAGCCAAACCACAAGCCTCCGGCAGCCGGTCAGCCAGTCAGGCAGTGGGAACCCCAGGGGGAGGAGGACACAACAATACTAATAATAATCCTTGCATTTGATATCACCCCCTCTCTCCTCGCACGGTCGAGACGTCTCAAAGCGCTTCCCCTGATTGCGCCGCAATGGGAATTGACCGTCTCGTCTCGTGGGCGAAATGCGGCAGACAATTGCGCACGGGAGTGGCCAACCCACCACCACACAAACAGTCGGGGATTGAGCGACCGATTTATTTTAATAATAATAATCCTCGCATTTGATATAACGCTTTTCACGTCGGGAGGACGTCCCAAAGCGCTTCACAGAACACACTGTAAAGTGAATTGACTGTATATTTGTGGGCGAACGCGGCAGCCCATTGCGCACAGCAATGTCCCACAAACAGTCGTAGATTGAAAATGACCAATTTATTATTGTTTTTGGTTTTGGAGGGATTATTAGAACAAAACCGGCAGCTCCTCTGCAAACCAGATTAGAAACGAAACAGGAGACGGTGAGGCGTCCCGTCAGCCGGGCTGCAGGGGCAACAATGGGGTTTTTTTTTTCTTCGCCCGATTGGATTTGAAGATTTTTACTTTTTTCTCTCAGAAAAGCGGAATCGGATTTTATTTGAAACGTCCGGTTTGGTTTCGAAACACGAAATAATGGCAGTGCCGTGGGGACTGGACTTGAGATGTCACCGATAGGATTACTCCGGAAAAAAGATTTGGTCAGCCAGATACCTCGCACATGCCTAAACCCATTACTGTGCTTAAGAGTATCCAACTCAGGCTAAGGGTCCACATATGAATGTCATCCACACATGGAAATTAATATGTCTGTTGCATTCTCTTCGGGAAGGAACCCATCCTGCTAACTGACACTCCAGTTGCTCATGCAAAAATCCTGCTTTATTTTGTTCAATTCTGCATTTGCACTCATCTCTGCAAACGTACGCCCATTCCTTGAGTCCAAGCATTTGAATTTCCAATTGGAGGAAGTAAATCTGAAACCCCTGATCTATTTTTATGTTTAAATATCACCTTACGAATTATTTTGGCATCACCTCCACCTTCTCCCTTGCTCATTGTCCAACCCTGCCATTATGCAGCGCTATTATGTTTAAGGGTACAATATAAATGCAAGTTGTTATTGTTGAAACACTTGGAAAAATGCTTGTCATAATGTACCTTCCTGATATCACTATTGCTGAGCACAATGTGTTGAGGATGCAGTGATGCTATATCCAGTAATGGCAGCTTCCTTGGGGATTTCCCAAATTTGCTTGTTCATGCATTTATACATTTTCTTAAATTGCATACAAAACATGGAAGAACAAAATATTCAAAGGTTAAATGTGTTTGATGGAGAAAAAAACCCTGGGTCATTAGCTACCTCCAGTTAGAAGTGTTGTAAGGAGGCTGATGTAGAGATAAATTCAGGAAGTAGATCAGCACATCTTAAATTACTCAGGAATGTCATCTAACTAATGCATGTTGGGCCTCACAATTTGAAAGCTTTGGTTTGACTCAGCATAGAGGAACCGTGAGCTAATGATTATCTGTGAGCAATTGCTTTCCCAAGTCCAAGAGTTCTTTTTTGTCTTTGCTACTAGCAGCCTGAAGTTAATAGTTCACAGAATAACCTCTTAGCATTGATCCAAAACCCGAAATGTTTGGTGCCTCCACACTTCCTATGAGAATATTCTAATGTTATGTTTATTTCTGGTGCTAGACAGTTAGCATCAGAGGATGTTTCACAGGAAGCACTAATCAACACCACAAGCCTCAACTTCTTCAGTCGGTCAAAGCTCCATTGGAGAAACTGGAAGCAAATCAGTATCTTACGAGTGATTGCTTCATTTAATACTAATGACAATCCCATAGGAATTAATAATGCAGAAGCTGTGAAAAAAAGTTTTATGTACAAAACCCATCAAACCTGCATCTCACAGATTCCAACAGATGGGACTGATGAGGTTCAATGTGACAAGTGCTAATGAAATAGTGAGAGGTACAGTGTCAAAGATTTCCCAATATGATATATTTGGAGTCTGGATCTCTCTACTCTGTTTCGTCAATTGATTATGGCAAATAATCAAATCACTGACACACTCCCACTACAGAAGGTCAATCACCTCGGAGATCTCTATGTTCGGTGAGCAAACACAGCACATCGTGGAGTCCGGTAGCTTCAAGGTTACAGCACTCACTTCACTAGCGAGAGGACCTGGGTTGTTTCTCGGGCAGGACGAAATCTGAGGCAACTTTTCTTACTCCACACTGTTACTGTTTACTTACTGTTACTTACTGTTTACCTAGCAGTAAGTAGGAACCCACCTATTAGTTGATTGGCGGATCGCTTTCCAGTGGTATTAATACCTTCAAAAAATAAAAATCACTAATAATTTGGTCACTTAATCCATGACTGAACATTGTTGTGCGCAATTGCTGCGGTTCACACACAAAATATACAGTCAATTAATTTTAGACTCTAGTGGAAAAAAACAAGAAGTATCAGCCATTACCATTTACGCAAGCGAGAAGACCTGGGTTGAATTTCTGGGCAGGGCGAAGCATTAGCCAAGTTTCCTTACTCCACATGCCTCTGTTTACCCAGCAGTAAATAGGAACCCGGTTGTTAGTGGATTGGCGAATCGCTTTTCCGGGGGAATAAGCCCTTTACAAAAAATAATATAAGAATTTGGTCACTCATTCCACGTCTGTTTGTCGGATACTGTTGTGACCAATTGTCACATTTCGCATAAAATACACAATCAATTCATTTTACAGTATATTCTGTGGAGCGCTTTGAGATGTCTCGAAGACGTGATAAGCTGCCATATCAAATGCAAGTATTATGCTTTGAGGAGAGGAACTGTAATGCACAGCAGTTTTTTTTAACCAGTGAAGGTCCAGAAGCACTTCAGGTTGTAATTAAACCCCATTCTTGATTATCTAATTCCAAAACAATCAGAAAAATAAGAGAAAATACTTTTTAAGAAGAAAGGTGCTCTGGCAATGAGAACGCATTCTGGAGTAGAGGAAAATGAACTAGCAGTCAGAAATGCAATTCAAGTTTATGTATGTTATCGGAAAGAAGAGGGTCATGTGGATGATCTCCTAGTTTGAATGGATATCACCCTCTATTCATATCCCTTCACCCACTTTTGAGAGCTATGCTCGCTCCATGCACTGTATGGGGGAAGACTTTTTTCATACTTCCTATTACATTTTGATACACACATTTTACCCCATAACAACTTTATTGTGTACATTTTTGACCCGCATCTGTAATGTGTTTTTACATTAAATGCTTGTGGACAACACATCTATATAGCTTCCGTTTTATGGTTTTTACTATAAAATATCCACGAAGTACTTTTAGAAGATATTTAAGAGAAACGTCTACACAGTTAATTAGCAAATGTTACATATTCAATAGAAATTGGAACGAATAAACGGATGAAGCTGTAACCGCCGAAAAAACACAGAACTCTAATTAAAAGAAATATTTTGCGCGCGGTAAATATTACAGCAAAAGAAAAAAAAACCGAATCATTCACACCAACACACTCTTTTGAGAGATTAAAATGTCTTAAACCAGATTACGCAGAGACCTGGGATCTTTCAGTTCCATCAACCCGTTAAAACTCTGGATTCTGTTTATAGTTGCATCGTTTTAAATGAAAATGTTGCCAGATTACGTATTTAGCGTTTAGTAACTGTGGTCGGATTTTTTTTTATTTTTTAAAAAAAATTGTCCCGCGTGAGGAACGTACCAATGCGAACCAGATTACAAAATCGCGCATCAAGATCAAGAATTTCAAAACGAAGAGCAATAAAACCGAATTTCCAGAGGGAACTGCACCTAAAAATAACTCGTCTGCTAAAGCACGTCCGTGGTGGTCACCGTGGAGGACCGTCGTAGAAATGTTCACGGAGTCCGAGGGTCCTATCAACACATTTTGTCCCAATCTTCCGCGGGTTTGGTCGGTGCGGGTGGCGTGGCCACGCAGGGCGGCGCGTTGTAACTCTTGGCTTTCTTCTCCACTTGGCTCAGAAGACTCTTGTAGCAAAGCAGCTCCTGTTCAAGCGCAGCGTTGACTGCGAACATGTTCTGGTTTTCCGCTGCGTGGGAGTCCAGCTTCTTCTCCAGAGCCTTGTTGTACTCTTTGATCCTGTTCATCTCCCGCTCCTTTTCCTGCATCTGGTTCTTCTGGAGCCCGTCCTTGATCTTCAAGTCGTTCACCGCCCCGCGATAGGCTTCGATCTCTTTCTTGATCTTCTGCAGGGGCACGTTGTTCTCCTCAAACTTCTGCTTGAACCGCTCCAACTCGTCCTTGTTCCTCTTGGCCATCTGCTCGTACTCGTGCCGCATGTGCCTCAGTGACTGGCCCAGGTCCATCGTGCTGCTGTTGGACAGCTCGAGGTTTTGCAGGTTGTCCACCTTCTGCTGCCAGAAGACCCGCTCGGCGTCCTTCACCACCTTGAGCTGCACCAGCTGTGCCTCCAGGGCTTTGAGCTGGCACTGGAGCCGCTCGATCGTCAGTCCGCCGTCGTCGTACTTCTTCTTCAGCTCCTGGAAGTCCCGGTCGAACTCCCTCTTCAGGACGGCCTCCTTGTCCAGCCTGGTTTTGATCCTGTCCTTCTCCACCCTCAGCAGCGCCATCTCGTTCTGCGTCTCCTCGATCTTGGCCATGAACTCCTGCTTGTCCTTCTCGTACGCGTTCTCCACGGCGGTGAACTCTTCGCGCTGCAGCCGCTTCAGCTCGGCCAGCAGCTCCTTGTTCTTGCGCTGCAGGTTCAGCACCGTGTTGTTGATGTACTTGGTGAAGCGCTCGTTCAGCCCCTTGATCTGCACCTTCCCTTCCACGATGCCATCGTGGAAGTCGTTGTCCGAGCACTCCCCCGCCACGTCGCTCACGCTGCTCAATTCCTGACAGGCGCTGGAGGTTAGCGAAGAAGCCCTGTTGCCTGAAAACATCTTTCTTTACCCCGACCTCTCACATAGCAAGTCTTTCGACTTCCTCTCTCTCTCTCTCTCTCTCTCTCCCCTCTGAATGTTTGATTTGCTTTTAAAACGTCCCCGGTCAAGGAGACGGTTGGGCGGATCGCGGCGACCGTTACGGAACGCCCGGCCCAGCGCGAGCCCCGCTCAAACCAACGGCCGGTGGCGTGCGCGCCCGCACATGCGCACATCCCCCTCCGCCATCACCCCGTGGGGAGGGGGGGGGAGGAAACCAGCAAAACGACGACGACTTGCATTTACACGGCGCCATTCGCGTTGGAGCCCGAGGCCGAGCCATGGGGGAGGGGGGGAGGGGGGGAGCAGGCGACCGCAAGCGCGGCCCGAAGATGGGGAGGGAGGGCGGCGGTGGGGGGGGTGGGGGTGGGGGGGGTGCGAGGCGAAGGGGTTGAGGGGGGGAGTTCCAAAGTTTCGGGGTGTAGTGACCGACGGCACGGCCGCCGCCGATGGTGGAGCGGAGGATTCGGGGGACGCGGAGGAGGCCGGACCCAGTAGAGCGGAGAGGCAGCGGGTGCTGCTGCGGGGAGAGAGGTTAGGGGGATGGGGGGATGGGGGGGGGTGCCATGGGGGGATTTGAACACTGGAGTGAGGATCTTGAAGTCGATCCGTTCTGTGACAGGGAGCCGGTGGAGTGTGCCGAGGACCGGGGTAATCGGGGTGCGGCGTTTGGGGTTTGGAGTGAACTTGATTTTGTGTAGGAGACCACCAGCGAGGAAGGCGTTGTAGTCCAGCTGAGAGGTGACAAAAGGCGTGGACAAGGGTTTTCGGCAGATTTTGGGGTGAGATACTGTCAGAGGTGGGCAATGTGGCTGAGATGGAAGAAAGCTGTGCTGGTCAGGGACTGGTTGTGGGGGAGGAAGGATAACTGGGGATCGAACATTATGCCAAAGTTGCGCACAGGCATAAATTGTTCTGACGAAGAGTCGTGGACCCAAGACGTTGACTCACTTTCTTTTCTCCACAGATGATGCCTGACCTGCTGAATGTTCCCTGTTTTTGTTTCAGATTTCCAGCATCTGCAGTATTCTGCGTTGTGTACAGTCATAAATGCATAAATTCCCCGAGGATCTGGAACTGCCTTCCTCACTCCCTTCGTCTCGCTCCCTCCCTTCCCATTTTCAGGTCTCTGCTGAAGACCTTTCTTTTCAACCTTCCTCCCCCCTCCCCCGGCTCGGTCCCGGGATCCGTTACTGTTAAAGCGCTCTGAGATGCCGTCCGATGTGGAGGGCGCTATATAAATCCAAGTTGTTGTTGTTGACACAAGAGGAGACCAACCGTCTGGTCTCATTTTATGGGGGTCACTGAGCAGTTACGGTGGCTAGGTTACAGTAGGTTATATACAAATATATAAATACAAGTTGTCGTTGCAGACTTGTTAGAGGGAAGGGTAGCTATTCCAGACACCTGGCTTGTCATGCTTGAAGCATCGTGAGTCCTGTAGCTCAGTGGTTAGAGCACTCGCTTTGCAAGTGAGAGACCTGAGTTCAATTCCAGGCAGAGGGCGAAACCCTGGGCAAGTTTCCTTACTCCACACGCCTGATAATAATCCCTCCAAAAAAACAAAACAATAATAAATTGATCATTTTCAATCCATGACTGTTTGTGGGACACTGCTGTGCGCAATTGGCTGCTGTGTTTGCCCACAAATATACAGTCAATTCACTTTACAGTATATTCTGTGAAGCGCTTTGGGACGTCTAGAAGACATGAAAAGCGCTATATCAAATACAAGGATTATTATTATTATCAGCCAAAATGAAGGGGCTTCTTACAATAACAATATTCCATGCAAGCCTATCACTTTGTTGAGACGTCTCAAAGCCCTTAAGTAAAGCACCTATCTATCCTGGGGGAGAGGTCCCATTTCCAGCAGCAGCATGTTGATTGGCCTGCATACACTGAGGTACATTCAAGCTCACTTCATATGTCCACACCTGGTATGTATTCTGCTTACCTAATTCTATAAAGTATTAGGCGCAGGTTGGCAAGAACCAAGGTTTGGAGAAGCCAGAGGACAGATTGGAGATGAGTTAGTCGCTGGAGAGAATGGATTGTTCAAGTGAGGGGTTCTTCAGGAGTAGGGTGATGAAACGGTTCTGAAAAAACTGGGGTACTGTACCAAGGAAGAGGAGATGTTAATGGGGTGCAGAAACTAGTAATAATAATAATAATCCTCGCATTTGATATAGCGCTTTTCACGTCGGGAGGACGTCCCAAAGCGCTTCACAGAACACACTGTAAAGTGAATTGACTGTATATTTGTGGGCGAACGCGGCAGCCAATTGCGCACAGCAATGTCCCACAAACAGTCATAGATTGAAAATGACCAATTTATTATTGTTTTTGGTTTTGGAGGGATGATTATTAGGCTCTGTGTGGAGTAAGGAAACTTGCCCAAGGTTTCGCCCTCTGCCTGGAATTGAACTCAGGTCTCTCGCTTGCAAAGCAAGTGCTCTAAACACTGAGCTACAGGACTCCACAAAGTAGCCAGTAGCAGTGAAAGAAAGGAGGTAGTGAATTTCATGCAGCAGATGAGAAAAGAGAGCAAGTGATAGAGAGACTAAGTTGAAGAAATGAGTAGAGTCTAGGAGAGAAGTTGGAACTGCAGAGGGAGTTTGTGGGGCCATCAGAAATGTGAAAAACGTTTCTTATATTTTGTTTGAATAATGGTACACAACCAAAATACTGAGTATTTCACAGGGATGTTTATTTAATCAAGTCAAATGTTACATAAAATGTAACTATTAAATCAAAATCAGCTTCATTGAATCATCTACTTATGATGGTACGTTTTGATGGATCTGCTGATGTTTCTCCCCATAAACTGTAATTAAAAGAAAACATTTCAAAAACACTGTGTTATCACTTTTCAACCTTGCAAATAATAACATTTAAATACTATTCAATACCACACAACATAAATTGCTCTACAATACCTTCTCTGGTTTCTTTAGTCCTAGTGTACTGCTTGTGGGAACAATGGACTCTCGCACTGGTAATAGGCTAAAATAGGAGAGTAAACAAGTTAACCAGTTACATCAAACATTGTAATGTCTGTCCCAAACTACTGAATACATACTAAATAAGCTAATGTAAGGATTATTATAATGCACAACTGCTCGTTTTCAACAGAATTGATAAACATTTATTGGGGTAAAATTCCATTTAAATTTAAATGTTTCTGTTTACGTAGCATTTTCATTTTTTTTAGAACTGCAGAAAATGTCTGACTTCAAAAATTGAGTTCAACAATTGGGCTCATTCTAGATAACTGGAGTAAGTCTTAACCTAATGACATCTTACCCCATATATTTACTAAAGATACTGTACTATTTTCATTATTGTCTTATTAAACAACAACAACATTTCATTTATAGAGCGCCTTTCACGTCGAGAGGATGTCCCAAGGCGCTGGACAGCTGGGTCGGGACCCGACCAGGGGGGAAATGATGAGGGGAGGGAAGGAAGCGAGGAGGGGATAGAGAGTCGAGAGGGGAGCTGAAGGCACGGTCGAAGAGAAATTAATTCTAAATTAAATTTAAAAATTGCTCAGTCGCTGAGTTCTTTACGTTACACTACAAATTGTTTTGGAGAAATAAGAGAACTGGTCGGCTTCATTCTGTACATAAAACAGAACAATAGAAATGTATTCTTATACCGATGAAATGGTTAAAGCGAGTTTAATATTAAACTGAATGGTTTGCATCTGGATTTAAACTTATATATCAAACCATATGCAATACAATAAGAATAGTAGGAACCACTTGTGATATTATGTACAGAGAGCCTTATTATCTCATGGTATTATATAATAATAATCCTTGCATTTGATATAGCGCTTTTCACGTCGGGAGGACGTCCCAAAGCGCTTCACAGAATATACTGTAAAGTGAGTTGACTGTATATTTGTGGGCGAACGCGGCAGCCAATTGCGCACAGCAATGTCCCACAAACAGTCGTAGATTGAAAATGACCAATTTTTTAATTATTGTTTTTGTTTTTTGGAGGGATTATTATTAGGCTCTGTGTGGAGTAAGGAAACTTGCCCAAGGTTTCGCCCTGCCTGGAATTGAACTCGGGTTTCTCGCTTGCAAAGCGAGTGCTCTAACCACTGAGCTACAGGACTCCACATATACTATATCCAATAGATCAAGATCTAAATCCGCCAGTGGAGTCACTTACTTCCTGCATACAAGGCGTTAGGATTTTTTTTTACTGTTACTATAACATTGAAATAAATATGTACTGTACCTTCATTCGGAGTGAACTGAGAATCCTCAGACGACAAAGCCTCCTGACATGCTAAACTACAAATTCTTTGTGATGCAGAGCTTTGTGATGACCTCTCATTTTGTCTAGGACTATGAGAAGATACGCTTGTTGTCCCTGGGCTCTCTGGTCTGTGACAATGTGAGGTGTAAGAATGAGCTCTCTCGTTTTGGTCATTTTCTGAACTGAAGGTCATTTGAACCACGTTTTGCAGTTCTTCAGTTGGACTGACCAAAAGACGACGTTTATTGCATTTTTTTTTTCTTCTATCCTCTTGTTTAAATGTTTTTGGTCTTGGACGCTCTTGCTTTGAAAATTTAACCTTTGATTTGACCAAAATTCTATCCGTTTTTGTTTGATTTGGGAAACGACTGTGCAAGGTTTTCTTATACTTTTTCTTCACAACATTTAATCTAGAAGTATGATAGGATTTATTCAGATTTTCACCATAAGCACCATGGAGTTCCTCATCAGAAACACTCAAGTAATTTCCATCGTCTGCCTCTTGAGGTGAAATAACTAATCCTTCTTGCTCAGTTTCACAAACTCCTGCATGCGATGGCTGGCCTTGCATGATTTCTGATAAATCAACATGCACTTTTTCTTGTTCCTTCTTATTTTTAACACTACCACCTGCAATTATTTTACAAAATCCATGTTCTTCATCCTGTTGAATATGCCTTTTTGTTTCCTCACTCAATTGATTTTTACACTGTCGTTCTGAGCAGAATCCATTTTGCATAGTTTTACCGCCTTCTCTTGCATTTTTTGCTAAAATTTCTTCACAATCTGCATAAGAAACAGGACGTGGCGATAAAACAGAATTCATAATATTTTGTTTGAGATAAATATTGAGCTCTTCCTGTACAGTTACGTGAGATGAAGGCAGATTTGCTCCTATTACTGCTGGACCTAGAGAAAGTCCCACTACAGTCATTGGTTTGTATGCCAAATCAGCCAACTTCTGTCCTGTCAAAGCTGCTGAATCCACTGTTCTCATGGATTTCAGTCTATAATTAGGTGAGGTTACGGAACAATCTACTGTGAGACAATTGTCACTGTTCTTGCACTGTAAATTTTGTTTCTTCAATCCTCTACAAGGGGCATCCAACTTTAGTAATGTTTTATCTGGTGTTGGAAAGGAAGATTTATTCAATATTGATTTCATTTCTATATCCAGCTCATCTTTAGCATCAAGTTTTACACTGACAGAAACTCCTTCTGAATTATTCAAACAGCAATTTTCCCTGATAAGTTTACATTCTGCTGAAGAAATTGTATTCATCTTCAGCGGAGCTTGTTCTGAAGGGAAAGCTGCATAATGTTTGCTTAGATCAGCTTTATTAAATGTTTCCACACATACTTCTTCAGGTTTTAACAGACGCATGACATCCTGTACAGATGGAGCAGGCGGTATGAAGCTATTTAAAGAAGTCTGAATAATCTTAGGGAGTCCCCACCTGTGATTTATGATCCGATTCCTTGTATTTAATTCCAAGGTTTCTTTATGCTCTTCACTGAGGAATACTAATTCATTTCCAGAAAAAACGATATCAAAATTAGGGCATAAATTTAGCTGGGATGGAATCAGTTTTGGAGGAGGCAGTATGAAAGCATCTGCTGATCTTTGCAGATGTAATGGTAAGCCCCAGTTGTGTTGAAGTTTTTTCTGTGTAATATGCCATTCTAGAATATTTCTGATTGCATTAGGTACAAATGCCGTTTTCCTACCTGTTGGTTCAATTTTAAATCCACTTCCTTTGATTGCAGGAGGCAAAGGTGGTGCTTTAGGAATCATCATCTTTATTGATTTGTCATATGGAGTAGCAAGACCCCAGAGATTATAAATCTGTTTGTGCTTTAAGTTCATCTCCAAGCGATCAACAATATCCTGTTCAGCAAATGGAATATATAGTAATCTTGGTCTTTTAAATCCTTTGCCAGGTGCTATAACCTTCAGTAAAGGTCTCTTTGATGCCGGAGGATAGGACTCTTTATATAACCCGATTACCATTTCAGGCAAGCAATCCATTTTTATATATAAGCTCTGTTTTATTAAACAGACACCTAGATTATCATTGCTCTCTGGTTTAAATCTAGTAATAGGAGACACCACTCCTATCTTATTCATTTTGACGCTTTCCCTAAAACAGTCTTCTAAACTTCTTTTTTGTCCTTTGTTCAGAATGAATGTTTCCTGAGGAAAATTTATTTTAAAATTCTTTGATAAATCATTGCTTCTGATGTTTTCTTCTGTAATTTTACAGTGCATCATGAACTCTTTTATTGGTGGAGGAGGAACCATAAATTCATTTAATGAAGACTGAATAAGCCTGGGGAGGCCCCATCTGTGATTTACATTCTTTTTCTTTATATTTATCTCCAACACTCTCTTATGATCATCACTAATAAATGACACCTCAATTGCAGGAACAATTATATCAAATTCTGGATGTGATTTGAGTTGGGATAAAATCAGTTTGGGAGCAGAGGGCACAGATGCCTGTGCTGAATTTTGGAAATATAACGGTAAGGCCCAGGTCAGCTGAAGTTTCTTCCGCAAAATATGCCATTCTAGAGTGTTCCTGACTTCATCAGAAATAAACATTGCTTTTGCACCGACAGGTTCTATTTGAATTCCTCTTGCCTTGATTGGCGGGTTTACAGGTGGTCCTTTAGGAATCAACATTTTCATTGACTTCTCATACAGAGTTTCAAGTCCCCAAAGATATAAAATCTGTCTGTGCTTTAAGTTCATCTCTATATGATCAATATCACCTTGCTCAATAAAAGGAATATACCATGGTCTTGATTTTTTATGGCCTTTCCCAGGAGCAATAAGTTTTGGTAAATATTTATTTGTGCCTGAAGGATAGGTATTTTTGTAGCGGTCCATTACCAGTTTAGGCAAATGGTACATTTTAATTTCCAGACATTGCTTTGTCAGGCATATATCCAGTTTAGCTTTATACTCTGGTTTGAAGTTAGCAGATATTTCTGCTAACTTGCGCAATTTTATGTTTTTACTGTCGCTTTCATATTGCAGTAAAGGTAATTTTCCTCCTTTGAGTCCCAAGAATGTGCCCTGAGAAAACGTCTTCAAATTCTTAACTGTATCAGTATTACTGGACATAGCCTTGTTACCTTCAACATTTTTTGAATGCAGTATGAAGTCGATGTTTCTTGGAGCAGGACTCATAAAATTCTTTAATGATGATTGAATTATGTTAGGGAGACCCCATTTTTGATTTATGATCTTTTTCCTAGTATTCAACTCCAGTTTCTTCATATGTTCCTCACTAAGAAATGTCAACTCAGAATGGGTGATAACTACGACAAAATTAGGCTTGTACTTTAGCTGAGATGGAATTAATTTTGGAGCAGGGGGAATGAATGCTTCCAATGATCTTTGAAGATGTAGTGGTAAACCCCAGTGGAGTTGAAGTTTTTTCTGTGTAATGTGCCATTCAAGTTTTTCTTTCTTTTCATTTTCAATGAAGATTGTTTCCATTCCCATAGACTCTATTTGTACTCTACTTGCTATGATTGCTGGAGGCACAGGGGGTCCTTTGGAGATCATCATTTCAGTAGATATTTCGAACAAAGTCGGAAGTCCCAAAAGATTCAAAATCTGCTTGTGTTTTAGGTTTAACTCCAAGTGGTCAATAGCTTCCTGCTCAATGAAAGGTATATAGGTTGATCTGGCTTTTTTAAATCCTTCACCAGATGCAATAAACTTTGGTAAACGTTTCTTTGATACTGGAGGATAGGTGCTTCTGTACATCTGTTTTACCAGTTCAGGCAAATATTCCATTTTAATTTCTAGTTGCTGTTTAGTCAAGCAGATTTCTAGTTTACCTTTACATCGTGGTTTGAGACCATCAAAATAATTCACCTCCCCATTCTTTTTTGATTTTATGCTTCTGGCTCTGTGATATTTCGATAATGATAATTTTCCTCTTTTAATTAGAACACCACCTGGATAAGGAACGACCATCATTGGTCTTTCTACTATCATTTGTGAGTGAAGCATGAGAACTGCAATTTGTGGAGCTTTAGGCATAAAGTTCTTTAAAGATAGTTGAATGAGCTTTGGGAGACCCCATTTGCGATTTATGATCTTTTTCTTTGTATTCATCTCGAGTGTTTTCCTATATTCATTCCTAAGAAATGGCAGATCAGCTGGAACAACAACTATCACAAAACCAGGCTGTGGATTTAGCTGGGATGGAATCAATTTTGGAGCAGGGCTCATAAATGCTTCAAGGGATCTCTGAACATGTAACGGTAAACCCCAGTTCTGCTGAAGTTTTTTCAGTGTAATGTGTCTCTCGAGATTATCTCTGGTTTGATCTGCAATGAATGGTGTTTCCATACCCACATGTTCAACTTGAGTTCCACTTGCCAAAATTGTGGGAGGTAAAGGTGGCCCTTTAGGAATCATCAATTCCATTGATTTTTCATGTACTGTTTCAAGTCCCCAGAGATTTGTAATCTGTCTGTGTTTTAAATTCAGCTCCAAGCGATCAACAGAATCCTGTTCAATAAAAGGTACATAAGATGATCTTGCCTTTTTAAATCCATCACCGGGTGCAACAAGCTTTGGCAAAGATTTTTTTGATGCTGGAGGGTAGGTATCTTTGTATAACATGTTTACCATTTCTGGGAAAAAAAACATTTTAATTTCAAGACAGTGTTTTATTAAGGACACGTTTAGCTTATCTCTGAATTCTGGTCTCAGGGCAGGAAGACGAAACACTCCTGTATGGTTCAATTTTATGATTCCACTATCTCTTCCGGTTTGTTTTGACCACATGTTTCCTCTTTTGCACAGAGGAGTATCTATGTTTCCACCTCCGAAATTAATGAGATTTGAAGTTGTAGAGTTTCTTTCCACCAATTCTCTCTGAGGCAAAAAACCATTAATTGATGGAGGAGGAACTATAAAATTTCTTAAAGAGGCCTGAATAGCTTTGGGAATACCCCATTTATAATTTATTATCCTCTTTCTTGTATTGAACTCCAGTCTTTTTTGATGTTCATAGCTTATGAAGTTCAGTTCAGGTGGCGAAAAAACACTAACAAAATGAGACTGTTGATTTAGCTGCGATGGAATTAGTTTTGGAGCAGGTGTAATGAATGCTTCCAGTGATCTCTGAAAATCTAATGGTAATCCCCAGTTGTACTGAAGTTTTTTCTGTGTAACGTGCCATTCTAGTCTATTTCTACTTTCATCATCAATGAAAGTTATTTCCATAGCCATAGGTTCAATCTGAGCACCACTTGGTTTAATTACTGGAGGTAAGGATGGCCCTTTGGGAATCATCCTTTCCATTGACTCTTCATACTCAGTTTCAAGCCCCCAGAGATGGATAATTTGCCTGTGTTTTAAATTCATTTCTATTCGATCAATACTATCCTGTTCCATAAATGGCAAATAGCTTGGTCTTGTTTTTTTAAATCCTTCGCCACTTACAATATGTTTTGGCAAAGGTTTCTTTGATGCTGATGGGTAAGTACTTCTGTATAACAGTTGGACCATTTCAGGTAAGTACTCCAATTTAATTTCTAAATTTTGTTTTATCAGGCACATGTGTAGATTATCTTTATATTCTGGCTTGAGACCATCAAAAAGCAATCCCTTTTCTATTTTCTTTATGCTTTTGCATTCCTTCTCGTATTGTGGAATTGACTTCCTTTTTTTGTTCTGAGGAAATGTACCTTTACATTGATGAGGTTGAGGAACCATTTTGGTTCTTTTATTTCCCTCATCAATGTTACTGTACATCACTGGAGCAGGAGCCATGAAGATACTCAAAGACATTTGAATAAGTTTGGGAAGACCCCACTTGCAATTTATTATCCTTTTCTTCGTATTCAGCTCCAAGATTTTCTTATGTTCAGCACTAACAAATGCCAATTCATTTGGAACAACCATTATTGCAAATTCAGGCTGGACAGTTAAATGGGATAGAATTAGTTTTGGAGCAGGTAGAATGAATGCTTCCAGCGATCTTTGAACATGCGATGGTAATCCCCAGTTGTGCTGAAGTTTCTTCTGTGTAATGTGTCTTTCCAGAATATCTCTGGCTTCTTCCTCAAAGAATGTTGTTTCTGTATCGACAGGATCTCTTCGGACTACAGCTGACTTAATTGCTGGAGGAACAGGTGGTCCTTTTGGAATCATAATTTCCATTGACTCTTCATAGAGAGTTGAAACGCCCCAGAGATTGGAAATTTGTCTGTGCTTTAAGTTCAGTTCTATGCGATCAACTGCATCCTGTTCAATAAAACATATATACGATGATCTTGGCTTTTTAAATCCTTCGCCAGGTGCAATAATCTTCATTAAGGGTTTCTTTGATACTGGAGGATAATTACCTTTGTACAACTGCTTTACTATTTCTGGCAAGCAATTCATTTTAATTTCTAGCGACTGTTTTACTAAGCACATGGTTATTTTATCTTGACATTCTGGTTTGAGATGAGCGAAAATAGTGGCTTCTGCTGTTTTATTTAACTTTATGCTTTCGCTACCAATTTTATATTGTAATGCCATTTGTCCTCTTTTGGCCTGCAGTAATGATTCCTGAAGAACTGTTTGATTGTTACTTGCTCTACCAGTGTCACTGGATGTGGTTTTGCTTTCTTCCAATTCGAACAGTAACGCACGGTCCTCTTTTGATGGAAAAACAGCCATGAAATTTCTTAAAGAAAACTCAATAAGTGTAGGAAGTCCCCATTTGCGATTTATTATCTTCTTCTTTGTAATCATTTCCAATAATTTCCTATGTTCATCAGTGAGAAACACCAAATCCATTGGAATTGTAAGTGGCACAAAATCAAGCCGCGGATTTAGCTGCGACAGAATCAGCTTTGGAGCATGTGGTATGAATGCTTCATGGGATGTCTGAATAAATAATGGCAAACCCCAATGGTGCTGAAGTTTTTTCTGTGTAATATGCCATTCTAGTCTGTCTCTAGCTTCTTCTTCAATAAAAGTCGTTTCCATATGTACAGGTTCTATTTGTGATCCAAATGACCTAAGTGGTGGTGGCAATGGTGGGCCTTTAGGAATCATGAGTTTCAGTGACTCTTCATACAGAGTTTCAAGATCCCATAGATGGAAAATCTGCTTGTGCTTTAAGTTCATCTCTAAGCGATCTACTGAATCTTGTTCAATAAATGTCAAATAACATGTTCTTTGCTTTTTATATCCCTCACCATTCGCAATAAGTTTTGGTAAAGGTCTTTTTGTTGCTGAAGGATAAGTATTTTTATACAAATCATTTACCATTTCAGGCAAATATCCAATTTTAATATTTAGACTTTGCTTTAACAAGCACATTTCTAGATTATCTTTACACTGAGGCTTGAACCTGCTGAGGATTGAAATCTCTTGTAATGTTTTCAGATTTTCTTTTTTGAAGCTCCTTTCATATTGTTGTGAACTCAATTTTCCCTTTTTCTTTCCCAGACAAGTGCCTAGGCCAGCCATTTTGTAATAATAACCTATGTTATTATTACTGGGAATTTCCTTAATTACTTTCATCTTTTCTGACTGCAGCATGAAATCTGCTGGAGGCGGAACAATAAAATTCCTCAAAGATGACTCAATAATGTTTGGAAGACCCCATTTATGATTTATTATCCTCTTCTTTATATTCAACTCCAGTGTTTTCAAGTGTTCAATACTTACAAAGGCCAGTTCAGTTGATGCAACAACTGCCACAAAATCAGTCTGTGGAAATAATTGGGATGGTATTAATTTTGGAGCCATTGGAATGACTGCTTCAACTGATTTCTGAATATGTAGGGGTCGGCCCCAATTGTGTTCAAGAATTTTCCGTGTAATATGCCATTCTAGTCTTTCTCTGGCTTCATCTTCAATGAAGGCTGTTTTCACTTCTGTAGGTTCTATTTGTGCTCCACTTGCTTTAATTGCTGAAGGCACAGGTGGCCCTTTAGGAACAATCATTTCCACTGACTCTTCATACGGTGTTGCAAGACCCCAGAGGTTGACAATTTGTTTGTGCTTTAAGTTTAACTCCAAGCGATCAACTGCTCCCTGTTCAATAAATGGTATATATAATGACCGTGGTTTTTTAAATCCTTCACCACATGGAATAATCTTTAGTAAAGGTTTCTTTGGTGGTGGAGAATATGTAATTTTGTACAACTGTGTTACTACGTCTGGCAAATGTTCCATTTTAATTTCTAGACATTGCTTACTTAAGCACATATCTAGTTTATCTTTATGTGTTGGCTTTACTCCAGCAAATACAGACAGGTCTGCCTTCTTGTTTAACATTTTCATGCTAAGACCTCTTTCATATTGCTGCAAAGACAATTTTTCCCTTTTGTTTTTCAGATCTGTGCTCCGAGAAACCATTTTACTGTTTTTTTCGATATCAGTGGTACTTAATATTTTCTTGTGTTCTTTAATTCCAGCTGACTGCAACATAAGATCCTGCTTTGATGGTGCTGGAGCCATATAATTCCTCAATGATGCCTCAATAAGGTTCGGAAGACCCCATTTATGATTTATTATCCTCTTCTTTGTATTCAGCTCCAGTGTTTTCATGTGTTCATTACTTACAAAGGCCAGTTCAGTTGATACAACAACTACCACAAAATCAGTCTGTGGAAATAATTGGGATGGTATTAATTTTGGAGCCAGTGGAATGACTGCTTCATCTGATTTCTGAATATGTAGGGGTCGGCCCCAATTGTGTTCAAGAATTTTCCGTGTAATATGCCATTCTAGTCTTTCTCTGGCTTCATCTTCAATGAAGGCTGTTTTCACTTCTGTAGGTTCTATTTGTGCTCCACTTGCTTTAATTGCTGAAGGCACAGGTGGCCCTTTAGGAACAATCATTTCCACTGACTCTTCATACGGTGTTGCAAGACCCCAGAGGTTGACAATTTGTTTGTGCTTTAAGTTTAACTCCAAGCGATCAACTGCTCCCTGTTCAATAAATGGTATATATAATGACCGTGGTTTTTTAAATCCTTCACCACATGGAATAATCTTTAGTAATGGTTTCTTTGGTGGTGAAGAATACGTAATTTTGTACAGCTGCGTTACTACGTCTGGCAAATGTTCCATTTTAATTTCTAGAGATTGCTTAGTCAAGCACATATCTAGTTTATCTTTATGTTTTGGCTTCAGACCAGCAAATACAGACAGGTCTGCCTTCTTGTTTAATCTCTTTATGCTAAGACCTCTTTCATATTGCTGCAAAGATAATTTTTCTCTTTTGTTGTTCAGATCTGTGCTCAGAGGAACCATTTTACAGTTTATTTTGATGTCAGTGGTGCTTAATATTTTCTTGTGTTCTTTAATTCCATCTGACTGTAACATAACATCCTGCCTTGATGGAGCTGGAGCCATATAATTGTTCAAAGATGACTGAATAAACCTCGGAAGGCCCCATTTCCGATTTATAATTTTCTTCTTTGTATTCAGCTCCAATATTTTCTTATGTTCATCATTCAGGAATTGTAGCTCAGCTGGGACAATGATTATTACATAATCAGATTGGGTGGTTACCTGGAATGGAATCAGTTTGGGAACAGGTGGAATGAATGCCTCTAGAGATCTCTGAAGATTTAATGGTAATCCCCAGATGGACTGAAGCTTTTTCTGCAAAATGTGCCTTTCCAGATTATCTCTTGCTTCATCATCAATGAATGTTGTTTCCTTGCCGATTGGTTCAATTTGGGTTACATTCGCCTTAAATGCTGGAGGAACAGGTGGTCCTTTAGCAACCATCATTTTCATTGACTCTTCATACTCAGTTTCAAGACCCCAGAGGTGGATAATTTGTTTGTGCTTCAGATTTAACTCTAAAACATCAACAACAACCTGTTCAGTAAAAGGTATGTACAATGATCTTGTCTTTTTAAACACTTTTCCAGGTAAAATTAACTTTGGATGAACTGTCTTTGATACTAGAGGATAAGTATCCTTGTACAACTCCTTAACTACATCTGGCAAACAATCCATTTTAATTTCTAAACATTGTTTTGTCAGGCATACATCTAGTTTATCTTTATCTTTTTGTTTGAGAAAAGCATCGATGTTGGTTGGCTTTAACTTTTCTTTATATTTTTCATATGGTGAGAATTTTTCAGTTTCTAATAGTACAGCTGATCTTAGTGAACTGACTTTAGAATTATTTATTTCATCAATGTCATTTGATATGGATTTCCCTTTTTTCATTTCAGGCCCTACCGTAATATCACTCATTGCTGGTCCGAGGGGTATAAAATCCCTCATAGATAACTGAACAAGTTTAGGAAGACCCCATCTGCGATTTATGATCTTTTTCTTTGTATTTAACTCCAATAAATTCCTAGTTTCAACACTTAGAAATGGCAGGTCAGATGGAGCAATGACTGCAACAAAATCAAACTGAGGTTTTAGCTGGGATAGAACTAGTTTGGGAGGAGTTGGAATGAACGCTTCTACTGATTGCTGAAAATATACAGGTACGCCCCAGTTGTGCTGAAGTTTCTTTTGGGTAATATGCCATTCCAGATTGGATCTTGTCTCATTAGTAATGAAAGTTGTTTCTGTACCCTTAGGTTCAATTTGGGCTAAAATTGCTTCAATTGCTGGAGGCACTGGAGGTGCTTTAGGAATCATCATTTCCATTGACTCTTCAAACAGAGTTGGGAATCCCCAGAGTTGGGAAATGTGTTTGTTCTTCAAATTCATCTCCAAACGGTTAACAGCGCTCTGTTCAATAAATGGTATGTACCGCGGTCGTTTTTTTTTAAATCCTTCATCAGGTGCAATAAGCTTTGATAAAAGCTTCTTTCCTTCTGGAATATAAGTATTTTTGTAGAAATCCTTTACAAGTTGAGGCAAATCATTCATTTTAATTTCTAGGCATTGTTTTGTGAAACACAGATCCAGTTTATCTTTATATTCCGGTTTCAGGTTAACAAGAGGAAATAATTTTCCCATTATATTATGCTTTATCTGTCTTCTGCGTCTTTCATATTGTAGTGAAGACCACTTTTCGCTTTTGACTTGTAGTAATGGGTTCTCTGGATCAGCCATTTTAAATGTATTACTCAGAACTTCATTTTCTTCTGTTATTTCTGAATGTGGCAAAAAACCTGTTATTGATGGAGCAGGAGTTATATAACTCATTAATGACATCTGAATAAGCTTAGGAAGACCCCATTTACGGTTTATCAATCGTTTCTTTACATTCAGTTCCAATGTTTTCCGACTTTCATCACTCAGAAATGCAAGCTCAATTGGGACAACATTTGTAATAACATCAGACTGTGGGTTGAGCTGGGATGGAATCAATTTTGGAGCAGGTGGAATAAATGCTTCTTGGGATTTTTGCAAATATAATGGTAAGCCACAATCTTGTTGCAGTTTTTTCTGTCTAATGTGCCATTCTAAATTACACCTGGCTTCAGACGAAATGAAAGATGTTTCTGCAGCCATTGGTTCAATTTTTATATTGCGTTCTTTAATTGGTGGAGTGGCAGTTGGTGCTTCAAGTATCATTACAGCCAATGAGATTTCATATAAAGTTGGAAATCCGCAGAGATGGGAAATGTTTTTTTGCATTAAGTTCATCTCCAAACGATCAATAGCATCCTGTTCAATAAAAGGTATATACGATCGCCTTGATTTCTTATATCCTCTTCCAGGTGCAATTGGTTTTGCTAAAGTTTTCTTTGCTTCTGGACAATAACTGAATTTGTACATCTCTTTTACCATTTCAGGTAAATAATCCAATTTAATTTCAAGGCATTGTTTTGTCAACAACATATCTAGTTTATCTCTACATTCTGGACTCAGCCTTTCAAAAATGGCCTCTCTTCTTATCTGGTTTAGTTTTATATTTCTTCTATTTGTTTTATGTTCGGGTGATGAAATTTGTTTGGATTTGCTCTGTTGTAGTTTTTCTGGATAATGATCAGTATTATTGGGCAATATTTTGCTTCCTTTTACAGTTTCTGATTTTAAGGCAAAATCATTTATTGATGGAGCAGGAGTTATATAACTCATTAATGACATCTGAATAAGCTTAGGAAGACCCCATTTACGGTTTATCAATCGTTTCTTTACATTCAGTTCCAATGTTTTCCGACTTTCAGCACTCAGAAATGCAAGCTCAATTGGGACAACATTTGTAATAACATCAGACTGTGGGTTGAGCTGGGATGGAATCAATTTTGGAGCAGGTGGAATAAATGCTTCTTGGGATTTTTGCAAATATAATGGTAAGCCACAATCTTG